AGCTTCTGCAAAATAAATAACCAACACAACCAGGAGAATGCAGAAACTGCAACCACATTTTAAAGAATCAGTTTTAAAATACGTTACACCATTCTGTAACATCAAATATTGCATATTTAATTTCTTAATGTTTTAAACCTTCCAAATTTTAGAAAATGGTAGTTTCAACACTAAAGAATGATCGCTTTATCTTCAATGCTGCACAAAACACAAATACAGCTGGCAACAATGAGGAAGAATACTAGTTCTCCTCATGTCACAGAAAGGGCTGCAGGTTATCTCTTGGTCCTCCGAGCAGAAACGTATTTTGGCTAGCAAAGAAAACCTGCCTTCAAAGCTAAAATCAGGGTGGGTGCATGGAAAATTAATCGCTACACCTGGCTGCTTTTTTCTGCTACTTAAAAAAAAAAGATTGTCTACAAAACTGAAGCAGCAGCTGGGAGAGCCAAGGACTCAATCATTTTGAGCAAGCAACAAATGTCAAGAAATCTTTCTCAAAAAACAAAATGTATGGAACATCTTCTATAAAGGCCTCTTTCTGAATTCAGAACGCGATATGAATTATTTTCCAAAACCACAAACATTTCATCAGAATATTTTTAATCCTGTTGGTATTACACTGCAAAATTACAACATGATTATGGAGAGCCGTGGAAAGTCTTTCTGGTCAGGGCTGAGGATGTGGGCCAGTATACCGTAAGATATTTACTAGTGGAATGCAGTGCCTGCCCCAGAATTCACAATCTAACCTAGGCCTCACCTACACACTGGCTTTGCAATAGATGAACACAAAACAATCCATTTATAGTACGGCAGATTATTAAACACACAGTAAAATGGTCATTTCCATGACTTATTGCAGATCATTAACATTTTGTTTTATGCACCATGAAGCATGCAGTATCAGTAAGAGTATTTTAGTAAAATAAGCCACCATTTCTTACTGATGGATTACATTACTAGTAAATTCGTAATGACTGATTTATTTGGCTGCTGCTTTAATCCAATGAAGTATGTGAAGGCTGCACCATTAGCTGTAATCACAGCAAGTCCTTCTGGTAAGTTGGTACCAACGCTGCATACTGCTTGGTCCAGTTTCTACCCATTCTTCTTGGCAGATTTGCTCAAGCACTCCCAGGTTGTCAGGGCATCACTTATAGATAGCCGTTTTAAAGTCTCTCAGAAATAATATAATATACTTATTTATTTCTCTTTTTTGCTTTGAATGTGTGGAGTGGGTTGCGTACGTAACATATATGATGGTACTTCAAAAGCATCTTAAGCTTTAAGCTTCAAAGCAAAAAGAAATGTAAACTAAAAGGTATGCAAGCATCTGAATACTTTGCAAGGCACTGTGTATTTGTACTCACTGAGACAGCTCAATAGTAAACATTTGCCTTTAACTAGGCCAAAAAAAACGTAATTGTCCCAAAACTGCAGTCATCTTTCAGTGCTTCCTATCAACTTCTGAAACTGCACCATGCAAGCCTTGTACCAGCATAAAAAACCACCCTACCAAGTGATTTCTTAATACACAGGCAGTTTAATGCTAATCATCTTCATATGTGTCACAAGGCAAACTTTGCAGATTAAAATGTCTCTTTGCCAATTTAATGCAGACAGTAAACTACTCAAACCAGGGAACCAGGAATTAAATCAGACTTGTATCAATCTCCTCTTCTGTGATCGCCTTATCCAAGCTGGTTTCCTTTTTACTTTCTTCGCCCTACCAGGGAAATGGAAAAAATGAGCTGGAATTTTTTTTTAGCTTCCAGTAGGATCCATTGAAATTCACTATTTCAGAGTAACAGAAATCAACAAGAGGCTCTGTCCTTTAGAAAAGAGTGTCTGAACATTTTCAGTGTTCCAGAGAAGATAAAGGTGGAGCCCACTGAACCACTCAGAGAATGTTACAGCACTGACCACACTGAGGCATCAAAAAACCACAAATGACGTAAATTAACCTACAATATAATCTCATTCAAGGAGACTTTATAAACAGAATGCAGATAGCTTTAAGTTATCAGTAAGGAGGCAAATATTTTAAACAAAGAAAACCAAATGTTTAGCTATGGGTGATATTTAACAATGCCAAATCTGCTAACGCTTTCTAAGAAACATTTTAAAAGTACTTGACAGTTATGCCTTCTTTTGCCTATTAGGGGCATAAACTTCACTTTTCTGCCAATTTATAGTTACCATGGCTGTACCAGAACACTCCTGCCAAAGAGACATGGTATAAACAGGTGTACAAGCCTGAACTTCTAAATAATACACTGGAAAACAGGCTGACTTACATGAAACTCAAAGGGACAACAATGCATTATTATTCCTTTAAAATACCACAGAAAAAAAACTTTCTGTAGTTCACCGCCAATGAATACATGGACTGAGGGCAGTAGCCAGAGCAAACAGTAGGGGTTTGCCCTATTTAACTGAGATTAAGTAGCATTCAAAAGGAAAACCAGACCAGTGTGCATTTACAGTAGAAAGAGAAGGATGAATTCAAGTCTCTCCGCTGGCTATTTCAGCCGATATGAGCCCTTCCATATGATTTGTCCAGATGACATCAGGGGGCAGACATGAGCATTCTGACCTCTTTGTTTCGACTTACACCACTGTGGTGAGGAGAATTACAGCCTCTTCTTTATCAAGTGATGTTCGTGACATCTCAAGTCACTCTTCAATAAAACAAAACAAGGCACAACAGACATGTCAGTACAGTAGAGAAAAACAGAATTAAAAGTTAGAAGATAAAAGCAAGTTAGAAGACAGGATATAAAAGTGCTGACTGTCTTTAAAGCATGCTGGGAGACCATTCCACATTCCGTTGTGCAACAGAACAGAAAGCACATTCTCCAAAAAGTAACCTAGTCTTGAAAATTTGTATGGACAGACATACAGTGATCAGGAGAATATGAATGTGCCTTCCAGAAAAGATCAATAATAAAGCTCACCACATACACTGCTGGAAACACTGAAATCTAAATGAGTAAGGGACTGACTGATCTATCTATAACTCAGGTGCACAGTGTCACCTGCCTAGGAAGCACTGATGCTAAACAAGATCAAAAGAAGAACAAACACTGTATCTGCAGAACAAATATCTACAGTCAGGGAACAAACCATGACAACTCATTATTACGTTCTGATTTTAATATGCCATGCTTTTTGCCAAACATAGTTTACCATTTTAGCAACACTTTGGTTTTCAAACATACAATGCTGACAGGTCACTATAATAATAATTGCTTACACTTATATAGCGCTTTTCCAGACACTCCATTCAAAGAGCTTAACAGGTAATAGGGACTCCCCTCCACCACCACTACTACTACTACACCAGTGTGTGTTCCGTTTATGTATTTCATGATTCAACATGATTCAACATGAATAAGGAAACCAAACACTGTATCAGGAGAATACCAGGACATTGATGATGACGTTATCCGGTCAGTCGGATCCGACTCTCTGCGATTCTATAGGCCATCTACCGTCCTTCAGATGAGACGTAAAACCAAGGTCCTGACTCTCTGTGGTCATTACAAATCCCAGGGCGAAAAGAGTAGGGGTGTAACCCCGGGGTCTTGACCAAATTCCCCATTGGCCCTTACCAATCATGGCCTCTTAATAATCCTCCTCTATGAATTGGCTTCATCACTCTGCTCTCCTCTCCACTGATAGCTGATGTGTGGTGAGCGTTCTGGCGCACTATGGCTGCCGTCGCATCATCCAGGTGGAGCTGCACATTAGTGGTGATGGAGGGGAGTCCCCATTACCTACTGTATAAAGCGCTTTGAGTGGAGTGTCCAGAAAAGCGCTATAGAAGTGTAAGCAATTATTATTATTATTATCTCTCACCACGCTTTCCGGTCTTGGACCAGGAAACCCATACACAATATAATAAGCAGTTTTTCTTTAATCATAATTCTACAAACTGCAAATTCAATTACGCTAATTCCTGTAGGAAAAAACAAACACCTAAATAACACCACCTAATACTAGAGACATCCACATTATGAAATACTTGAGTTCATCATTCACAAATAATGTAACGTTTATATCAGGACTAAAGTTCCCTCACTACTTCAAGCAGAGAGTGATGCCGCACCATAAATAACCCATATGAAGAAAATAAACTCATATAGAACCCAATGTGCGGTTTAAGCAGTCCAAACCAGACATTGGAAAAAGTCATCAGCCACAGAAACACTGGCATAAAAGCCTGTTCTGTTGACTGCGGTTTAGCTGAATACACAATATTCTGAAAGTTTACGGACGTTATCAGCCACCGTTTTTATAAGTACAATTCCCACCAATCATGCAGGGATGTCTCTTCGTTTTACAAGTCGGAAAGTCCTGAATTACTTTGGAAACGGCACCCTTGCATCTCAAAGCGATGTCAATCTCTGATGTCTGCGTGGACGACTCCAAATACAAACTCACTCCACGCCGTGTATCGTTGCAGATGACTCCAGTTCATGGCGGAGAGCACGAATACACTTTCTGTATACGATTTACATTATTGTACCTTAAAACTATGGTGGTAGCTGTTGCACACACCACAAAAGAGTCGCATCAAAAGCAAGAGGTTTCATCACATCACAAGGAATGCTCTCTTCTTAACATTCCGGTATAAAACCTTGGGCACTTGTGTAAGCAACACGCAGTGCATGTGATGCAGGACAGCTCACCGGACCGCAGACGGCTCCAAACCTTGCGCCACGCTTTAGATGCGACACAATACCGACTACTGTTTGTGTTGTCTGTATGCAACGGGATAAAAACAATTTCGTTCTTCACATACCGATGCGTATAGCCTGGAGATAAAGAAATTCAAAACGCCAGTAGTTTGTCTGTAGCTCACGTAAACGTTGTGTTCGCACGCCCCTGTTGTGACAATTGCCCGTACACGGATGTATTGACGTGAAACTACCTCTTTCGCTTCATAGGAACAAGAATGAATGTCTGTACTCTTTTTAAGTCGATGAGAAAAATACCTTATATACGTCCCCATAAGTTCCGCTCCCAACTCGCTGAATGAGCTCGAAATCCTGTTGTGGGTTTCTCCTCAGGATCTCCCCGCTGGGCCGGGAAAAAGCTTCCATGGTAGTTGCTTTTCTCCTCTTACATTAAATAAAAATCCGTTAAAAGGGGGGGAAAGGGAACGCGAATGGAATCCTGTTTAATTCAAAACAATATCCAAACTGTGTGCGATTTCCTTCGGGATTTTATTTCTTAAAGAAGGAAAGTTCTTATTTCCAAATATGGCTTCTGGTCCATTTCCTGCTGCGAAGAGAGAAAAGTGAGTGTGAAACACTGGCACACACATCAGGACACTATAAACAGATATAAGCGGGACCCACGGCTAAAATATGTGAGCAAAGCTACTGCGCAACGGAAAAGCTCAAAAGCACAGAATCGCACGTCTACCTCATAGTGCTACTAGCTGCAAGTCTTCTTGTTTTTAGCGTAATTGAGAATGAATACCACGCTACTACAACTCCATTTTAAATTCAGCACTATACACAAACACTGGGCAATTTAGCTGTAGGTTTCTGCTGACATTAAGTAGGTTCTTTGCGATGTTACAACTCCATATTTTTTTTAAAGTAGCGGTATAAACAAACTTGTATACTACACGTACTCTATATATAGTATATACAGTATAGCTCTAGCTAAATTACTGTAAAACACACATTAAATGTAGTTACAATTTACATTACCACGAACAGGCTGCATTAAAAAGCAGGTGAACGTGAGCTGGCTTAAATTGCTCGACAGTGTTAATCGTCATATAAGGATATGTATATACTAATGAACAATTTCTCTAGTAGCTAGATGCTTGCATACCGTCCGTGCACGAAGCACACGCATCCCGAAACACAGCTAAACTCTTAAATACCTTGTTTAGGGATGATCGACGCCAAGGGCTTCGGTTCGGACACTTTCTCGAGTCTTTGAAAACGATCAGACGTCGAATTGAGAAGGGTTTTTTTTTTTTGTCCTCAAAAAATGTATATCTCTCCCCTAAGCGAGCAGCTCCACTGGCACCTCTCAGTCCTCCACTCCGCCTCACTTTCGACGTTGACATCCAATGTCACTTCCTCCCGATGACAACACGGCCAGCCTGATGTCTGACCCCTCGGCGGCAGCCACCAAAACAAGCAGGCGGCCGGCAGTCGTTTCGCGCCCCGCGTAATTCGAAAACAACAAGGACAACAACCAAAAAATCGAAATTTGTCTGAAATATTTTCTTCCTCTATTTCCCTATGCTTCCAGCGCCGCCGAAAACTGCTGCTGGAGACCTTCTCATAAAAAAAGTGAAAAGAAACGTGGCAGTGGGGAAAAAAAACAAACAAACAAAAAAAGACAAACCATCTGATAAAAAGGGTGTTTTCTTCGCCGTTCTGGGTCAGAATGGTCTCATAAGTAAAACAATTAAAACAGCAGGCTGCATTCCAGTTGAAGGAGCGTCATTTGATGCTCCAGGCTATGGATTGCGACAGATTATATTGGGAATTGGCACATACCGCCATCTACCGGTGAATATGCTTCAAACCAATCCAGATTTTAAAAATGAGGAGTAGTTAGGTCTACAACTCCATGTATAAAACTTCAGAATTTGCATTTTCCCCTTGAACGTGATATATACACCATGAAGTTTTTATACTTGCAAAGCAACTTAACTTTCTGTAAGACTAATTGCATTTACTTAATTCTCCGTTTCTGTCTTAAGGAAGTAATGGGTAGCGACGTTTATTCGAGAAGATAATACATCTTTCTTAAAGGTTTGGTAGAGTGCATTTTAAACATTTTGAAGTTACAGTCTAAAACGTTTCCAATGTACTTGTTACGTAATTCTCCGTGCATGGAAATTACCTACATTTGAGTGGGGAGCTACGTGTGGGGATACAGGTGTTGTTAATATCATTGTGAGTTACATCAACGCATTATTTCAGAATTACATTAAAGTCACGTTTGCTATACAGTAAAGTAGATATAAAATATGTAAAAAATATTCCTATTGTAAAAAATACCTTAACATTCAAAGGTGGCCTGCTCTTATCGCCGAGTAGGTAAATCCTGACGGCTATCATTATGAAAGGCAAACTGCGTTAAAATCGTAGTCTGCCAGGGAAGTTATCCATATTTGTGCGCACATCAGAAATTTAATGAATGCCAGTGAAATTGAATCACTGAAACACTTTTCTTCCTTTAAGCCACATCTTTTACCTTTGTAAAGAAAACGTCTTCACAAACGATTGTTACCTGTATGAGGCTGCAGGTTAATACTACAAAAATAAGAAAAATAATAATACTCGTCCACAAATAACAGTTGATAGTTTATATCCAGTATGTGTCTTTATTGTACCTTCCGTCGTGTATTGACTGTAGTTTCAACTGAACTTGATGCAGCTTCGACTTTAAATACCCCAGTGACGGAGTTTGATTTATGTTGTGAGTCACATTTCAAAACAGGCGCAGGTTACACACCTGGACATACGTGTTAGAATACAAGCTTATACATGTTCCAGGCCTTCAGGGTAAAAGTAATTTATCGAATCAAATATGACCGAAATGTCAAGGAAATAAACCTCTGTGATCACCTTCACCGTTGTTTTTAATGCAAAAATTATTCTGTTACAATAGGTAAAGCATCAACCGCTAATATAGTGTTAATGATGTGCTTAAAAGCTTGATAAAAACGCCCAGGGAAAGCGGTAGTTTTCCATCGCAAAGGTAATTAATCTATCCAGCGGGTTTCTCCGATGTTAGCCGAAAGGTTTCGTGTCCGTACGCCTCCCCCTGCCGACACTTCTCTGCTAATGCAGCTGCGAGTTGAAAATGAGGCTCCATCACCCTCCCGCTGCCGAGAGCATCTTCAGAGCAGATCGCGAAGGGAGCCTCCTACGTCTACATGCACACTGACGGATTTTTTTTCCCCCATTCACCACAAATAACACAGGCACACAGAGGGCTGAAAACAGCACCTACAGGACCATGGCCAGGAATCGTAAGGAAAGGAACAGCTGGGGTGAGCTTTTCTTTCTTATTTATCCGTGTTTTTGACAAAACAACACATTTGAAATGCAAGGGGTGGGAACTGGAGCAGTTCTGGTGAGTACCAGTGATGCCCGTGTGTACTGTATGTGTGTTTGCATTATGCACATTAATAATGGAGGAGATGCTTGGTGTCTGCAATTCCAGATTTTCTGCTTTGTGCAGACCCATCACCAGTATTCACCCTGGTACCATGTTCATCTTGCTTGAGATACACTGCTGGCCCTGTTCAGCACTGCATCGTCAGCTCCTGTAATAATAATAAGCCTCGCCTGGAGCCAGAGTAGTGTAGGCCTATCCCCGGCTGCTTTTCTGCTCACAAATGCAGTGCTACAAGGTGCAACAGCCACATAATGCATCTTATACTTTCTATATGGCCAGCAGTGTGAGGCAGAATCCAAAATCCAACCCAGCTTGACTGTGTGCTGCACAGGAAACAAATAGGAGTTTGAGAAAAAGGCTTGGGAGCAGAGTGTTGTTAAGTCACGCCTTGTCTTCTAATAGAATGAATTCACAACCGTATAGTCCAATAATACACCAATAACATCCCACAGAACATTTGTATGCTGTGAGCTTGCTGCAGAGGGTTTACGTATGTCCGTTTCAGAATTAGAAGTATTTATCTTAGTTGAAAATAACATTGGTATTAAAAATCAATGACAAGAGACGTATCAACCAATTTGTTTAATTGTATTAAAATACATACATAAAACATTAAACATTATGCAGCCGTTTTGACATTTGGTGTAGTACTGTGTTTCGGGCCTTAAATTGAGGTATCTAGTATGCTTGACTATTTAAAGATCACCTGTAGACGGAGCTGCTGACAGACACATGATCCATTAGCAGCCTGGTTTCTCTGCACAGATTTGTTAAAAGATTATTGAGAGCAGGCTCTGCATGCATTTTGCTTTCATTTCACTATCTAGTACTTTTTAGTGCAGGGAGGGTAGATATGCATTTTCTGTCTGCCAGCTAAATAATATCAATACCCTCAAACCCCAAATAATGTAATTAAGTGGGTTTGTTTTTTAGGACTACCACAATATAGAGGCAATAAATAAGACAAGTGGGCTGTAGGGATCATTGTCAATATTTGCAAGACATCTTATCACATCATCTTTGAAACCTGCTCCTACATACATGGCAGATGGAGTTTTCTGTCTACAATTGTTTGATGAAATGACTGCACATCTGATTGGGAAGAACATCTAAAAAATCTAAATAACTAGAAATAAAACATGGTGAAGAGGCTACTGTGCCAGAATCAGATCAGTGTGAGGAAGCTGACAAGTTTCCATAGTTTGATTAGCTCTTGGCTTGGTCAGTTGCCTCTAAACTATTTTAATGTAAAGATGGTACTTTAAAAAATGTGTTTTTCCCCAGAAATACAGTAGTTCAATTCTGTTTTATGTTTTTCTCTTTATTGTAGTTTATGTGCCACAATGACAAAACATCTTGTTAATATAAAGCACCATGTGGCAAAGCATTCTAAATCACAACTTGAGTTAATTTGAAATAGTCTGCTTTTCTGTTTACAAACTTAATTTGCAGATTAAAGTAATCAAGAGCCGTGTCAGCCCATACAAACTTCCACTCCAGTAATAATCTGTGCCCCTGGGTTTTAAACAGATTTAGCATCTGGAGCGTCTGCTTGCTCCATACGCAGTTGTCACTGGGATGTGTCTAGTTCTTTGGTCAGAAGACAGATTGATGGGATAGTTTTCTTTTACCTGACTGGATCAACTGTAGATTGTAGTGTATCCAAAAGCTGAATACGTCAAGCTGGGATTTGATTTCTGTGTTAAGACCACATATAGTCAGTTTGATAGACTAATCAGACAAAGAGAAAGATTCTGGCACATCAATTATTATTCTGTATCTTTAATTCTGCAATCATAGTCCAGTTTGTTATTCATCCTTTCTACTACCTGTCTGGCTTCAAAAGCACATTCCAGATGTTTGGCCCACTATGCTGTTTCTTCTGGGAGCAGTTTCAGAGTCATGGGTTGCCTTTAGCTTGCTGTTTGTCTGCATTGTTCTCGTCAGCAGGCCAAAGATTTCTTATATTTTTTCCCATTTTTTTAGTACCACAGCCTTCCCACATCCCAAAAAAGGAATTTTCTACAAAATAATTTTTCTCAAGACACATTCCCTTGCTGTTATGACTCGTTCATCTCTTTGGCCTATTTGCTTGTGCTGTGCAGCCTACGTGTTGGCCAGTAAGTACATGCAGTAAGGGCATTTATACTGAGTCATTGCCTGGAAAGCCTACCTATTGCACCACCCACTTAGCAATCTGAATCAGACGATAAACATTTATCATTAATGGCTTTAACATGCTACTCTGTTGGTGATGGAATCTATTGATTTTTAACTGCTTGTCAATTATACTGCAGTTCATAGGTTCTGCTTCTAACGAGGCACATTTTCCAGAAACCGGGAGTAGCTTTCAATAGGATGGTAGAAAGATTGGGAACACTCTCCTTGGTGGGAAAGTATTTACACTTCTGATAAGGAACTGTGTGGGTCTCACACATCTTCACAAATTATTTTTTTGTTCTTTGAGGAATACATTTCCACCTCTATGCTGCACTGACAATTTACTCCGTTTCCCATACTGTCTCATGAGCTGGGTAAAGCTAATCAGGACTGCTCATTTTTGGAACAAATAAAAAACAAGGAAAATGAGCGGTCCTCATAATCATTCAATAATGAATGTGGCAAGATGTAAACGTTTAATTCCAATGTGTACCTTTTAACGTACTGGATTAGTTTAGATTCAAACTTCATGTCATGTGAGTTGTATACTGTATGTGAACCGAAAAGTTGGAAAGCATAGATATATACTGTATATACAGTACACACCCAGGTGAGACTTAAACACCAATGTCTGCAGTATATTACATAACTTGAAACCATTATTTGTTCAGAGTTACAAAAATAGTTGTGAAAGTAGGGATTCCAGTGAATAAGAACAAGCAATATGTCTCCCCTATCACCGTCTTTGTACCTAGTGTTGCATATTTTTGAATAATACATATACATAAATACATAGATACATAGGTGTACATGTATGTACCCCTACCAAAACTTTCCATATACTGTAATGTACCTATTAGTGGATTAGTCCACTTCCAGCAGCGATTAAACAAGTGGACGCATGGTATCGACATTTGTCTATCAAGACATGGGTCTTCTCAAAAGTTGTGAAATCTTCCACCTGTCCCTTTGATTGCGGTATTTACTCTGGCTAGAATTTGCATCTGCAACCACTGCTTGTAAACTCAGAGGCTGCAGAAATGTGACACATTAGGTAGGTCTGATGTTGCCTTTGAGTATACACCACACAACCATGTGCACTAAAAGCATACCATTCGTGAAGTCACATACATCAGCCTTCTACTGTGTAGCACAGCATGAAAGAAGAAAAAGGGCTAGTTTGCTACTGCTTTGTAGTACTTTGGAATCATCGGTCATTACATATGCTGGGCTATCTAACTACAGTGATTTGGATATTCTTGTTTGGCCAAATCCTATGGAATTTTATATTCTCATATTTTGATAGGGCAGGATATATGTATAAGATCAAGTATGTAGCTGCATCGGGCATGTGTAGGCTGCCAAGGAACCAGTAAAAGTTTATTCCATGCTGAAAAGAAACTAAATGAAACACCACATTTAGGCTGTGTAGCCTTCTTCAGGAGTACGTCTTCAGTTTAAACATCTTTAAACTGGTATACATATGTAGCATTCTATATACAAAGAATGATATATGAATTCAGTGCAAACAGTATTTTTTCCTCTGACAAGCACCATAAGCCCTCAGAATTTGCCATACTGAGCCAATAAAATCTCTATGTCAATATGCAACACAGCCACTAGCGACATACCATGATATAGACCAATTTTAACAACTCCCCTATTATTGTATTGTTGTGACATATCAGTCAGTTCACCATCATAACCTTTGGTGACCTAATGTTTGCTGATCTTACAGTGCTTCATCATTCTTTACACAATAAGATAGGTTAGATCACAATTTGTCAGAAGGGATGTTAGCTAAATCACATCTCATTTGATGGCCTCCTTGATCACCAAACCCAGTTTATTTCTGGCGGCTCCGTTACTGTGGTATTCCTAACGGAAATGTGCCGAAAGCTGTTCTCGTACGTTCGCGCGGCGTGAGTCTGAGCCCACTATTTGTGGGCTAACCCAGCCGCATGCGCTCTTCCTAGCGGGAGGCTTCTCCGACAAGGGGGTCTACGACTGGAGCTCGGAGGAGGAGGAGCCCGTGGGCAGGGCTGAGCCGGTGCAGGTGCTGGTGGTGAAAGACGACCACTCCTTCGAGCTCGACGAAGCAGCCCTGAGCCGGATTCTGTTGAACGAGGCCGTGAGGGAGCGGGAGGTGGTGGCCATCTCTGTGGCGGGCGCCTTTCGCAAAGGCAAGTCTTTCCTCATGGACTTCATGCTGCGCTACATGTACAACCAGGTAAGAGCCTCTAGCCAGCGAGTTGAGTTGACTTCTAAATTGGGCGGTCACGAACTTCCCGTTTCTTGCCATGATAGACAACAATCTACAATGTCCATTTCTTAATCTGTTACGCAAAGATGGAGAGAATATTTGTTAGTGGAAGTGACTGTTGGCCTGTTTGTTTGCGCAGGGCTCAGAGGACTGGCTAGGAGCACCGGACGAGCCCCTGACTGGCTTCTCTTGGAGAGGGGGGTCTGAGCGGGAGACCACTGGAATTCAGATCTGGAATGAAGTCTTCCTGGTGGACAAGCCAGATGGCAGGAAGGTGGGAACCCAAATGCCACGATGCCCAAGTGCCATCATCTATAAACTGGCATTTAGCGGGTATTGAATGGTATTTTTGCATTCGAGAAAAGACGTCACCATCCAAGTTTTAAAGGCGAACTGCAGTCCCAATTTCTCAGACCGGTTATTAAATCTCGGTAACAAAATAAATTAATTGACAGTACAGAAAAATGTTACACATTTTGAATTAAGTACAAAATCGTTAACTTTGTCATAGTCCTGTAAATCGCCATGTTGTCGCAAACTCTTGGTCTTGCCACTGCCGAAAGCAAGAGCTCTTGCAAATTGCAGCCCTTCCTGCTCACTACTGTACTGACTAATGTAATGCAGAGTACTAGCGAATAAGTAATGATTGTGCAGCAGATATTTCACAACATGATCTGCATGCAGAGCTAACAAGTCAAAACAGTACAATTGAGAGCAATATTTCAATTGGATTAAAAGAGATGTCTACACAAGCTGCTTGTTTACAATGAAATAAGGTCACTTCACCTCACCAGATGTTTTGTTGCCTCGTTTTACAAGTTACTCTGTACATTTTACTTTCATTGTGGTTTGAAATCTCATCAGTTCTGATTCTTTCTAACCCAGAAATATGAAACCAGCGTTGCAGTTCCCCTTTAATCTGGGGACGCTTAGTGCAGATATATTTAACAGAACCTTTCTTGTGGTTTCTAATTTGGCCTGTAGGTGGCAGTACTCCTGATGGACACCCAGGGTACCTTTGACAGCCAGTCAACACTGAGGGACTCCGCTACTGTGTTTGCACTTAGTACCATGATCAGCTCCATGCAGGTACAGTACCACCCCCATCTATCATTAACATTTTTAGTTCCTTTGAGACCCAGGCAAAAATATTAGATGTACTTTGTAATGACCGTCAGAATTGCAGCCATTCTGTGGAGCTCCTCTAGATGGTACTGGATTAAGCCTGGAATAAGAAAAGAGGGGAAAAGATCATTTTTCCATATTTTATCATTCCATACTTAAAAGGTTAATGGAAATCTTGTTTTAAATTTAGAAATTAAATGTAAATTTAGATACAGTTTTTATTGTGGGATTATATTTTTTAATTTGCTTTAATGAGGCTTGTGGTAAGAGATCACTAAGCATTTATAATGCTGTTTAATGCTCTACTCATTAGTGGATTGGTAACTCTGTTTTGTGTTACCCAGGTGTACAATATATCTCAGAACGTACAAGAGGATGATCTGCAGCACTTACAGGTATTAGCTTCTATTTTATGTCTCTTCACTGAATGCCAGGAGGAGAGTACTATGCAGCCAGGCACGCAATGAGAAAGTTACTTGATCTGTATCAGTGCTTCATCAGGACTACTGAGAATAGATTACACTTTTTTACACAAAAGGCTGTGGGAGTCTGGGACAAATTACCCAAGCATGTTCGAACCAATATCCTGGCTTCTTTTAAGAAAAAGGCTAAATGAGATCCATGGATCGATTACCTTCTAACAACCACATAAGCTTGACGGGCCAGATGGTTTCTTCTCATTTGTAACCTTTCTTAACGTTTGTATAAATGTCTTCTGTTATGTATATATTTTAAGTATGTAATGGTTTTTCTTTTCATAAATCTCTGTTTTACTACATGTAGCTAATAATATTTCAACTATGGATCCTGTTTCTGTAAAAACCCTATATCCGTGCTTAGTATAATAAGATTACTGGGAGTTAACATCGTTTTAGAGAGTGGGTAGGATGCCAGAAAAGAGGAAGAGATTGTGTTGAGTTAGAAGGTTCCCTTCATCAGACTCGAGGTTGTCTCATTACTCAATACAATTTGTATATATCACAGCGCCATTTTCATTATCAGTTAATATCCATCATTACAGGACAGTACAAAATGCCTCAGAACTTGACATTGCCTCTCATTTCTATGAGCTGTAGAAACTAAACTCCTTCAAAAACGATTTTATTTGAAAGCTCTTCACTGAGTATGGCAGACTGGCCATGGAGGAGACTTTCCTGAAACCTTTTCAGGTAGGCCACCTGCAACTCTATTTAAAAACATTTTGTTCTGTTATTAAGATTGTTTTTGTCTTGTTCATATAAAATATTTGCACTCCTTTGTACTTTGGGCCCTGGATTGGTGGAATGGGACTGACAAGCCCCTCTGTTTCCCTCTTGCAGTCAATGATATTCCTGGTTCGGGACTGGAGCTTCCCTTATGAGTTTTCTTATGGGCAGGAAGGGGGCATGAAGTTCCTGGAGAAGAGGCTTAAGGTCAGAAGCCAATGGTGTTGTAGTGTTATAGTTCACTCCCTTTATCTACCTATGTTTCTGATCTGAGCAACATATCGACAGGTAAAATATCTCAGACCAAATAAATTAATCCAAATTCAGGACCTCATTGTGCATCCATGAATTAAAACAAAAAATCGAGTGTTGATGCATTTAATCACAATTCAAATCAAACGATCACATGTATATATATTCTCTTGTTAGATATTTTTAAACTGAATTTGTTCCTAGAGTTTACCTTGAGATGTTTGAACGTGTGGTCAGCTCTACAATCAAACCACAACAATGGTGGAGATGTTTTGCAATTTCCCCAAATTACATGACTAAATTTAATGAATCAGCTGCTGCAATGATCATAATGAAATTAGTGCCAAGTCTTTAGCAACTAGTTATTTATTGGTTATCTATAAAACCCACTGGCTTGGAGTTCTTCATTACAGGGCCTGGAGACCCCTGACCTAGACTTTCAGGCCCAAACTCTCCTCTTGTATTTTACTACTACATGCCCCATTGACTAAATTAGGGGAGGAGTGATACGGTTGTGTTATGCGCACAGATCTCTGAGAACCAGCACGAGGAGCTGCAGAACGTGCGGAAACACATCCACTCCTGCTTCACCAACATCTCCTGTTTCCTCCTGCCACATCCCGGCCTCAAAGTAGCTACCAACCCACACTTCGACGGCAGACTCAAAGGTACCTACCCTGGAATCTCTCCAGCCTCGAGGGTACTGACAGCACTATTAAACCCTGGAAATGACACTGAAAATATGAGCTCAAACAGAAGAATTCAAAGCACAGTTTTGTAAGGGATTTAATAATATTTATTGTGACTAATAATTATTTATTGTAATTTGATGTACATACCTATAAAATCTAAAATATTTAATTACAGGTATGTTGAACGATGCAGTAATAAATACAGTCTCTTTTCATATTCTAAGAGTGACTTTGATTGGCAAAAACAGCAAATGTCACATTTTATTGATAGCAGGTCATATTATTCATTTAGTACTCTGAATTACAACCACAGATATTTCTCTTGCATCATCTTTCTAGTTACTGGCATTATTATAATGATGTGTGTAGATTACAGTGCCCCCTATTGGCTATGTATACATTTATCCTGGATATTTATTTTACTATGAAGCTTTGTTTTTGTGTTTGAAGTATTATTAATTTAAATCATGCAAACACTCTCCTGACAGTGTTTTGGGTGCTTACTAGGGTGTGCACTAATAACCTCTTTTCCTGTGTGCTCAGAGATCGATGGGGAATTCATTAATAACTTAAAGGTCTTGGTCCCCTGGCTCCTCAGCCCAGAGAACCTGGATGTTAAGGAGATAAATGGCAACAACATCACCTGCCGAGGCCTTCTGGAGTACTTTAAGGTGAACAGCAGGGGCTGTGTCTGGCGCAGGGTGCTCTGTGTATTCTTTTTTCATTTCAGAATGTATTCTTTCAATTCTCACCCACTGCACTTTCACAGCAGTGGCACGACAAAGGAGCAGCACACCACTGTCACCCCTCTTCTGTCCTTCTGTCCCATTCTTCTCCTCTTCCCACTGAGTTTGTGGCCGTGTTGGAAATAGGTCCAGAATTCTTCCAAAGAAAGGAAGAAGGAAACTTTTATGGGATTCCTTAACACAGGGGTTATTAAAACGGGTTCGTAACCCTGTAAAATCTTCTTGACTTTGTCCAGGGAATTCTTAGTACTGAGGGGAAAAAAAGCAAGTCTTAAGATGAGATCTCTGCACTGACATTACTGGTGGGTCCGTTGTCTGCGCTCCCCCCCGATATTTTAGAATAAATCGAAACCTTGTCTAGATTCAGAATTCTTATATTCTTATTTACTTGTATATTCAAATTTTGGGTCGTTATTGAGAAGATGTTCTTCAAAAAGCAGGCTACCAAGCAGACAGTTAAAAACCTCTTTCTTGGAAAACATTTAGGATAACTGCCACATACTTCCACCAAAAGTCGCTTACTGAGTTTAGACGGGAACGGATCTTCACGAAAATCCACAGCAAAAATCTTATCAGAAATTCAGTGCATATTTGCATATGCAACTAGATGCAGATATTCAATTATATTATATACAATTGTTTAGGCCTGCTTGTCCTATACTGTATATATACTTTATGTATTTCCTAATACCTGAAACACATATCCTCACCTTTGTTCTGCATGTCTTTTACTATTAAAAGGTACCATACCATTAGTACCACTTTATGAAAAGATGATAAAAAGAAATGCTTGAAAGGCTTGATTCTCCTGTACTGTTATTTGTTTTAGGCTTACATAAAGATCTACCAAGGGGAAGAACTGCCGCACCCAAAGTCCATGCTGCAGGTAATCTTCTAAATTTCACCATCACAGAAAACAGGTGGATATTGAATGGTTTTGAATAGACCAAGGGTGCTACAGCACTGATATGCTGAATAAAGGGAAATTCACCAGGGAGCAGAACCCCCATTTTATATTACAGACGACAAAAATGTATATGGCAAATTTAGTTTTGTGTACTGATAACTGTTAGTATGGCATGGACAGGGAATCTAAATTTGCACTGACACCAATTGTCGTGGTCGCTTTGCTTTGATATCAGTATCCTGTCTGTGGACTTTTGGTCTTAAATTAAGGTACACTCTAACTTTTACCCTCGCCACCCTTTTTTTAAGACGGATTAAGCGCTTGTGACCTCCTCTCTCGTCTCTCTTCTGCTTCAGGCGACAGCAGAAGCCAACAACCTGGCAGCAGTAGCAGCAGCCAAGGACCTGTACAACAAAAAGATGGAGGAGGTGAGAGCGCGAGGAAACAACACAGCCCATACGCTGGGCTGCTCGGCTGTGGGCAGGCCCGCTCACATGTCCACTCCGCGACTACCTGTATCTGCTGCCGTAGTACTGGCCAGGCCGTACAGTAAATCAAACACTAACAGCTGCTGCCAGCAAAAAACTTTCCCTCAACTAGTGCTTCCCACTAGGGCATTATTAAGTGAAGTAAATTAAGGCAAAAACTTTCAAGCTGATTTCAAGCCAAGACATTAAATTCCAGACACCAGCACAATACTTGCTGCATAATAATCTTGCCAAAAAAGATTTAAACTTAAATTACTTGGTATGCATAGTATTTATGTTCCTCTTATTTCCGTAATAGGTCTGTTTGTAAGCACTGTATTAACACTTAATAAAATAAAGGAGAGGGGTTTGTAAAAGGAATTCCTAAGAATTAGATAGCATTGCTCCTCTGCGTGAAACGTCAGACCAGTTTTAAAGTCTAACTGTACTGAGATTACAAAAAAAGAATGTACCAACAACCCAGGTGCTCTGGTCCTCTCTTTCTTGTCCATTTCATACCAAGATAGGGACATAAAAATCCCATCCCATGTGGTCTCCCTAAGATGTTCTGTACTACTTTCTGACCTACCAGCACTTAAAGGTCTTATGGACGAGATGAAACGGCTAGTGAAAGATCACGTCCGTCTCAGGAGTGAAGAAAAGAAGGCTTCCTCTATGACATGGCTCCGGCTAACTCAGTCTCATGTCAAGGTCTCTGGCTCTTACAGGCAAAGTGGCACCTGCCACACGAATTCTTCTCCTCCTCCGTTTGGATCAAAAGCAGATCCAGGAATGTAATTAGGTTCTCACAAACTGTAAGCCATTAGCTATTTTGCAGGCCCTCATGTAAGTTGTTTTTATAAAGTTTCAGAATGTGGAAACACGCATAAAACCCTAACCTCTGACATCCTGCACGAGCACCTCTGGCACAGTCAAGCTGAGCTCCTTCCATCAGGGCCTTGATTTAGGCTACCCAGAATCCAGCCTAATAGAACTAAGCGATCTTTTCCCCCCACAGCTGTTATCCTGCTTAATTTGGACAATTGATTGTATATCTTACTTTATTTTTCCTTTCTCATCATACTACACATGTATGTCTGTTACGTCTGTTAAGTGTACTTAAGTGTGTAGTGTGTTATGTCTTGTAGCTGAAATTTCCCATGTGGGACAACAAAAGGCAGTGATCCTCCGAGATGCACAGTAAGGGCATTTCACATGGCTTGACAAGGAGCTGGCCATACTGTGCCTCCCAGGAGGTGCAGGAGTCCTCTGAGCCTGCGTGCTGCTTGTTCCTCCAGGTGTGTGGGGGCGACAGGCCCTTCCTGGCCCCCAGCGAGCTGCAGGCGCGGCACGCGGACCTGCGGGAGGAGGCGCTGCGCCTGTTCCGGGGCGTGAAGAAGATGGGGGGCGAGGAGTTCAGCCGGCGCTACCTGCAGCAGCTGGAGGCCGAGATCGACGAGGTCTTCGTGCAGTACATCAAGCACAACGACTCCAAGAACATCTTCCACGCCGCGCGCACCCCGGCCACCCTCTTCGTCGTCATCTTCGTGATGTACGTGGTGGCGGGCGTGACAGGCTTCGTGGGCGTCGACGTCATCGCCAGCCTGTGCAACATGATCCTGGGCCTGGCGCTCATCACCCTCTGCACGTGGGCCTACATCCGCTACTCCGGGGAGTACCGGGAGCTGGGTGCCGTCATCGACCAGGTGGCAGGAGCACTCTGGGACCAGGTACTGCAGATCACCCGTCCCCTCTCTTTTCAGAGTGCACTGATGTTGGAATAGCCAGTTCTCCATGTACCCAGCCTCGTTGCTAGGATCCTAGGACCCTAGCACGGAGGAAATAAAGACAAACATGCTCACAGATACACAGACCATCTCCTTCTCACTTTGCATGCCCACAGCACCAACCTCTGAAAGCATCAGGGGGGGAATGCAGTTCTTAGCAATAGCCTGGAAAGCTCACAGGCACCTGCCAAGCCACAGGGATCACTACTGCACTTGGATAACCCCATCCAACTCCAATCCCCAGTTAACTTCAGCAGTGTTTATCTTTTTGAGGATGTCTACTCAGGGAATCCTGGTCACAGCTGGCCAATTACAGGGCCCAGACTAGTCTAGACTAGTGCAGAATACACTATGTGTGTTTCTTGTTTAATGTATTCAGAAGCCTGCAGGTACTTCTATTTTGCCAATCACCACATCCTAAAAACCTGCCTTCTTCACTTCTATGAGTGAAGTGATTTTCTGTTATTTTATACATTAAAAAAGCCTGTTTGTAAAGTACAGTATATGTTCAGGCACATAAAACGCTGAGAGTCCAATTATCCCTTAATCAAAATAAAAGCCTTACATTATTTTTTAGTTCTTATTTATTCTAATATTACAATGCCTTCAGCATTCCTTTGCAAGCACAGAACTAATCAGATTAATTTAAAGTATCTCCTGGCTTTCATGTCTGTCTGTATGGGAAAAAACATGCTACTGTAGGGCATGATCCACATTTTTACTAAATGTTTCTTAGGCCTGCTTACAATGTAGAAAAACTACTCAGTTTAAAAAAAAGGAACATAAAAGTGAAGTTGTACAGCATTATCCCTTCCAATCCAAGCAGGTCTTTACATTTTGTTTGCTGTTTTATGACATGAAGAGCAACAGAATATAATAAATGTGTTACCACATCAGACCACTAGAGTGCGACCTTGTCATTTTTCTGGTTGATCCTTTCTGGAAACCGAAGACCGTTAAAAGTTAATACATCACTGATACTAACTCACACTAGTTCATAAAAGAAGAACTGTTTCAAATGGTACTAAAGCTCTTCTCCCCTTTGGTCTTTTTTTTTTTACTTTCAACCGGCTGCTTCAGGGAAATATGCCATATGAAATGCGACGAGGTTAACAGCTTTCTGTAACAGGAATGCACAAGTTCCTTTTTTCACGAGCTGCCACACTTGCTCTCTGCACTGTTGTTTTAAGATGCTCTCTCTTTGTTTCTTTTCTGCCTTCATTTAGGGAAGCACTAACGAGGTAAGTAACCGAGGTTTGTGGCACATTTTTGTCCTGTTCCTTAGTATGGATCTTGATATCACTATCGCCTGAACATTTTCACTGTTTCATACCTCAGATCCCTGGGCGCACATCAGGGTTTGTGGTGGAAACGGCTTTAACTTCTCTTGACCTTCTCTTTTAGTTATATCAATTAAATGTGTTATTATTAGTCACCTTGAATTACCTGTTTTAAAAGATGAGATTGTGAAGAAAGATTTTGAAGACCAATTAGGCTGGTAATTTGTTCAGTTCAGGGATCTGGTAGCTACCAGCACAGAGTCACCAAGTGGTCAAAAGCTGCAACCACGCCAAGGAATCTAAACATAAACAGCAAAAAGAGCATATGCCCATCTTGATTTTCAAAATAACACTTTATTTTTAAGCGTCTGACTGGTTTTTGAGATTGTAGCTTGGCATGCTGTTTTTCAGCCTGACTTGTGCTCTCCTTTGTCCGCAGGCTCTATACAAGCTGTACAATGCTGCGGCCAGTCACAGGCACTTGTATCACCACGCTTTTCCCAGCTCACAAGCAGAGACCCAGGAAGAGCCAGAGAGGAAGAAGAACTGACTCTGTAAAAGTCTCTGCACTGGAAGTGCGTGATCCTCTGGGCCACTGAGGAGCATGACCGACAGAAAGAAAGCATAGAATTGTCAGCTTTGGGCACTTGTACTAAAATTTGACTGACAGGATCTGTCATTTGGCACAGACACCACTAGGTAGCTAAAGGGAGAAATCTGAGATTATTCTCTGTAGCTAAATCCTACTCCACAGGTGCAGAAAAAAGTATGGAAACCACTTAATCTATGTGCTAATTTGATCTTTTATTTATAAGACCTTTTGGTTTCTAAAATGGAAACATTGTATATATTCATAAAAAACAGTTGTAATGCAGCAGATGTATATGGAATTGGGGGAAAATTCCAGTGCTTAGTTTACTGTGGCTTGATGTCAAATGATTCACAAGCCAGGTATAGAGAAAATATGCCATCACTAGTAGGCAATGCACATTTCAGCAGCAATTGTAGAGGTATAAAAAGTCAGTTTATCTTTTCACTCTTCAAAAACTGAAGACTTCTGATATATTAGTTATGTACCACATTACTATTACAATTAACAGATTAGGGACTGGAAATTCACATTGTTGAAGCCAACATACTTTTCAAATCATCAAAGTGTGCTTCTACTGTCTGTTAGGTTTAGGTTATTTTTTAGTAATATAAAAATGATGAGCACATATTTTCTTCATTAATATCCCCACTTAACTATGGGAGAAACTGTATTGATCTTTACATTTCTACAGTTTCAAGTGAATGAACTGAAAGCACCTGGAAATATCTTTGGAATTAGAGAGCAGTTTGGTACCTGGAAAGTTCAGATTTTTCTCCAATTTAATGTGAGCTGCACTTCAACTTCAGTTATTTTCTCCCTTGCAGGGATGTCTTTGGTAAAGGTGGCAGGTCCCTGTTCTATAAAAATATCTGCATTACCCAACAAAGAGCATCAATGGATGCTGCAACTACATGAATGTGTTTATCACATCAGTGCTTATCCAACAAGCATGCAAGGAAAGATTGATAATTCATACATTTTGAAATAGAGGTACAATAGTGAAGCTTGAGAAGGTGTCAGAGTATTACTGTAAAATGTCAAGGTGGGGTAAACGATGTGAAGGAAAGGGAATAGTTGAAAACAGCAAATAGGGCTCTAACACAGTAAACCTTTCATATTTCCATTAGGGGATAAATGCAATGTAAAGCACAGGAGGCCTGAATCAAAAGAGGATGCAAGACTCAGGCAAATGCACAGTGAAGATTATAAGTAGAAAAAACCTGATGCAACCTTAGTGGCAAAACCATTAAATGCATTCAGCCTAGCCTAAAAGCACTCAGACCTTTAAGAGACCACTTTACATGTTCATCTTTGCTCTCAATCTAAGCAAAATGGCACTTCTTATTATTCTGCCAATGTGTAAAAAACCTAAAACACATAAAACATTGCTTGGGTTTTCAGTAATATTCTCAGAAAAGGTTCTTTTGGAAAGGCTGAGTGCATTTCATACACACGATAGAAGAAGTACAGTTAGTTTTATTGGACCAAACATTTTGGTATACGCTGCAGTTGGAAGACAGCTGACCAACTAATAGATATTGTTCAGTCCCTTTTTATGTGTCAGGGATTCAAGTGAAAGTTTTTGCTGTTGACAGTAAAAACTGAGTCAGGAGTGGCTTTTGCATCTGCATACTTTGATGGAGCAGAGGCCTATGCATAATAGCTTCTACTTGTAAAACAGTTGTTTGTGATGTGAGATAGCTTATGTAATTGCAAATGTGTTAATTTGGTGGAGTTATTCTATTTCTTGAACACTGATACATTTTGGGATCTCCGTCACCATTTCTTTTGCAAACTTGATGATTTGGAAAGAAGTAAACTATTAACTTTGTTGTACAACCTATCCAATGAAGATAATACTTTTTTTTTGCCTTTGAATCACTTCACAAAATGGTAAGCTTTTTGTTCAGTGATAACATAACATGAGTTTTCAGAACTACGGAGAGAACAGTTGGTCCCAGCTGGGTCTTACCAAAGAGGTTTACTCTAATTTTTCATCACGCTTTTTAAGGAAAGATAACGCACAGCAACATGCTTTCCAGTGTGCACGGATTGTCTTCCATGTTGTGTAACGTCAGTCCATGAGGCATTATCATCAATTTTTATTAAACTGTAATAAGTTTGAGTTCCTATTGTGTTATAACCTGGAATTTGTCTCTACACTACTGGATTTGATTCATTCACAAAAATATGGATTAAACTACTGACCCTATACATTTCAGTATAAATACTATTGTAATTGTGTTGGCCCATCTCAAAATGTGCTGGGCGGAGCGGTGGCTCTGTGGCTAAGGATCTGTGCCTGTGGCTGGAAGGTTACCGGTTCATATCTCGCGGCCGGCAGAGGAATCCTAGTCTGTTGGGCCCCTGAGCAAGGCCCTTAACCCCAACTGCTCCAGGGGCACTGTACAATGGCTGACCCTGCACTCTGACCCCAAGCTTCTATCCCTTGTTTGTGTCTCATGGAGAGCAAGCTGGGGTATGTGAAAAAATATGAATTCCTAATGCAAGAAATTGTATATGGCTAATAAAGTGATCTTATCTTAAAACCACCCACTAAATAATCTAGTTGAATTATCTACAAAATCAGATTACATTTGCCAAGTCTAACCTGTTACATGTTTTGGGATATGCCTAATGTTAAGGCTAATTTACTATACTCTTTTGCTCCTGTTATCTGGTCATACTGTAGTTCCAGAAGTCAGTATTGACTCATGGGTCAGCAGATGCAGGTAAATTAATCCAAGTCACCAAGTACAGCCAAGGCTGTATATTTAAACAAAATTAATATTTTCTACCAACCCATGAAGAGAAGTGACAGCTAATCTGCGTTGTGCACCATTTCTTTCTGAACAGCATGTGATCAAGGACATGCTGCTGCTGGAATTTCACTTACTGTACATCACAACATTCAATAAATGCCTCTAGGTCAACTGAGTGACAAACATGTGGCACCTGTTTATATCATATATATATTATATATAATGAAATTTAAAAAAACAATCAAGTTTCCCAACCAAACTGATTAATGCAGATGTTGCTGGACTAAAATTTATTAACATAAATTCAGCCTTTCCCCAACATGGCACAAAGGTGGTACAATATTTTGACCAAGCTATCATCTGTGTAGGATCATGTTAGTAAGACTTGAGGCATGTTTTGTTTCATAAAGAGATGTTTATTATATAGTAAGGTCACAGGTTGTTGATATTGCAAGATTTATTGTGTTTATACACATGTATATTGCACTAGAAGTATATAATTCATAAATAAAGGCAGGTACAACAGAATCCCCACCCCTTTTTGTTTAAGGTTTTAATTCCAAAATGTGTGATTTGTTGCAAGGGGAAAAAAAACTATTTACAAAGGAAATCTGTACAAAAAGTATCAGTTATTTGGCAATATAAAAGGCCTCTACAAAATGCCCCAAATTAAGAAAAATATTGCTGACTTGCAGAATTTAGACACTGTGTCCCCTCCCATGGAAGGCAATGCTCATCATCATATTGTTCTGTTTCTGTTGAAAGAAAGGTCTTTTCTGTTCGAATAGTGGTTCAATTAGTAATATTCCCAACACGGACATAGCAGCTTATCAGAATACAAGATAACACATTAAATATTCTTTACTGCTGGAGAGTTCAATATTAATGTCCGGATAATGATCTGTTTTTCAGCTTGAAAATGAGATAACGAAGACTTTACTTACACAATGTGCTCCCAGCTGTTTTTTTAAAGATACTGTGAATAGAACACAATTAAACAAGCATTCATTTCTGTGAATCTTTAAAACTTTCTAACAATTACTGTACCTTGCAAATAAACTGTCTCTATATTAAACACCCAGGAGGCAGACAGAACAAAAAATAAATAGAATTCAAATGTTTTAAGAAAGCTTTGAATTTCGTGACAGCCAATTTTTAAAAACCAGAACTGTCCCATGACTCTCAGTTGATGCAACACACCATCAAATAAAACTGAAAGGATGTTAAAACATTATATTTAGGATCAACAGCCACGCCTTCAACTGAAAAAAATAAACCATGTTTTTTAAACAAGAAATACCCTGGCAATTAAAAAAAAAACATTCCAATGAAATCACAATGTCCATTTTTTGAATAAGGCTCATTAGCAAATATATAATATGTATCCCTCCTCTCAGTCATGGAGGGTAATATGTTTAAAAGAAGAGAATCAACACTTTAAAAGAGTGAAAAACAAAGCCTTAACTCCCCCCTGAAAGGCAGTATAAAAGCTTGGGGTCCAGGTGATTAGAAATGATTATAGAGGATCATAAAATGATAACATCTTTACATTCAGGATTGGTTTATTGCATATTTTTTTTAATAAACAGAGTTTTAGCACTAAAGAGTAACCAAAAATTGTTATTTGAAAATTCTGAAAGCAAAAACGGTTTCAGTACTTTGTAATCCCTTAAAGTGAGATTATATAATTGGTTACAAAAAGGTCAGCATTTTCAATTTTTGATCTCTGAAGAACTGACAATAATGCAGAGAGCTCCTTAATTCAATTACTGTTTAGGCTTTGGAGACCTCACACTCCAAATTCCTGGAGTTACTGGTAAAATTCAGAATGGCTCACATTGCAATGCAATGCTTTTTGCCAGTACATTTAAAAGTCCTCTAAATAAATTCAAAGTCAGCCATCATGTCATCTACCAGGATCACAAGCACTTCTTAAAAGGGGTTAAAATCATTTGGTAGTGACATAAAAAGAATATTTAATGGTAATATAAAAATACCTTATATTTCAAAGTGTATGCATACATATGTAACAGAGGGGGGAAAATAATATTATATAGTCATTATGAAATGATTAAAAAAAAAACACAGGACCACAGCAGAAGTGATTCCCATTTTAAAATGAAGCTGCCCACCTTGCTCTGCTTAATACAGAGTGACTGAACATCCAGGACTCCCAAACACTTTCCTGTTAAAAGAGAGATCCTGGTCTAGCTTATCTGTGATTGGTACAGGTACGAGTCTGTTCACTTTGTGAGAAGAAGCTGAATTATAAGACTAGAGACCCTCTATGGATTGGCACACAGTGCAACATGTAGAAGACTCCTGTCTCCATGCTTGCTTTTATTTTCCAACAGCTGATCCATAGATGTAACAGAAGCCTACTTCATAACTCCCAATCCCAAACAACAAATATTTGAGCGCCAACAAAAACATTGTCTTTATCACCCATCTCTTCAGATATAAAAAAAAATCACCTGATTTCTGGGGAGAGGTGGCAGACTTCTTTGTAAAATTCACCAAGCTATCAATATTTTTTCACCCCATTAGGATTTTGAAGTCTTTTGATGATTTACACTATCCTCTTTTACTTTTGAACTGTTTTAATGATGTGATCTTAGTATTTTTAACAGATAAAAGCAATCTTGATCATTATATGCCACAGAGACATGCAACCTATGTTTGCAGACACCACCAATTTTGTTTCACACTGCAAAGGTGTGTAAGTAGACACCCAGAAAAATAATCCAAAGTCTTGGGATGTCTGACCCCAGGAGAACGAAGCAAAGGAGTCCATAACCCATTTCTGGTGAGGCGAACCATGATTGTCCTCATTACATATTTCCGGTGAAGTTCTTACTGTGCTGCTGGGCATACCACTGCTGTCGCTGCTTGCGTGTGTCCAGTTCGGTGAGCAGGGCCTGTCGGTACGCCTCATACGACTTGACAATTCTCTCAAGCTCCTTCATGAACAGCAGCTTCAGCATGCCCTGATAGGTGTCCAGATCTACTAGCTGGAACAGCTCCCACTTCAGAATGTGGTCATACCTGCCAAGTCAAAAAACACCACACAGGCAGCCTGAGACTTATATACCTGTTGAACACGTATGCTTTTTGGAAATCTCCATCAAAGACTTACTTAATTTTTTGCATAGGAATTTTGAAGTGACATATCAGTTCCTGAGAACACCAGATACTTCACATTCCAGGTTCTTGCACAATTTACAATTTGGCCTAAATTAACTTCTTTGGACTACTAAATCTGAAAAATTAAAAAAAATAATTTTGATTAAGAACTGTCTGCTGCATTACCTTTGTATATGTAATAATAATTATCTTAAATTCAAAACACAAAAATCATTTCAGACAGTTTTAAATAACAATAGACCAGTTTATTTTCAAAAACAGGGGCTTTGTTCTATAAAACAGCATTACAGGGGACAAGGGGCTCTGGAAATATTGATGGTAAAAAAACCCTAATGTACTGAAGACAGTACATAAGTCATGTCTTTAGCAGTTTTAGGGTACAATGGCTGCTATCCTTTAGGCTATCCTAATAGCCATTTCCCACCCCCAGGTCAACCTCCTTTTTTGTCATCGGGTTAGTTTAACTGACGTTGCTAACATGCAATGAATTTCACACATGGTTTAAAGCTATGCTATACTTGTTTAACACTAATTACAGATTATGTTCTCTATAAAAGTGTTAAGATACATTCATCTCAGGCTCAAAACCAATTTAAAATGGACATTCAGAATTCAACAAACCTTAGGAACATCCTTCAAATCAGTGTAGGCCACAATAAATTAAAACTCTGGAGAAAAAGCCAACTGCATCATGCAAATGGCATTTAAATACCTAATTCACGATAGCAAGTGAAACCTGGAAACATGTTGCATTGTAACAAGAATTTTGCTAGTATCTGCCAGCAACTGTTATAATTCAGTTAATCCACCACTAAACCCTTTCACAGTTACAATCCATACAGAAGCACAAAGGGAAACGCACACAGGAATGGTGCAGAACTCTGACCCCAAAGCTTTAAAACTGCACGGTTTGCAATTTACCTATTAACTGAACAACTAGATAACTAGCTTTTATTCATTCAAGGTATGAAACTAATGGTTATTTGAAGCTGTACATAAAGCATTCAGTGATAGTTGCATATGAAAAAATATCACACTAATTCGCTAAAGTGTCATCCAAGAGTGACATGCTCATTAGATACATTAAGCTGAATTTACCACACCACATGCAATCATTAAAGTTAGTATTCTGCTGCTGGATACAGAACTCACTTGAGAGGTGCCCTGGCATAGACCTGCAGCCAGTCAGGGATTTCTGCAGTGTGGTAGGGGTTGGCTGGCACCAGCACTGGCTGGTTGCGATCTGCCTGGCGAGGCTGGTAAGTGACCGGAGGAGGGAGAGGAGGCGGCTGATCATAGCGAGGAACACTGAAGGAAGAGACAGATGACATTATGAGAAAAACGCCACACATAAACCAATAGCAACAGGTGACATATTAATATTGCTTAAAACAATGAAGACCACATTATGAGAAGTCTAAGTATTTTATTATCCCATTATATTTCTCATATTAAAATCAAGAACAGTATTCACGTACGAAGTATGCTGCTCTAAAGACATATAATCCCGGAATGGGTGCCATCCCAGTCATCCCTGTACATGATAACTTAGTGTCATTAGGTAATAGTACCCATTACACTTTTGATAACTGACCTATAAAGATACCAGTGGGACTAGGTGACATTAACCAAATGGTGATCAGAACAATTCGATCACAAATCACATGCATAAACTGACATGGAACATAGAGGTCTGACTGGTCTGCTCATAAAAAGGAATGTACCATGCATACCTTGGAGCACAAGGGTGTCTGTACTGTGCCCTCTTATTGATGTGATCAACGTAATACACCCCAAATTCTGCAGACTCCACCTTCTCCCAGCCTGGAGGTAACCCCTCTCTCTCTAGCGGGTGGCTCCAGTGGGTGGTGTTAGTGTTGTGGTCAATGTAGTACTTCCTGCCACGAATGGTCCAGTCAACTGTCCAGCCAGCAGGTAGGGGCAAGTCCTCTCCACTGGGAGTTGCCAAGTTCCCCAGTGACTTTGCCTGTATTCTTCCAATAGCTAGGAGAGTGAAAAACCACTGGAGTAAGGAAACCTTTAAGGTCACAAAAGGCATCTGTTTTATTGTGCAATACCTCAGAATGTTTCATTTGCTGTACACACCTCATCACATTTTAACTGAAATAAACTACTGATTGTTTTGTAAACATTATATTCACTAGCAATAAACTTTCAATGGAAATAAAAAAACATCCCCTCTGCATTCAATGCATTATTAGTCAAAACCCCTGTTCAAACCTCTAACTAATCTAGACAACATTAATAAACCACACTGGATTCCACCCATAACCAGTAATGAGAAGCTCAATCAGCATTGTGCATGCTTTGAAATTCAAATTTACAGATCATTTTAGAAGAGAAACAAGCTTAAAATGTTTCTCAATCACCTTTTTGAGAACCGAAAGAACCTACCAGAAAGCCTGTACCCTTTTCCCCAGGTATAAAACACACTGAATTACTTTTTTTCATATAAATACAGATCTGCTTAGTTACGTCACTACTGCATTGCCATCAGGAGGCGACATCATTAACCTCAGGTTATTCAGTCTGATTCCAAATTAAGATCATTAACATCATAATGGGTTCACATACACCTATCAATGCATTATTTAATACCTTTTCTTATTTGTAAGGGTTCCCATATGATTTAATATATAATTTTCTAAAAATGTGCATTCCAGGGGACAGTATTTAGTGATTTATAACTGTAAACATCTCAGAAATTAAATGCACACGCTTTTGCACAAAAGAAATTGCATCGCAGATCACAAAACTTTGGGAATTCTAACACATGCCTAATCAAAGAAAACAAGATTCTCAAAAAAAAATACAAGCAACAACAGAGTATACATTTGTAAACATAATGAGATGTATTACAATAAAGACTTGTTAGCTTTTTTATGTTTGCTCGATGTTTGCTGAAAAGGCTATCAACAAAGTCATGCTACATGATGCAATTTGTTATTTTAGGAAGAGCAAAGGTGTCTCACCTCCGATATGACCAGTGCATGTTTAAATTTCTAAATGTTTTAAAACTGTTCTCCAGATGCAAATATTTGGAAAACAATCAAAACATTAAATCATTTGGGATCATGAGGGGGTATTTTTTATGAGTATGCAGCACGGAGGCACAGTGGTTAGCATTTCTGCCTCACATTGCTGGGACCACGGTTCCATTCCGCATTTGGGGTGTTATCTGTGTGGAGTTTGTATGTTCTCCCCTTGTACATGTGGGTTTTCTCTGGGTGATCCAATTTCCTCCCACAGTCTAAAGACATACTTGCCAGCAGCCATATCACCCTGCAACTCACAACTGGCAACCCACTGAAGCTGTACAGGTGTGAGCCTGGTCAGTACCTGGATGGGAGACCTCCTGGGAAAAACTAAGCTTGCTTCTGGAAGCGGTGTTAGTGGGGCCAGCAGGGGGCGCTCACCCGGCGGTCTGTGTGGGTCCTAATGCCCCAGTATAGTGATGGGGACACTATACTGTAAAAAGGTGCCGTCCTTTGGATGAAACGTAAAACCGAGGTCCTGACTCTCTGTGGTCATTAAAAATCCCAGGGCGTTTCTCAAAAAGAGTAGAGGTGTAACTCCAGCATCCTGGCCAAATTCCCCCTTGGCCTTTACCAATGGTGGCCTCCTAATAATCCCCATCTACAAATTGGCTTTATCACTGTTCTTCTCCCCACTGATAGCTGGTGTGCGGGGAGTGAACTGGAGCCCTATAGCTGCCACTGCATCATCCAGGTGGGGCTGCACATTAGTGTTGGTGGTGCAAGGGAGTCCTCATTACCTGTAAAGTGCTTTGAGTGGAGTGTATAGAAAAGCACTCTATAAGTGTAAGGAATTATTCATTGTTATTATTTATACTGACAGGTTAATTGGCTTCTGGAAAAATTGTCCCTGCAATGGCCTGGTGTCCTGTCCAGGGCGTATCCCACCTTGCACCCATTAATTGCTGGGATAGCTTTGGCTCCACTGTGACACTGTATTGGGTAAAGTAGTTAGAAAATGGATGGATAGATGGATATATTTATGAAAGTTTTAACCATAGGACCTGGCTTTATAATCTAGACTCTGGGATAGCAGAAGCACAAAGTTCCACTGTATCAAGATTAAAATTATCTTAAAACAACATGCAAATGACTCTGCGGCACAAGGGTGATTTACCTGTCCCCTAGCTGTACTTGAAAATATACAGTACCGTGCTTTCCCAGTACACAGCCTTATCAAAATCTACATGAAAAACAGCTGTTTTAGCATTCACCTAATAATCCTTAAGGAAGAGAAGTTAGGGCAAATACTGCAGTGGGGAATTCATAAAGAGAGATGCAAATAATCTGCAGGTGGTCTTGAATGAAACACATACTATTCACAATTAGCCAACTCATTCAGCCTGCTGCCAAGTTCCTCCTCAGGGACAAGACAATGTTTGGGAAAATGCGATCTTTCCAATGGGACTGGAAGGTCGCCAAAACACAAGCTCGTCAGTGTAAGACTACAGCATGTGATCTTTTAAAATATGTGACCCACTTCACAGCGGATCGATCTTTTTGAGATAAAGGGGGAAAATTCACTACAGAAGTACACAAACAAGTCAGCAATCGGTCTGGATTGCAATGTGCGACTATTTTAAGGAACCATAAAACTATTTGAAAACTCGTGTGCAACCTTCACCCTGCCCACTGGAAGAATGTATAAAATACAATCCTTGGCATTAACAACAGTACTTTTAAAACTGGGCGATATGAAAAGATTTCAAACAAATTTTTATTTACAAGTAAACTTCAACACCAATGAAAAAGGAGGACGGTTGAAGTTGGTATACATTCTGTAGCCTTAACTATCCAATAAACAAATGTCTCCCTACACATAAATATTCTACTTTTGAAGGTTTGTTTCAATGTTTACCTTCTCCACAAAGAAATCAGATGTATGTTAAGTGTGTTTTAGAACTGAAATCAAAATCATACCACTTTAGCTGAGATGTGGGCATTAATGAAACTATAAAATAAGTAGAAACAAGGATACAAGTTCACCAAACTGTAGCAACGTTTGCTAGAGAATCTTCCATCTGCAACATGCAGTAGAGTAAGGAAAATCTATAATCTGTAGTGAGCAGTAATAAAATAACTCTTGGCATTCACATAGCATTATTTAACCCAAAACATCCCCAAGATAACATATCTAACATATCGGAAGATGCCGACAATCTGCACTGAAGTGTTACCATAATGTAGCCCCACTGCAGCAGCAGCAGATGACAGACACAACAGAAACTAATTTGCCAGTTGTTTCTGTTTATTTTCAACATAAATATTGTGAATAAACACAGTTCCGTTAAAAAACGTTAAGAGGCTGACTGAACAGAAGTAGGTCCAGACCCATTACTGTGACCTGGGTGCCAATCAGACAGAGAACACTGCATCACCGGGAAACTGCTTGCATTACCCTTGGCTAGTTCTTCTTATTTGTATTAAAAAAATAGACAATAGTCAGCTCAATATGAATAAGCAACTGAGTAGAGTTTTACATTTAGGGAAAATGGTGGGAAGCACAAATCTCCTCCCAGGAGACAGGAAGGCACAAAACCCAGCCCTCTGATTAAAACGGAACGAGTCCAAGAAACTCCAGGGGAGTTTACACTAACACCCACACACACAGCAGCCTGGCTACAACAGAGGAACTGCACGGTCACGGCCTCATGATGAACAGGACCAAATTTCAGAGTATGTTCCTGTTTGGGTTTTTCTCCTAGGGTAATAGTAGAAGTGGCCATTAAAACCAACTGGACATTCATTAGAATTAGGTGGGTAGCTGCGTCAGCTGCAAAGGAACAAGTAATAGGTTTATTCCACCCTGAAAAAAAAGAAAGAAAACAACGTTTTGGCCGTGGAGCCTTCTTCAGGTGTGTGAACACACACCTTTTTTTCCCCAGCATGGAATAAACCTATTACTTATTCATTAGAATTAGTTGTGTTGAGCCGATTTCATCCTTATACACTATGTTTTGAAATGATGTGATGCACTCATACATTTTTTTCTGCTCGTAACCTCAGTGTGTCAATTGCTGAGAAGATGAATCTAGATTCTCACCCCACTCTCATTCTGAAAGACTCAAGCCCTTCAAAATGATAAATGTAAACGACTGATGTTTCAGCTTTGTTTTGCATCAAAATATATGAGCGGAATTATGCTGCATAAACTGCCAAGTGTAACCAGGAATTCAAATGATTTGCATCAGCTGCTGGAAATTATATAAACATTTATAGTTTAAAAGAACTGTTTTCCCACAACTTCAGAGGAGATTCAGTATCTCCTTAATATGTTATGTTCTGGACATTGGTTTACTTAAAAAACTGACTACAATTTACTGCTCTCTCTCAATTTTATTATCCCCTAATTTGGAACACAAATTCCAACATGCTGAGAGAAACCATCAAACTGAATATGAAAGAGGGGCAATTTCAAAATTAGCTAACCCATATTAGCCCAAATGTTTTTTTTTTGTTTCAAAAGATAATAATTTTGGCAAAATTTCAAAATAGTTTTTAGCTGTAAATAAACCTTTCTGGGTGGAGCACAAGGCTGAACTGAATTGCCCTAAACCATAAACCAAACATTAATAGCGAGCAATAGGTCACATTTAGCATTTTTCCCTCTGCAGTTCCTGTCTTCATTGTGTTACAAGGAAGGCATGTTGTGATTTACCCTATGGCCATGCTAGATTAGCAAAGGCTGATCTACATAAACGTTCAATAAATTACATAAGATACATGGATATTTCACAGCCTTGATGAGTTTTCCAGAATCACTGGCATCACATCTTAAACCACAATCTTCCAACACATTGGCAGCACCAGACTGGAGCCAAGGACATGATAAATTCTGCATCTGAATGAAAACTCCCGGCTCCAGCTGATAAACACCTGAAATGTTAGACAGATACACTGAAAAGTGTCCTCCTCAACATTAATTTTGTGCATTAAATATAAAGGGGGAGAATTTGTTAAAGGCATTTCATAATCTTAAGTGACTCATTAAGATTATACAAATTTATACTAAACTAATTCTATAGCTGCAGATGATTACAATGCTGAAGCAGTAATGAATGGATTACATTTATGATAGTACTGAAATCCAGCATTTTTCAATAACAGGAAAAGATTCTATCTATTGTATAAAGTTTCACAACCTTCTAAGGAGATGTTTTCAAAAGGAGTCTCTCTATAATAAAGAATAAGGAGCAAAAAATGAAAATCTCTGGGATAAAAGAGGAGCTTCTTGAGAACATATAACATTTGTTCTAATAGCTTTATTGGTCTTCTTCCTAAATAGTGATATTTCCAAACCAGATGACTACAATAAAGTAAAAACAAGTTCACTGTCGCCATATAGATGTTATTGAAGTGTTACAGAAAATCGCTTATATAAATCTAGTTCAAAGTCTGAATACTTGCAGAAACTCCTTCAAAACTTAGTGCCGGCCACAACATGAAAAGAGGACAACGAAATTCAGCAGAACTGTGGTCAAAGGTAACACTGCACACAGCAAAGCACACCCTTTAATCCCAATGTATTCCTAAAGTATTCCCCATCCCCACCTACATCTGCTTTAATCAATCATTTCTACTAATCCATTCATAAACTGTTACTCGGAAGGTAATAATATTCTTGCAGGTTATTCTCACAACGTTCTCAACTTTAATTCTTAATTTTATAACACATTAAAACACATTCTTAATTTTTTAGTTAAGGAAAGAAAAATATACGCCTAGGTCTACATGTTTTTAGGGAAAATGTGAATACTTTGTGATATTCACCAACAAAACTGTCACTGCTATTTAGCTCTATGTAAATTCTTAGTTTGTCACAATATCCCCTTTCTTTTTATTTTTTTTATGATCATGCAATCTTGCTTGTGACCCTGTAACTGTTGCTTCCACACCAGACCTTTGTATGCAGTAATCGTAAGAATTAATTAATGGATATTAATTTTAGGGTATAATACATAGTCACTGCTTGACATTTTTGGCCTTCCCAGTTGATACATGAACATTAAGGAATTAGAAAAATATTTATTTCCTCACAACAAGGCCAACGATGATTCCTGAGGATAATTTGTGATTAATGTGGGCTTTTTAATTTATTAATTTATCATCTACTTGCTTAGAGCTAATCCAAGGCTCAAAATTATAAGACAAGTTGTAAATTTCCTGAGAAAAGTAATCTAATAGTTCAAACACATCAAACAGCTCATGAAATGGAAACTCTTGCTTTTCTTTTCAGTAACACTTCATAATGTATCAAAAACTTACTTGAATTTCTGTTGGATGACTGAATACAGTAACTTCAAGTAAACTGAACATCAGAGAAATCGGTTTCAAAGTCTTCAGACACTGGACTGTTTAAGCTAATTATATTGTGAGACTCAAAGGGAGTTTAAAGTGGGATACTCCAGTCTAGAGTCATGATGAGTCTTGTTAAAATAAACATGCAAGTTTATAAAAATGGTAACACCGCCTTCCATCACCATCTTAGAAATAACCTGTATTTAAATATTGTTGTAAACTCCCAGTAAACACTCTAGAAATACAGGAAAGGCGGCACCATTGTGTACAACATCTTGTATTGTTAGGAATGTAAGCAATACTACCTGCCACTAAGTGGTAATTACTGTAATAAAAATCTGATACTTGGAACACAACGGACATTGTGAGATTATCAGAGGTTACACTCAACCTGTGTACAAAGATTAAATAGAAGTCTAGACAGGTAATAAGGCATAAAGAAGACCAAGAAACAAACAAACAGCACACAAGGCTTACATTTTCTGCATTATATTGTAATTTAAAAATAAAAAAAAACAGCTCCAGGACTGCTGCAGGCCAAAGCTGGTTCATTATGTATCAAAATACATCTCGGCTTAAAAAATGGAAACTAAAAGGATAAGAAAGCCCCCACTAGAGTGGCAGAAGAAAACCACAGTCTTCATGGCTGGAATAACCAGCATTCCAACAGCCTTCAAAGCCGCCTATATCATCCCCTTCTCTTACAGTAAATTGAATGTCTCAGTGTTCTGGAGAACCAAATTACATGTGTAGAGTTAAGTTTCAAAAACAAAGTTCAAGTGCATCACAGCTGAAAACTGTGTCGATAAAAAGATGTGATACAGTGCACCCTTACTGAATAGATCTACACTTGGCTTATAAGAGACATGGCTATTATTCCATTATTTGTACAAGTTTGAATTAGTCAGCATAACCACTATGCTTTTCGTATCTGTCTAAGGGATATTGCTGGGTATTTACACATCTCAGTGTATACACTCCTGTAAGCACAGTATCCAACCTAAATGTATTTTTGAAACACAGATCTAATTTGTATTACTATGTAAATTAATATTTACAATAAGAAGCTGTCAATTTTTAAAAGTCAGCTCCACCTTTCTAAAACCAGGTAGGAAGTAAAACCTATACTTTAATAATTGTACATATACTGTATACAGTGTGCTATACATAAAATTGAAAATAATACTAATACGACAACATTCCATGTCTATTGGAACTTAAGTTTCTAGACACTGAATGCCTGATAAAACAATCTAAAATGAGATTTAGTGCTACTTTTTTACATTTTTGAGTGCATCTAAAGTATTTGCAGAATTAAGAACATAAATTGTGGCTGGATTGAGATCTAGCCTTGACTAGTAACAGTCTTGACTCCCAACAGCCACAGTGAGAACCAACTTTCTCCTCACGTGAGCAAACCATTTCTGGCCTTGATTTGCCAAATTCAACCCATATTCTTCACACTGAAAAAGGAAACAATGTAAAAACATGCATTAAGTGCAACACAAGACCATGCTGTTACACCTCTGTGGCTTTATGGATTATACACAACAAGCGACACTGACAGCTAAACCAGTGACCATGTCTCGGAGCCAAGGACAGAACAGGAAAGAGGGAACGCTATTGAACTCACCAGCATGTCTGCCTTGGGGCTGCGAGGGTGGCAGTACTCTTTGGAAGTGGTCGCTATTGTGTTCATAGTATCTATAGTCCTCGTGAAACCGGTCTGGCACGTGTCGCCGCCGCTGGCCATCGTAATAGGGGTCAGGAGAATAGTAATAGCGGGCAGCGCCACCGGCGTCGCCATTCTCCGCCATCGGGGTGGCCTCGGTGAGGAAGGACTGCGAGGACCCGCCGTACTCCCGCGGAAGGTCTCCCAGGCTGCGGGGAAGGTAGGGCGGCGCTGACAGGCGGTTGCTCTCGCGCCTGGCAATCTCGTGGGGCGGCCTCTGCACCGGCCCGCGCAGGAAGCTCTTGTTCCGGGAGACCACTGGCTCGCCCGGCCCCACGGGATACCCTGCGGGACCCTGCTCCGGCAGAGGGATCTCGGCGCGTCTGGGAATGGTAGGCCCATGTCTTATAAATGAGGGCATCAAATCTGGAGGAGTGAAGAGGAGAGGGACCCCGCTGGTCAATGGCAACAAACCGCATGACCGCAAACTGGACTACACGAAGTGCCATCAGGCCTTTTGCTTGATCGTCAAACAGTTCAGTTCCTATGGTTTTCTTTCAGGAGCAAGTGCAGTACCGGACTCGCTCAGCTGACTTGAAGAGAAAGCACAAACACACAGGGACAACTCCCTGAGACAATATCTCACAGCAGCGACTTCACAAACCAGGGCATACTCGGAGCTGGTAATAAAGCCGGCCGGTTATTTTTTAGTCTCCATCAGAGAGCGTTTCTAAAAAACACATGCTTCTTAAAATACAATTTATTCAAACACCGATGTAAAACCGCATTTCTGAAGAACAACTGAGCTCAACCAAGTCTTGTTTTGTGTTCCACTTTTGCTAAAACACCAGATCATACAAGACTGTAACACATGGTAATCAGCGATGGGACAGTTCCAAATTGTACATTTAATGCATTTACTTCCCCGCCTCTAGTACCAGACTCAAAACACTTATGATGGCCCTTATAAAAATACACCAAACAAACAAAGTAAGAATTCCAGCTGGTCGAGTAAAGCAATTTCCTAGTCAAATTGTTTTGCTCATCTTTCGCCAACAGTGCATATTTTGCAAAACAAATCACCTGCCACTGGCTCAACAAACCAGTTACATAAATATAGCGGAATTTCCAGGAAAACAGTTTCTTTTTTAAGCCTGACTATTCCTCTTGTTCAGTAAGCCGAATGTAGTTTTTTAAAGAAAGCATTCAGCTAATGTAAAAAAAAAATAATTTCACAGATATTAAAGGGAGACTGTAAAGAAACTAGCATTAACATAATCTGACATCTGAGGAAATGACACATTACATGTCTTGTGAGAGCCACTTATGATTATTATAATATGGGTTATTATTGAGTATGTACTTCAAATATTCATTTTTACACTTTTAACAAAAACACCAAGAAGGTAATTAAAAAATACACATGTGAAGCACCAACATGCTAACGGACAGTTCGATAACTATAAAAAATGTTCTAAGAAGAACTCAGTCAGTCCATTGAATACAGATATCTGCTACAGGAAGTCAAAACCTTTACTGATCTCTAGGTAAGAAACACATTGAGACATTTTAGACTATTATAGGCTATGTGAGCTCACCTTTTCATATTCTTAGATTGCTCTGTGCAATGTGTAAGAAAGAAAAGTTGTTGGTAATTTACTGAAATGCAGGAAAAAGGTTGTTCTAGGTAAAAAATTGTAACATGCTGCTTCTCACTGTGTGTGAAGTGTTTGTAGCCTTCACAGTCATTAGAGTAAAAGTGACTTTGATATGCTACAACATTAAAAGAAAACTCGAAGAATGTTCACAGCTTTCATCTCCCAGCTGGTTCTACCCACTAAGCAAGATCATGTAACCTGAGAGTGGAGCTGAAGTGTAAGCAAGCCTTGATCTTTAACACTGACCCTAAGCATACAAACAAAAATGACACCTTAAATCATTATTTTAAAACAAAACGAATAGCCTATTTAAAAAAAAAAAGGCAATGCATTTTTTTCCCACAAATCCTAAAAAGTGACCAATTAAATGGAGATGGGGGTGGGAGGGGAGTTACCCTTAACGACTTGTGAATTGCAGCAAATAAAATAAATCTGAAGATTTTAATCCTGGCAGCAGTTAGCAATGGAGAAAAATATCTGATAAACTGAAATACGTTAAAAAAGTTTCTATTCGCAGCACTGTACCCACATCTTCAAATTAAAGGAATGTATAAAGTGAATGAGAAAATAGCCAACTGTGACGGGGTTTGAATAGTTTCGGCAGGGCACAGTGAGGACCTTGTGTTTTTTTTAAACCGTGAACTGTGGCTCTCGCATCCAAACGCAACCACTCCCATCCCATCTTTTATAACATCGGGAATGCACAACGCTAATGCTGTTCAATACATTAGACGTTAGACTCGTAGAAAGAGCAGGGACATTTCGAATTAAGAATAACATAAGCAGTGCATATTGGTATATGCAAGTTAGATAACTTTTTTAGCAATGTAAACACTTGCATCTGAGGACTGCAGGAAAACGAGAGAATTTAATTCTCCCCCCATTTTGAAGCTCAACTTACTTCTCAAGAGGGGGGACGTCTCCTTTTTTACGTATTTTCCGTGTACCTCGGCTGGTTTCGACGCTTCGTTTTTACTTTTCTTTCGGGAAAGCATAACTCGAACTGCGAGGGAGACATCAATGCGACGAAACAACTTCGGTGCGCCTCAGGAAATCGAGAAGACCGCGGCACAGGAGCTGGAGCAGAGGAAGAGGCATTTTCATTTTTCACTCGGGGCAGAGGCAGCCTGGGCTTCGACGTAAATCCATTTGTTAGTGCCAAAACAAATCGGCAGACTAAACGGGCTTATGAGAAGTTTGAGCCCGCGAGGAAAAAAAAACAGTTTTTTTTCAAACCAGAAAAAACATATCGCGTTGCATTTCAGTTAATATTCATAATTTGCCCCCGAAAACCACTTTTACTTGGTTTCCCCTCAGCCTGTTGCTCCTATCCTATTCCCACTCCTCTCCACTCAACATATAAACTTCCCTGCTTCTCAGGGTTTTTTTTTTCCAACACGCAAAGGGTTCTGGGATAGGTGACGCATTCGCCTGAGCTCTGTGGTTAAGGTGATGGACTGCCTGAGCTCTGAGGCGTTGTGAGGCTGGTGGAGCTGGTTCCTATGGAAACTCCACAGCACGGAGTCAAGAGTTGCTGGAACCGTGCAGGACATAGCTGATGCTCCCTCTGATTTAAAACTATTTCTTGATTAATAATTCGTTGAGAATTTGCAACCGTTACTTGACAGCTAATTGGTTTCTTACAGGTACCCAAAACTCGGTTTGCTAAGCCTGCTATTGGGAACCTTGTGGAGGTCCTTTGGCACATACAAAGTAAAAAAGACAACAGTGCTTTCGGAATATTAATAATTCTTAGGATAGCCACTTCCACAGTGAAAAACTGTGGTTTACCTACAAATTATTGTCAGATCAGAAACGCAGTTCAAATCAAAAGATGAAATGGCACACATCATTCCTTGTTCAACGATTGGGTGTTTATGGCAGCACATTTTATAACTTTCATAGTGGAAATTAATTTTTTCCATTACCACTTCAGTTGGAATGAGTGTTATTCCTCTGAAATCAATAGATTTCTGTAAAGATAAATATATAAGTAACAGAAAACGCAATGTTTCAGCTGTGGAGCCTTCTTCAGGTGACACACATCCGAAATGTTGTGTTTCCTTTTTTTTCAGCATGGAATAAGCTCGTTACCTGTTCCTGTATATATAAGTGTTTACCCTGCCTTGTGCCTGCTGCTTGCTGAGACAGATTCCAGCTCCCATGAAACCCTGAACTGGAAGAAGCAGTTAAAAAGTGGGTGGATATATACTTTTAAATATAGTGTTCTATGGTTCTATCATCTTAGACCTTTGCCCATGGAGCCCAACTAAACAGTATTAAAAGAGCCAGCTTTTGGAAGGATGATTCAAAATTGGTAGCAACTGTGTAATTCTTAGAGTCTTGGAGTTGGGGACTTCATTCCACAGTGGATCAATAAAAACAGGTGATCACATGTGACCAATATGATAGGAATCAATACCTGCCAATAAAAAATAAAGTGCTTCTGATGAATACTCTGTTTCTTAGTGCAATATAATTATGATATTGCTGTTGAAGCATCAATTAGTGACAGTGCTTCCACCATACGGTGCTACAGTCCTTGATAATACATTGCTTTTTCAGGTGATTTTTACCCCAGGCTGGTGTGATTTCAATACATGAAATGGTAGGATTTATTAAGGCTAAAGAATTAAGCTGATTTTGACATATAGTATCTGGAAAAGGAGTGGTGAAGGTATTTAGAATATGCAAGTGATCCCACAATATGTGCTAGCTTCCAGTTATTTCCTGGTATGTTGTATGCTCATAAATTATACCAATATCAATGGCAAAGTATGTTTTTCTATTTTTTATTCTTCTTTGTTTTTTAGATTAAAATATTTGCCAGTGACACAAGCAGGGAAGAATTTATCAAGGTATTTTTCAGAAATGTGTCCAAGATCTGGGGTGCTATTGAACATATTATTTTCTGTAGCAAACTTTATACAGTCAACCAATGCCTGATGCATATGATCCCTTTTTTATATTTCAGTGTGTCTGATAGATTTAATTTTTAAAACTGGTAGAAACTCTTTTCTCATGGCTTACCTCACAATATTGTTTTGAGCCCACTGTATTTTATGAATGGTACTTGCCATCTCAGTGTACGTGGGTTTGGGTGGTAGCTGATGATGAAAATACACATAATAAATGTGCATAACTGTAGCAACTCTGCCCAGAGTGTAGCATGCCTACATTTCAAGAGCCAGGGAAAATCAGACTTCATTCCAAGCTGAAACAAATTCCACTTTTTCAGATGATGAATTTATGAAGACTTGTTGCAAAATATGTATAGCTACTAAGTCTTTTACATTAACATAAATACACTGTACATTAGTTATATTTTATTTTATTTTTGGCAAGCTAGTACTAATTCTGTTATATATTATCCAGATGTGCTCTGTATCCAGACATTGAGATGGAACATCTGGTTTGATTATATGTTGTGTGGCAAAAGAAAAGCTTGTTAATTTTGAACATTCTTTTCTTTCCAATGACTCATAGCATTAAGTTGTGGATTCATGGTAAATCCTGTTTTAAATGTTGTCTCTGTGACCATAGAGATGAATCAGTCTTGCATGAGATCCAAATTTCACAACTGGATTCTTAAATGGGGTACTACATTCCTCTCTTTTATTAAATAAATCATTTTGGCCCTTAGTTGAATATACAATGAACTTCCCCCAGTTTATAGAGTATATCTAAGTATTTGTTCTGATGTGTGAGCTTGACCTATTCACAGCATGCACTCATCATATTTGGTGAAGTAAACTAAATGATCAAAACACAAAGTTAGAACTTTTTACAATGTCATCATAAGTAATCTTTTAATTACCTGCAGGGCTTATTTACATAGGACAATAACATGGAGTCACATTTGTAATTTTTTCTTTTTCCAATAGTTACCTGTCTCTGGACCTGACTCTTTTATGCAGTTAAAATGAGCCATTTAGAAGGTGGATTGATTTTGCTTTGTTTGGATTGGTTTAGTTTTGCTTTTTAGCATCCCGCCAAATCAACATGAACTAATGATTTGCTCTAGTGGTTGAATCAGCATCCATAAAACATTCTGTGACATGTCTAGGATTTTCCCATTTATACTGTATTCATCTAACTTGCTTGGAATAGCCAATATCTTTGTCTTTTTCATAGATTATATATAAATGCTGTCCAGAGCTTGTTTTAAAGGAGAACTGCAGTCCCAATTTCTCAGACCATTTATTAAATCCCGGTAACAAAATTAATTAATTGATGGTATTGCAAAATTTGACAAATTCCAAATTAATCACAAATTCCAGAAACGTACTGTATGCTCACCTTGTTGTCGCAAACCGCTGGTCTCGCTGCCGCCGGGAGTGAGAGTTCTTGTGAATTGTGATGTGAAGCAGCCCCTTCCTGCTCGCTAGTCACTGTAGTGACTAATGTAGTGTGATGTATAAGTGAATAAGAACAGGTTGTGCAGCACACATTTTACAGTAGAAATGTTCCAGTGTGGCCTCTGTGCAGAGTTAACAAGTACTGTAAGTAGTATTCGTAGGCAAAACTGACTCGGAGTTGAGAGCAATATTTTTCATGTATTAGGTATTCACAAGCCTGCTTTTTTAGAATGTAATAAGACCGCTTCACATTAGCAGAAGTTTTTGCCTTGTTCTGAATTGCAGGATTGACCCTGTGCAATCCTGGAAATCTAATTTACTTTGTGTTGGAAATTGGAGGTTTTTACAAGTTACTGTGTACATTGTACTTTCACTGTGGCTTGAAATGCACTCATCCACGCCGACTTTTTCTAAACATAATAATAGCATTGCAGTTCCTCTTCAAGCAATACTGCATTCAAATACAAGGTGAAAAGCAAGCCATTGCACCTTGAAGCTTGAGTTTCTATGTGAACTGTACGACATTGCTACTAGAGGTTGAATCGATCCACACAGATCAACAGCTGTTGATACGGGTCTGTTCAAAACGTCTGAGTGAAGTGAGCACAGAGAGCAGAGATAAACCGCCGTCGCGGAAGGACTCAGGGGACACACGGCACATTGTTTTGGGCTTGGGAACAGAGACCCTCCCCTCTGCTGTGCTACACCCCTTCCTCCCCACCACCCGCCAACATCCAGATAACGAGACGAGCGCACTTGCCTCTGAGCACAGAGGATGCAGGGATGACAGATGGGGACTCAAATTCTTGTTTTCCCTAAAGATCTCGCTCTGAACTGCACATTTCCTTCAGCGGGACAAGACAAACCCCGCCAGAGGAACAGCATGAATCCAGTTTTGCTACCAGGCCTCTTAGACATTAAAGCAGAGGCGTAGCCACGGGTCGTGCTCAAGTCCACTGAATATTTAAAGGCACGGTAAAAGCTCCGTGAAGTTCGCCCCCTACAGACAGCACAAACGATGAAACCCACCTCATTCGTTAGTGCTACGTTTCTGCCAGTTTGTGCCATTAAAAGTAGCGTCTGTGCTGTTTTCGTTCCCGAGATACAACGCCTTGTTTTTCCGGGGATCATGTGACCATGCACGGTGACTTTGACCTCCAGTGATCCCGTCTGCCGAGTTCAAGCGCTGTTACAGTTTAGCTCGTACCCTTAACATTTTATAGACAACCAATATCCATAAACATATGAGCCTCATTAGATATGAATAATACTAAGACATGACACATGCCAACAAGTTAACCATCTATGACATAAACCTATGGTTGTAATGTATGTAAAATCACCGTGATTGTTAGATCTATGGTTTTTATTTTCTATGGCACGTTTTCCTTTCTTTCCCTACCGTGACACGCTGTTGCCAAACGCGTAACTGTGGGATACCATAGTGACAAGATCTTCGCAGCATGTCATGATAGGGACCCTATGTATATCGCATGTAAATCGCGGCAGTGTATATCACGACTGGCGCCTTGCTTCCATGCCACCCTGGACCATATCAGGACATGATATAGCCAGATACTACATCCCGAGATATATGGACTTTGTGTCACAACATGGGGTCAGCATATCCTGTCAGGGTATGTCCTATCGCAACATATTGTAACGCTTACGGCCGACAAGCACTGTGTGTAAGAGCCGGCGTACCAGAGCGGGTGACGTCACCGCCCTTCCCTGTGATAGCAGGCTGTGGAGAGATTTCTCTTTAGCTCACGGGGCTAGGTCGCTGCAGAGAGACGCGGAAGTCCCGGGTTCGAGCCTCCAGTCGGGATGGGGCCGACCAGATGAGGCAAGGGCGCCCGCCTGAGCCCCCGTTGCGTTACAATATAGATTCCATGTCGTGATATGGGAGCGGGACATTTTGTTGGGGTATGTCATATCGCGATATACTCGCTTCATGTCACGACATGGGCGTGGTAATTTTTTGTCATATCGCAATATATGGACTCCATGTCGCGACATGGTGGGTGGGCATTTTGGCTGGGCATGTCATATCGCGATATATGGGCTTCATGTCGCGACATGGGGGCGGGGCACTTTTGCCGGGGCATGTCATATCGCGATATGCGGACTCCATGTCGCGACATGGTGGGTGGGCGTTTTGGCTAGGCATGTCATATCGCGATATATGGGCTTCATGTCGCGACATGGGGGTGGGGCACTTTTGCCGGGGCATGTCATATCGCGATATGCGGACTCCATGTCGCGACATGGTGGGTGGGCGTTTTGGCTGGGCATGTCATATCGCGATATGCGGGCTTCATGTCGCGACATGGGGCCGAGGCGTTTTCTCGGTGTATGTCATATTGCGATAAATGGACTTAATGTCGCAACAGTGGCGCCTTGACAGCGCCTTGATATTGATCCACCAGTCGCAAGGGGTATTGCGATGTGACTGTGGTGCGCGCACTCCTATCGTGACATGCTATCGGAGTCGTGAACGCGCTGTGGATGCCATGACATTCTTTGTCTGCTATTCAGTTTTGACCTCATTGCGACTTCTCTTAGTTTGATCAGTAATTGGAAACCAGTGGATGTGTTACTGTATATCAAGCGTGCTCATACAGCACACAGAGAACACACAGAACTTCCGCTGTGGCGCTTTACCCAATCAGAGTGTCGATTCTCACTCTCACTCCCAATCGGAGCCCGAGCTGTTCGGGGGTTTAGCCAATCACGGGTCTGAAAGCTGTTCAAGCTAGCAGCGCCGGGTGGATCGGCTTGTTTGCTGTCAATGAGAAGCTATTTTTAAAATGCTTTACTTATCGGCTTTTTTAACGTCTTTATTGATTCACAATGTCCCGTACTCTTCGAAATAAATACATTTTTATTTGCAATATAAATGTCTCCGCTGCTTTCTGTAATGGATACATGGTGTTTGAACAATTTTAATCGTATATTTAAGGTAGGGGAAACACCTTCCGCTTTGTACTTCAAAAATGAATAGAAATGTAAAGTATATGATAATAATATTATTATGCTCGTGCTTTCAATTTTGTTTTTTATTGTTAAATTATATCGATCTTGAAACTAATACCCAAAAATGTAAATATGGGCTCTCGTGTTGTACCAGCGGTAATTTGGAAATTAGTGTCTCTTCACCAATGAAAGGAGTACGCAAGCAATACATTTTCGAGAACCCAATGAACTAACATAGTAACTCCTCCCTAAATGTAAAACTGTTTATTCGTGTAAAGGCTGCAAAGTCTGGGGTCAACTGATCAAAAGATCACAACTGAAAGATCTGGTAGTCGTGACTTTGCTATTTTGTACGTCACAGAGTGACGTCACAGCCTGGAAAAGAAGGCGCTATATTGAAATATATTGAAACATCCACCCCAGCCGACCAGACAGACTCGGAAAACATATTTTGTGTTTTGTTGCCCCAATTGTTTTCATCACAATCAGGAACAAAGTACCGAGTTTGTTGGTACCTGTAAACTTCCTTGTAGATAGTCAAGTGATTACCCGAAGGCACGAACGCAACACCGATTGAGACCAGTCCGGTTTCCCTGCGACGTTGTAGGGGGCTGAGAGATGCCACAACCCCCCCTCAAAAAAAGGTTCTATATATCGGGGGGAAAAAGCAGCACAAACACTGCTTTCAACTGCACAAACCGGCACAAACGTAGCACTAACGAACGAGGTGGGTTTGCAGGGGGGGCAACTTCACGGAGCTCTAGGTAAACATTGCATGGTATTTTAAATACAATATTTCGGACGGATTTTGAATCTTGCATTCTGCGTTCTGTTCATTGTGTTTTGTAGTAAAATATTAACTACAGAGTAACTCGTAAAACTACTGAACAATTTAAAAATAGTCATTCGAAATACTTAGAACTGTTACTTGCAACAAGTGAAAATGAGCTCTTGCAGATTTTCTTTAGCTAAAGACAAAGTCCTCATATGAGAGGCCTTTGCAAACTATCTGTCGTTTATCTGGAGTTTGCCGACTCTCTAGAGTCTAGACAGTAACCAGATTTTCGCCATATTCAATTCCAAGCCCCGACGCTGGTGTCACATGTGGTCCTCTGTTCAAGGAAAGGAAACTCAACCACCCTACAGTACATGCACAGAAATATTTTAATGTACTGCAGGTGAAACAGGAGGTGCTATACTTTTCTCTTTCTCTTTTCATGTGGTCCCATTCTCAGTAGGTTTCATATAGCCTTACATGTACAGAAGCACTTGGATATAGTACATTTTTTAAAAGAATTCTTCAATAATTTTATGCAATAGTTTACTCAACAAATAAATATGAAAATAAAGGCCTAAAGGCTGCAGTGCACCTTTTCTGTGCGACATGTAGTGCGACTACAATAATACCAATTACTTCAGTTAGCAACAATACACCCTTCATTCAATTTGTTTTCAGCTTCACTTTAAATGGCCAACTGACAGCCATCTAAATATAATACTATATAACATTTCCTCCTTCTGTTCTTTACTCAGCAGCAACACTCACTTCACCAGGAAAACTGTTCCCAGATCATTCTTACATTCTTACACGTAACCAACTGACAGATCAATAGGGAGACGCTGGAGACTTTCCTCTTGAAACGCATGTGAAGATCGCAATACCAGATCCGAAACCAAGCTAATTGTGTATGAAACAGTCATGATCACTACCATACTCCATGGATCTCAGATGTTCAGAAGACACGTTTAAATGTTGAGGAAGTATCATCAACACAGCCTGGTGAAAATCTTTAAAAACAGATGACAGATGAACTAACGCTCCTGTTCTCTTACAAACTCAACAAGCAAGAGGTGGTGGTTATCCAACATTAGCTTCACCGAGCCGGCCACATTGTCTCCTTACTCCCCAAACAAACCTCCTCTTTTTTGGTCAGTCATGGCACATGCTCAAGAGGAGGAGAGAAAAAGCATTTTAAAAGATGTCTTCAAGGCCAACATGAAGAAGAGCAACACTAACACCAACTCATGGGAGACTACTGCCCATGACCACCTGAGCTGGAGGACGTCTGCTGCCATGATTTCAGCCTTATGATGACAACAGGAGGTGGATAGGCATGAATCGCACAAACAGCAGGCGAACCCCTAAATGTCAACAGAGCCCGGCGTCATCTGGAGAAGCACAGATAAAAACGATCATGGATTACAATCATCCTTAACAGTGAGGAATGCCAATAGCTGTTTTTATTACAGCTAGATGAAGACCTTATCAAAGTGCGTACTTCATCAGTATTTCTTCAGCATGACTCTTTTCACTGTAGATACTGAATTCAAGAGGTATGTCAAAAAAATTGCTGAAGCATTGCCATTGCAAAAAAGTATTGAGGTCTTTCAGAGTTATGCAACTGTTAAAAAGAATGTTTGCAAATATTTCAATAAATCTTTATAAGGTATCAGGCTATCTGGAAACTTAATTTGGCTTTAGAGGAATAGGTTTTGAAACAGGAATTCTTTCACACAAGAAGATGACTATTTGGAGAAAGATGCTGGATACAGCTAATCAGGAACTGCAGGCATTGGATTCAAGTTAGAAACAGAGCTGAGGAAGAGATTCAGACTGACTATAGGTATCAGTTCCTCTTCACCTCTCTCTTTCAACCCCTTACAACTGAGTTACTCTGGTCAAATCAGCTCTGGCAGCAATAACCATAAATCCTCAATTTAAAGTGACTGTGAAATAGCAGCTATTATCAACACTTACAGTACATCCCAATACCTTTTAAGGCGAGTCCACAAATCTAGGTGATTTTGATGGTGGGTTGGTTACACATAGTAAATATATAAGAACAGGATCTCCTGTTTGTTCTTATTGACTGTGTTGAATTATATACTGTATTTTATACACATTGTCTGAAATTATTATTCTAGGACTGATGTTTCTGCCTTATCACTGAAAGCAGTAAATAGCAGATACAGTATGGAATGCTAACAAACTCTACTCCTTCTTACGCATTGGTGTTAACTTCCTTTTTATGTCTGGAGATGGTCATATAAAACTGTTTTGCTGACATTACTGACAGATTTTAATTTATAGCAGCTTAAAAGACCTTACTGTACATAGGTTATGCATTGCGTTAAGAGAACAGAACTACACAGACCACAGTGTTGTATAAAAATATATTTAAGTGGCAATGGGAAGCCCAGAATTAGCAGCTTCAGTTAGTGTATTTTTTTCTCATCACCGGGTGCAATAACATTTTTAGTTTACACGTAGTATACAAAATTTTCACTTCATAGAGAAACTCTTGCATGCTTCTCATTTCACCTCGTGTGTTTCAGTTTCCCGGAGAATCGACAGTTGGATTAATAAAGTAATGCTAAAAAAAAGCTTTACTTTTTTACTAATGATTAATGTATCTTTAAAATGAGAGGCAGTGTTTAGTCCCCAGAAGTTTCAAAAACATTTAAGAACACTGATTTAATTGTACAGTATAATTTGCACCTCTGAATAAGATAGCATCTCTTACTGTTATAAGTCCTGTAATGAGAATATGCTAAATGATTCGTTTTCTATCAGGGTAGACTATTATTATTTTTCGTTCACAGGCCCAAATTAAAAATATGGATGGTCTTTTACTTGTTGAGTGGGTTACTTGGCCCTGGGCAATACTGACACCTCAACATAGCCTCGAAGTAAATTTCACTGTTACTAAGAGACGTTTTTCTTTCAATTCTGTAGCAACATCAGTCTTTAAATTAAATCACAGGTAGAAACTCAGCAACACTGCCTTGGAGTGTCCCAAATACTTTGAATCTTTTTTCCACGCACCTGGCTGAGCTTTTTTTCTTCTAACAAATGCATTAAAATTTTCTTCGACGTCGCTTTCTCAAAGTACCCACACCCTCAAACACAGGGATGAAGTAGAACGATGTCTAGTTCAGACACACAGATTGTGCTGCTCCAGGCTTCCAAAGGCTGTGGAGCTATAACTGTGAAAGTACATCATATATCAAAGCTTGTGGCAGTTATGAACAGGCAACCCAGCCTTGCTGACAAAGCTGACACCATGACGACCTTCAAGAAATGGCTGAAAGAGATTTTTAACTGCTAACTACCAAAGGGTCTAGATGGGCCACACGGCCTCCTCTCAGTGGTGGATGTTCTTGTGCCCTACAGTGACTAACATCCAGATTCGGACCCCTGGACTTGACTCAGTACTGAAGGTGGTACTTCTAGGCGTGACTTGGTCAAGCAGTTCCATCAAGATCCACAAGAGAAAGCATGTGCAAGGTGTGGATGATGGGAATGATGGGATGAGGGACAGGGAAATCATCCTTTGGTTGGGCAGTGATGGAGGGGAGCTTGGGCAATAAGCAGGGATGGCAGAGAAAGGCTGGGGCAGTGAAACATTCAGAGCAGGAATGGCCAGGTGACGTTAGGATCGCGAAAAGTGGTAGGGCACCGCAGTCAGCGGCGATGGGCTCAGGTCCCTCACAATCTTGTTCAGGCTGGAGATCTTCTCCTCCAGTAGGTAGTTTTTCTTCTCTGCCACCTTCTGCCGTTGCTCTGTCAGCTCCAGAGCCTTGAGGAGCTGGGAGTTCTCCACATACAGGTCCTTGATCAACTCATCCGCCTTGGCGTTTTTCTGGAGCTGCAGAAGCAGGTAGAGAACAGACCACTTACACATCAGCTGAGTGGTTGTGGATTTCACATTGATGCTGAAGGGGCAAACTGGGACTACAACAACCCCAAAATATTATTCTTTTTGTAAAGAGTTAATCCTACACAGAGGACTTACTTCTTTAAGTGCACTACTGCAGATCTGCTCCAAAAAAGCTTCAAAGATAATAATTAAAAAAGGAGAAACGATCAAATTACGATTTGATCTGAGCAAAGCAGCATTCCTGGACAGAATGCATAATTTCCACAACTAAGCTGGAAGTCAGACCAGAAAGAAAGTTAACTATTACATAGTCGGAGAATTGGGGCGAGTAAACTCAGGTTTATCTTCTAATAGTACTATAAAGTTATCTCTTTTTTTCTGAATTTTTTATATTTAATTCTGATCTGAAATGCTCCACAATTCAGTATATAGCACTCATGAGTGACAGAAAGAATGGCACGCTGCTACAACGTCTTGTCTGCTCCCCAGTTCTTTTAGATCTCTATTCCAAGGGCAGCCGCATACCTGATCCTTTAACTGGGTGACTTTCTCCTGCAGCAGCAGCTTGACATTCCGTAGTTTCTGCTCAACGTCTCTCATGCGCTCCTCCATCTTGAGCAGCACCACCTCCTGTCCCTCCTGCAACACCCACAGTACACAAGCTATCAGATCAAGATGAGAGAATCTGATCACAGCACCTGTACTGTACTGCACTATGGCAATGTTTTGATTTTATGGGAGTTTTGTTTTACTGTAAGTGGAAAGCTAGCTTCCAGTCATCCTTGTGATACAGCAGGTTGTGTTAAGACACTTCAGGGAAGAGTCCTTGGGTCCACTGCCATCTGTGTCACATTGTAATACAGGAAAATATCAGCATAAGCATAGCTGATTGTGAGTATAGAACACAGGATAACACAGTTTTGCTGGGTGATCTTTTTACCACGCTGATTTAAAAACCCTGCCATGCAATTTATGTATCTCATCCCTTTGGATTGAGACTGCAGGGCAGCACAGGCTGCCAACTTCACAGCTGGTTTGCACCTGGTGTCTTTGCTGTAGGAGGTGGCAGCTCAACACCCGCATGTTGTGCCCTGCCTAATCCTAATGGAGCAGTTCCAATTCATTATTTCACACGGCACAGTGTATTACTCACAGTGCACTGGTGTCTACCAGGTGAAGACTGGACAGCTGATCCAAGTCTTTTCTCAAGGGGTGTTATTGGCAGACAACATAGACTATACAGACACAAACAGTTTTTTGCACTCAAGCCTGTAACTTCTGGTTGTGATCGGCACTTTGATTCCATTACCAATTACGTAACACGAAAAGAAAAATACGTGATTATTTCTGAATCAATTGCTGCCATTTTTTTAAAAAAGTGAACTTTTGTGTTAATATAGTGTAGTAATCCCAGAGAGGATAAAATGGCCTAAAATGAATCTGTTTTATAATTATTATACTGACTGATCGTGTTTCAGGTTAAAGGAATATAATAATTCCATTCTTAAACAATGTTAAATCATTACTCTTCTCCTTTGTGCCACATATATGTTCTTATCGAACAACAAAGGCTTCTGTCAAATGACCAATCCAGGTCCATTGCAGATAAAGGAAAATGACATCGTGTCAAATTGCAGACATAAGTGTACACCTTTAATTATCTAACCTGAAGAAGGCTCCACGGCCGAAACATTGCGTTTTCTTTCTTTTCTTTTCAGCATGGAATAAACCTATCACTTGTTCCTTTGCAGCCTGCGCATGCTGACGCAGCTACCCACCTGATCTAATAAAGTAGCTCATTCAAGTCGTCACAGAAAAGAATTAAAGGTTTACACTTATGTCGGCAATATATGTCTACAAAACTTTATTAGATGTCAATACCAGCTAGTTTTGTTGACATCTGTCAACATACCAAAATCAAATGTACCGTACTCAGTTTTCATGTGGCTGGCATGAAGTGATTGAAACAAAACAATACAAAACTCTCATGAATAGTCATGAATATGATCTGAAACTCTACCAAGTATAGTGAGAATCAAATGCAAAACTACACAGGCTTAAACCCAACAGTTTATTTATATCTGACTTCCTTACAAAACTCATCCTTCTTTTTCATCAAACTAATGCAGTTGACATCTGAAAACAGGAAAACTAAATAAATAACGGATCACATAATAAATAAATACAAAATATTTTTTTCCAATTCAGTGATATTGCTATCAGTGAAATTTAAAAAAATAAAATATGCGTACATGGCTACATAAACAAAAAAGTAAATCACATTTTACATTAATAAATAAGAATAACGGGGGAAAAAAACATTACAAAACAGCACTTGAGAATCAATCGTACAAAAACAAGAAATGCACACACTTACAAACAATAACAAACCCATCACAACAATAATAGCCTTCAGAGAGATGCAGCTTGGGGACTTTCAAAAGTTCACAGCAGGCCCGTTCTTTTTCTGTGTCTGTGGCACGCACTGAGTTGGGGATGTAAGTTGTGAAGTCGGTCCTTCAGAGACCAGACTGTGGGTTATTCTAAGGTTTCGGAGAACACTACTGGTGGAGCCCCCCTGCGTAAGGATGACCTAGTCAGACATGTGAGTCCAGCTCATTACTCTTGCACCGATCGGAAACACTCCCTCTGTTCCAGAAGAGCTTCAGCGTCTCACTGGCAACTCAGCCCACTGGCACATTCCTAGAGGGGGCCTTCTGTTATTGCTGGGAGAGGATTCTGGGAGTGAATCCAGAATAGAAATACAGTATATTCCCGGGTTTTTTTTTTACACTGTTTAATTGTATGATATTATTTTTGAATTGCCAGTTTTTGTTTTGCTCCACATTCAGGAGCTTGCCTCTTAAAACTGCCTTTGCAATTCAGGCAAACGCTGACAGGAAGTGCTAAAACCAAACCAGCCTTTACTGTTTTTAGTGTTTTGTTTTTTCCAAGTTTGTTTCGCGTTACTGATAAAAAATAATTAATTCCTGTAACTTAGCAGAAAAGAACATAAATATTATAGAGGTAAAAACAGAAGAAGTTTATATAATTGCAATTAAATACCCATTTCTTGTAAAATATGAGACCTTGAATAACACTGAAATCTCAAACCTTTCAAAAACCATACGACAGCCATAAATATGACAAATAAATGATTTCTGTAATTCATCACATTTGTTTTGTTTAGAGGCATGGGCATATCAACATTGAACAGATAACAAAAACAAGAATAAAACCAAAAATAAAGTATACTTTTGTCATGACCACTACATCATGTTTTAGTATTGCTAGCTTTGGTGAGTAGTGCAAATTTTTGAATTCTGATTAAAGCACAAAAATAGTCCATAAATAAATGAAAGTAATACACAATATCCTATTTCTCCTCTTTTGTAAAAAAGTAGTCCACAGAGAAAGGAGCTTAAATCCTGACTGAGGATAACACCAAAACATAAGCTACCTTAATTGAAAATAATTAAAAGATTTAGGTATTTTGCTTTTGTACTTGGAATAAGTTTCATCATAATGCCAAAAGTTAAACTTGGATGCAGTTTAAAAGCTCACAGGATTAACTATTTTCTGCTGTATTTTTAAATATTTCTTTGGTCTGTTTAAAAGTGAGTGCAAAAAAAACCCCCAAATAATTCAAACAAATTTCCAAACGATAAGGCTGATGTCATTACTTCGGGTTACTTTGCAGCCCAGCTCAGGATGATGCAAGGATGTTGTAAGAGGGCAGTAGGTTCCGACGATGATCTCCATTTTGCCTGAACCTACTGCCCTCTTACAATACGGGAGGGGATACTGTAGGTGGGCAGACATTCCTCTTCTGCAGTAGTGTTGACTGTGTTTTGTGTCAAACATACTACATACATCTTAATGTGTCTGTTTCTACTCAGTCGTAAGTGCCCAGAAAATATAAAAACCTAAAAATAGAGTGCTTTCCATAATATTTCCAACAATTTTTAACTCCACGACACGTGATCATGAAGTATTCCGCTGTGCAACAGAGCGAGCGAGCCGAGACTGGAGTCCCAGCGAGGCAAGAAAAAGCCAGCGCAGCGCCATCTACTGGTGGCATGTTGCTAAGTTCAGAAGTACACTCTCAGTAGGCCAATCCGTTTTCCATATGAACTATGAATGTTTGATAGTGCTAGGGGAGCTCAAAATTGTCCGTTTTTTAAACTCCTCAGTTTGTAATGTCATCTGTCACCATCTGTAGCTGTTACTCTTCTCTTGTGTGTTCTTAAACTGCTTCCATGCAATTACTAGGCCACACTGTTTGATTCTGAGAGACTGGCCTCATTTATCATCGGCCTCCAGAGCAAGGTCTAATACCTTCGTTATTACAGTGATCTACAGCAGCACAGTCACACCAGCAATCAATAATCAATTAAGTACTAAGGTACAGAACAGTGGTGTCAAACTTCCTGAAGGACCTGATGTCTGCTGTTTTTATTCCAACCTGAGTAGTCAATGGAACAATTTCCCTTATTATTTTCTTAGACATATTCATGATGTTACATAGACTACTGTACCATTGATAAAACAAAACACAGACATTGTCAAAGGTACAGTTACTTATGAAACACCCCAGAGCCAAATTACAAGTACATTACAAGTAATTAATTAATAGAGCACCCATCAAACTGAGATCTCAGGCTGGAACAAAAACCAGAGAACACTGGTTTTACCGGCAACTGAGTCTAAAAGCCCTGGTCTAGATGGTTCAGACAAAAAGGAAGCCTGTCCCCTTGATTAGACAGAGCTGTCCAGAATTTGATCATAGACTGTATATATCTTACAGGTCTTTAGATATTGCGCATGTTCATGCTTTCTCACAGTATGCTGGTTATTCCTTCAAATGTTTCCACCTGTCTTGCTCAATACTGTAGGTAAGTAACTTCAGATAGATGGCACTAGAGGTTGGTGAAATAAAAAAGTCATGAGCAAAGAACTGATCTTTAAAAGCAGACTTGACAGAAGAAGTCAGTAAAGCTTATAATGGTAAATTGGCACAACAGCAGAGCTAGGCCTAACCCATTCAAGGCATCTGTTTTTTTTTAGAAATCTATCAAAATATTTTCAAAGAAAAATAAAACCAGCTTGCTGCATATAAAACAAAATGCTGTACCAAACTAAAGTACTGTAGCTCCATTTGGATATGCATTGTAATGAGAATGAATACAGACATATTCATGAAGATCCCTTCATGTATTAATAATCAGTTTACCCAGGGCGGTCAAACCCTGATCCTGGAGGACCGGTGTCTGTGGGTTTTCTAGGTCTCTTTAAATCAGCAGCTCAAGAAGAAACTGGTTTTATTCTGCCAGTAAGTAGCAGAGTGTTAAGAGCTTGGTTGCAATGAAAACCTGAAGACACACTGGCTCACTGGGACCAGATTTGGAGGAATTAGATTTACACTGAAAACAGGACTACCCTATACTTCATCCTTTCTGGCCAAATATCACACTGTTTACCCTTTTCACTCCTTCAGTTTCTAAATCAGGAGTTCCCAGGTCCTAGTCTATCTGAACCCTTAACTGAACTAACGTGCTGCGTGATTAGAACCTCTGCAAGCTTTTTTTAATTGACTCAAATCGTGGAGATTTTAATTCACTTGTGAAGTGCATGAATGCACGATAGTTAAAAGACCAGCTTCCAACACGTTTAAAAACTGCAAACAAAGAGTTCAAATTACTGCTTTACTTTGTCAATTAAGGGTTCAATAATATAACCCAGCTGGAATAAAACCTAGCAGGTGTGTTGGCCTCCAGCACCAGGATGTAGACCCTCCTCTAAATCCATGACATACTGTACGTGTCAGTGCAGCAGGCTGTACCTGATGTTCTATGCCAAGACTGTGCCTCATGAAGTTTAATACAGTGGACCACTAGAGCTACCCCTGCCTCAGCCTTCACTCCCATCAGTGCTGAGGGACAGCTTCTCTCTTGGCACGCACGCTGAGATTTCAGCCTGCTCCTCCCCAGAGTCTCAGCTGACCCCGTCTGGAGGTTAACGAGCTTATGCCAGCAGGAGGAGGTGACGGGGAGGAGGGGGGTGTGGGGGTCAGGACTGGGAGGGAGAGAGAAATGGCAGTTAGTTGCCAGGCCTTCACAGTCTGCCGATCCTCCGGTAGGTTTCTGCGTGTGCTGCCCGCGGCTCCGGTAATGCGCCCTGGAGAGAGAAGGCAGGTACACTTCACCCGAGCACAACCTTCCGCCAGCCATCACCCCGACACCAAGGCAGACCCCAGCAGGCAACACCAGGCATGACGCACAAGGCGAGCGGCTTTGATCCCTACAGTTCCTACAGGCTAGTGTGCTCCCAAGGTCAAATGACTTGCTGCCCAGTTCTGGATTAGGTTTGGCTACTACCAATCCACACTGACAAGGCCAGTTAGTTAATTATGGGTGGTGGCCTCACACAATTTCAGAAATGCTGGCAATCTCCGAACGCTACTATTGCTACTTCTCCTTTACAACCAACTATTTCTCTTCTTTTTTTCTCCTGGATATTCCTGCTTTCAGTACCGTGACTACTTCCTCGTGGCTTAAAAAAATAAAAGAAAGCTCCCCAAAAATCTGTGATGCTGCATTTACAGGAGGAACAGGAATGCATCTGTGACATTATCTTCTTTAAAGCTGAACCAGCCAGAAAAAGAACAGCGATATCTGACCAGTGGAGCATAAGAACTTGACTTAGTGGTTATGAAGCTGGTCCTCTTGGATCTCTGGCCATCCAACTTTGTTTTAGTTCTGGTAATACTTCTACAACTGTGTGTTTAACAAAGCCACTTTAAAATGAACCTCTACCTACAGACACCCCTAAATCAGATGAAAGAAGGTGACAGCAATGATGTTTCATTTCCCTACTGCTGTCCACTGAGGACTATTAAACCTTAGTCGTTGCCATAGAACAACAGCACAGCCCAACAGAACAAGCAGATAGAACTACCACACACTGGAAGCACAGTGGAACCACACCGCTCCCAGGACACCAGTAACGAGAGATAGGTCTTGCAGTAGCCTCCTAGCCCAGTGTCAGTAAAGGAACTCAGTCCCTATGTAACCCCCAGTATTTACAAGTTACTTCTTAACCCTTCCAAAACCCACACAGGGCTCCAGGTCTTAACTCTATCCTGAGACTACCTGTGCATATCCACTGTGCTTGAGGTGCAGCAGCTGAATGAGAAAACGAAATGTGTCTCAGGATTTCAGACAGGTGAGGGAACTACAGTAGGCGAGTGGCAGCCGTGAAGACACTTTTTCACTGCGCCGCCTCTCACAGGGAATGGAGTTCGAGAACAGCGGAGGGGATATGAGATGGGTGAAAAGGGCACCACACCGAACATGAACATGGAACCTTTCCCAGAACTACATCAAGTACAGGAAAGACAACCAGTCTAATATAATGGAGGGAAAAGTTAGAATTGAATCAGCGTAGGGTAAAAAAAGGTTTGAACGTCCACAACTGCAATTTTCTTTTAAACAAAACCATGTAATTAACCGTTTGTGCATGTCCAACAATTACCATCACACTCACTTGACAATATAATGTAAAGCCATTCCTCTCTTTTCAATGTTAAAGGCCAAGTATTGAATGTAACAGTTCTGTTTTTAAATCCTGCTTTAGAAAGAGAAAACACGTTTCTACATGTTCTGTAATTATACAGTGCATATACTGCATACCTTTAATGAACTTGCAATATTCAAGGATATCGTGGAAACTACTATTAAACATACAGTCATAACAGCTCTGACCAGCCTAATAAAACGAGCCAGGAATGCAGTGCTGAAGGCTTAGAACATAAGAAAGGTTATAGATGAGAAGAGACCATATAACCCCACCTAGCTCATTTGGCTGCCTGTTTAGTCCATCAGACACAAGGAATAATGTTATTTCTTCCTATCAAACTGATTACCACTTTACCAGTCCTACACCTAAAAAGATCTTCTGAAATCCTTTTTTCTTGAAACAAACATCCACACATCACAGTCCATCCCATCCTTAATAACTTGTTTACCTGTAACAATGTCATTTAAAAGCATACATTTTTGGGACAATCTGAGGTTCTCTCTGGCCTAACCAAAACTATGAATATATTGCTATTTTCATCAGTGGTGCGTACTTGATTACTGTGTACTTTGATGTTTGCAAGAACTGCTTTGAACCGCTAAAGCAACAAGCCCATAATTGCCTAAATGCAACACAGAGTGACATTTATAGATTAACTAAATATTAAGTCCCAGAATAAAGCAGAACAGGGGAAGAAATCAAGACAAAGTATTTTCTAATGTGAAAAGAAATATTTCAAATCAGGCTTGCCTGAGTTGACCAGTGATAAAACATCTACCAAGCAGATTCAGATACTTTCAAATAATTTCATCCTTCTCCTTTAGTGTACAATGGGCTTACAGGGAACCACTCTGAGCAATTACTGTAACTGCAAAGCTTTCTTGTGGCAGATTGTCAATCTCAAGAAAAAGACTGGTGCAATGAAGGACAATGAGAATCTACATGAAGTGAAATGAGATCGAATGAAGATCAAGACTTGATTTCAGCTCAAGATAGCTTGAAGACACGAAAGGCAGAATCACTAGGTGTGTACCAACACTGTTTAATATTTAAAAAACTTGTATAACCACAATAAAGACAAAAAATATTTCAACATTTTGAGCAAGTTCCCTTATTTAGAAGGAAGAACGCAGTAATCCCCCCAAAAAATTGAGCTAGTAATACTGTTTTCCAAGGCAGTCTAGTAGGCATGGTAGTGGTGGTACTCTCTGGTAACTTTGCCTCCTAGTGTCTGTACATAGTGCTGTGCAGTCTTACCTCTTGGAAAGGAACAACTCGAGATTCACCTCACTTTGTTCCAAGAATAAACTTGCCTACAGCAGGCTCCACAGCCCAAACAATGTGTTTTTTTTTTCCATTTCCAGTCTGGAATGAACCTCTACTTGTTCCTTTGCCAGAGCTCGCGCTCAGATGCGGCTCCCCGCTCCTACCTGCTGTAGGCTGAAGTCAGGGCCTCTCCCTCCCAGCTCCTCCCCCCGGTGCTGTCCCTCGCGCTCCAGCTGCAGCAGCCGGTGCTGGGCCTGGATCAGCTGCTCCCGTGGCAACACCCCACCCAGCTGGACCTGCAGAGCCCGGGACAACACAGGACAGAGGTGGGGTGGGGGGGGGGGAGAGGAGCGTCACTGTCAGTGAGGGGGCAGGGGCTGGAAGGGCCTTACTATGAGTACAGGTGACCCACCCCGTCAGAGGTGAGGCCGGAGACACTGACCTCCAGTAGCTGGGTCTCCAGCCTGGCTTGCCGGGCCTTGAGGTTCTCGTTCTCCTGCCTCAGGCTCTCCATCTCTCTTTGACTCTCGCTCTGCTCGCTCACCTACAGGAAGGGACGAAGCCGGGGAAAAGGGTTTCACTACTGGAGCTCTCAGTTAAATCGTGCCGTTTCTGACACAAAAGCCCTCAATTTGAATAAACACAAGCGCGATACAGCAGTTCACACAGAGGGATCGAGCTGACGGAGACTTTATTTACCTGTACTTTAATGAGCCCAAATTAGTTTTTAAAGGAGAAGAGGCAAACTGCTTTACCTAAGCTCTCAGCTCAAGGTGAGATTTCAAGAGAAGTCGATGTCACGTCTTGCGAAAAAAGCAGACTTCTCGTGAAATTGGTCATTATTCATCTTTTGTGTAGTTCTGTGCGCCTCTGAAGGGTGTGCCCCCTTCTCTCTCACCTTCCTGTTGGCGATGAGCAGTTCTTTGCGCACGGAGTCCAGCTCACGCTTCACGCCGAGTTTCTCCTGCTCCACGGCCTTCACCAGGCTGGACTGGCCTTGCTGCTTCTGCTGCTTCAGGGACAATATGGTGGACTCCAGCTGTCGAGTCTGAAGGCAGGTAACAGAGGACTAACATGAGGGGGCGAGGCTACTCCAACAGCTGGATACCTGCTTCACAGTCTACAGCAAACCCCACCCTGCAGGATTATCCAGTCGCCATTTCCCCAAACTCTGCAGAGCAGCTTCTGTTGTACATTTAAACTCTTTCCATGTCATAACCCACTGTTTGGTCATGTCTCTGAAAGATGGATCCGTACCTTTGTAATTTTTTTAAGAAGTAGATAAGCAATGAAGACTAAGCTGTCACTGAGGCTCCTTATGGTGCAGCCCGGCCCACTCACCTTGTCCCGGGAGAGGATGAGGTCACCCTTGGTGTTCTGCACCTCCTTCTGCAGCCTCTCGTTCTCCTGCCTCAGAAGCTGCTGCTCCTGGTCCACCAGCCGGGACAGCTCCTCCCAGTACAGCTTCTTCTGGTGGCTCTGGTACCCGCTGGAATGCAGAGCCAGCTCCAGGAACTGGTTCTGAGCCGAGGCAGAGAACGTCAAAGACCAAGCACACGAAAAGGATGGCTTTTGTTTTTTTTGTTTTTTTTCTAGCGCAGTTGCTCGCATAGTGACTGAAGCTGTATATCTCCAGGAAAAAAACACACTGGAGAACATGTGCAAGTACTGAGTTTCGTTGTCTTGCTGACGTGCAATAGGAAAGGATTACACATGGTCTCGTCTTCCTTTCACGTCTTATGATAACTGCACTTGAAAAGACTAGATTGATTTTGGCTAAAAACTCCTTCATCTCAGTCTTACCTTATTGTTGGCATTCTGCAGCTGCTTATGCAGAGACATCACTTCCTGTTTGAGGGCTTCTTTTTCTTGCTGGGTGACCCTCAGGTCTGACTTCAGTCGGGCTGTCTGGAGATTGACAGTCTGAAGGGCTTCATCCAGAGCCTGGACCTGACCCAAAACATCCAAGAACACTGTCACACCCCTAGAAATCATCTACAGATTTGCACTGCACAAAACTATGACACACAAAAACCTGATGTGTTCAGATCGTTAGAAAAGATCTTCTTAATAGCTATTGACCGTAGAACGCTTAGTAATAACACCAAAACTAACGCTTAGTAATAACACCAAAACTGCCCCCTAGTGGACATTCAGGGAAGTTATATGACAACATCAACTTGATCGCAGACGCACACCAGGTCCCTGGACTTAAGGGCATGTCCTACACTGACAGGGTAATGGCACTGGGTCCTTTTATTCTTTAAAAGACAAAACAGGACATTTCTTCAGAGTAAAGCATGAACCAGAGGCGGAAACTATGTGAAAGTGCAACCTAAAGCAAGAATGCTTTTTTACCCAAAGAGTGGTTGAACAAGCTACACAGCCATGTTGTTGAAGTCGACACCCAGTCTCCTTTCTAGAAATGACGCAATACCTTGTCCAGGGAGGCAGAGAGCTGAGTCTTAAGGTTCTGGGCCTGCTGCTCTGCTGCTTGACGTTCCTGTCTGAGATGAGACAGCTGGTTCTCCATCGTCCCTAATTTTGCAACCTGCACACAGTGAAGACCAAACCTGAGTGACCAGGAGCAGTGCTTAGGAACTGACTACAATACAGGGTTTGCCGCAAAAACCAATACATTTATAAACCAGTTCTGCACAATATTTAATCTGAACAGTAAAATATTAAAATGAATAGTGTTGAAATTGAAAGTACAGATAGAGAGCAACAAGTGGGTGTTATTGAGTATTACAATCGTCTTTCTACAGGAGATGCGTACAGTTCAAACAAGGCTTAATGCTTTAATGAAGGGAAGGAATTTTAGTCATGTTCCAAATATTGATGCAGAAGTTCCCATAGTTCCTGTTTGATTTTCACCTATGTGTTGTTACAGAAATATTACTTGGGTAACTACTAAAAGTTCAACACAATACAGGATGTAGGAATTCGGAATTTAATATTGCTTATGTGTTTACAGCCATAGTGTGCCAGTATGCTCCCCACACACCAGCTATCAGTGGGGAGAAGAACAGAGTGATGAAGCCAATTCAAAGATGGGGAGGCCATGATTGGTGAAGGACAGGGAGGAAATTTGGCCAGGACACTAAGGTAACACCCCTTTTATTTTCAAAAAGCACCCTGGGATGAGAATCAGGACCGCAATTTTATATCTTGGTGACGAATGGTGTTCATCACTACGGGGCATTAGGACCCACACGGACTGCAGGGTGAGCACTCTTCAAATTGTAGTCACAAGAGCTGAAGATACTACAGTACACCCCACGATGCCCGGCTCTGCACCTTGTCCACGCAGCGGCTCAGCTCCTCACTCAGAGTCTCCTTCTCCCTCTGGAGTTTCTCGCTCCTCGACACGGCACTGGCCAGCTCAGAGCGCAGGTCCCGGCTGCTGCACAGCTGCGCATTAAACAGGAGTCACCGGTTTGCCTCCAAACCCCTCCACAGGCTTCGTCATAGTAGGCGAAATTCTACACTTGAAGGCTCCACAGCTAAACCATTGTGTTTCCTTTATTCTCTTTTCAGCATGGAATAAACCTATCACTTGTTCCTTTGCAGCCTACGCATGCTGATGCAGCTACCCACCTGAATTATATTCTCAGCAGATGATTCAATGGGATATACACTGCCCTGCTGCAGTATCTAGGACTGTGGATACCTCTGTGATAAAGCTGCCAACCATAGTTAGGACAGCAGAAGAGATAAGGACGTTTTTTAAAAAAAAGACTAAAATCTTCTCCTTTTTTCTATTTTAGAACATATTTCAAGCCTAGAGAAATTAATTACCCACAGTCCATTTTAAAACAATGCAGTAAAGCCTCCATTGAATTAGGCTTTATGTAGACAGAATTAAGCAGTTTTTTCAGGTTACTTAAGATGTTATAACAAAGTGTGGAACAAACGCCTTAATTGTGGTACAAAAACACACAATATTTGTATTAATGATACTTTGCATTCAAGTGTTCATTTGTCAAAGTGCACATTACATTATGAGGGGTTGAGTTAGGATTAGTTTTAGAATTAGGATCAGTGTGTGGGCCATTATGAAACTTTATGTACCCGTTATGTCTATTAAAGAATGATTTTAAAGAGTTATGAAGGCTAGTGTAATATCCTGTGTAACCTGTAAGGAGATATTATGAAATTATTATGTATGCTACATAAGCCCTTCAAAGGAAATTTCACTGACACTGTCTGATTGCAAGGTCTCTGTGTAAAGTATTCAGTTTGTGTTTCAGTCACCTGCTCCTTCAGGGTGGAGAGTTCCTGGCTCATCAGCGCCCTCTCTTGCTCCAGCTGGGCACTCCTCTCCTGGGCTGTGGCCATCTCTTTCTCCAGGCCTGACAGGCGAGCTGCCATCTGCCAAGAACAAGTGAGATGTGCTCATATGGCTAAAACCTAACTAGAAAGAAGGATTATATCTGAACACATCTGGGTTTTGGGCGCCCCCATGTAATACACGTCACATTGCAAACAAATGTCATGTTTATTTTTTCAGAATATATAATACATAATGACTACCAGAAAAAACATTTTCATGAAAGCATCATGAATTGAACTGAAAAGCATCATGAATTGAACTGAATTGAATTGAAAGCTCTAAAGACCAATGTTTTCTCTGTTTAGGGGGAAAGTGGAAAAACCCCTATCAGGTACCAGTTAAGGGATATAATCAGAGACTAAAATCCAGGGCTTCCTGATGTCCCTGCTGTTTGGATACATGAGGTGCCCTTCCTGCTGCTCAAGGCCCACCTGGCTCCTCTCCTGTGCGAACTCGGCAGCCAGCGCCGCTCTCTCCCTCTCTAGCTCCCCCTGGTGGTGCTGGCGCCGGCTGCTCGCTTTCTTCTCCCGCTGCTTCAGCAGCTCGCTGAGCCGGCGGTTCAGCTCCAGCACGTCGGCTGCGTTCTGTGCGCTCTTGTGCGAGAGCAGCCCGTTCTCGTCCTCCAGCTGCTGCCCTCGGCTCCTCAACTCCAACACCTGGCCAGCAGAGAGAGAGAGAAAGAGAGTCCACCGTCAGTAAGGCCACATCACTATTCAGTCTAAATATATACAGTAGATTCACAGTTCGATCACGTCCTCCTCGAATCAATGCAATTAAGGTTATAAACTTATTTGCGTTTAAATGGGAAAACGAGACTGAGAAGGTTTCACTGTAAAAACCATAAAAGTCTTTTCAGTGTTTTCCCATAAAAAGCAAGTTTTGCACCTTACTTATTTAAATGATAAGGCCGTTGCTTAAATAAAAGTAAATCACATTTTTGCCGACAGCTTATCACCTGGTTCTTTAAGCTCTCGTTCATCGTCAGAGCTGCAGTCTTTTCCTTCTTCAATTGATCAATTTTGCGTCTGTGAAATAAGGCAGACACATACTTCATTAAAAAAAAGTATCATGCCAAGGGAGACGTTTAGAAATGCACAGCCACATATAGTTTGTAATAAGTATCAAAATGTAACACTTCAAGACTTCAAGTTAAAAAATGACTATATTGCAGGGAAAAGAACAAACTACATAAACCTGCTATTTAAGGTGCTAACTGTGTGTTATTAACTACTAAATATTCCATCAGGAGTGAATAGAGAGGAAATAAATAATCTAGAATTTATTATCTTTTATTTGAGCCATCAATAATAACCAGATAGATTAATCTACTTTTAACTTTTTATCTTTTAAGTTTCTTACAGCATTTCCTCTTGGCTCTTATTGAGGTCTTTCAGTTCCTGCTGTGAGATGTTGCCCTCTTCCTTGAATTTGGAGATCTCCCATTTCAAAATGAGGTTTTCTTCTGCCAGACGGCCAGCCTCCCCTCTACATTGGAGACAGACAGGATAGGAGAATTAGAACAAGTTACTGTTCCTTCTTCCCAGACTTCAACTGTTTGGTGAGGTGTGTTTGAGAAAGTGTACAGAATTGAGGGTTAGATCTTGTGTAAACCACTAAAATAACATTTGCTGTATTAAGAAAACACTTTTTAGTACCTTAGGTTCACAATGAGCAAATTATTCAGATGGATACAACAATTAAGAGTGTAAAATGTAGATCCAACAGACTGAATTTTAGTTTATTATTTCCCTTCATAAGAGGGCTCTATCAAGAAGAGGATTATATCTCTGAATAGACATTCAAGAACTACATATATTCTATGTGATAATTTCCAAGAATATTGTGCTGTAAAAGTGTTTCCTAAACAAGCCTGCAAACATTTCTCCTAAGATGACGCATCTTAATCTAATTTATTAAATGTATGTATCTTAACAATAATTACAAGATGATAAGAGTTAAAGAATTGGGTCTAGAACTATGTTACATCATTGTATTTTTTATATGAATTAAATGACATAGTTAGAAGATGTTTCAGGCAGAGCTGCCATTTTGTAACATTGTAACATTTTTCTCAGCCACTGTTCAGTTTACATTTCACCCTCTTATGTAGCCTTTTTATAGACTAGTTTATTTGTACACACACAGACACACTACATACATGCACAGACATTACACACTGTACACCTTTTATTTTATCTCAGAAAGAAATAATCTTTGTCAGTGCACTCTAGATCAATCTTCAATGCTGGACAGGGTTTTTTCCACGATTGACACAGTCTTGATTCAGTCATGCCATGGAAACACAAGCCTGTCAGATTGTTACATCATCTACATGAAGGTTTTCTTTTTTCTAAGGGGTTAAGACAGCAACAGAGACAGCAAGAGCTCCATATCTATGTGGGATTAAAAGCGCTATTCTAGGTCACGCGTTACAAATGTGAGTTGCGCTAAGTAGCCAAGCAGGAATGCAGGGTTAGTTTAGTTTGACAGGGCACACAAGGAAGTTGGATGCTCCATATCCGACGATGGCTGCTGGTACATTACCTGTGGGCCTGCATCTTTTCTTGTAACGTTTGACATTTCTCTTGAAGTTCAGCAACAGTTTCCTGCAGTTTTGCCTTTTCCCTCTCTAGCTCGGTGCAGCTATCTTCAAGTTCTGACACAGCCTGAATCTTCGCTTCCAACTGAGAATTTAGGTCCTGAAAAGTCTCCTTCTTGTGAACGTTCATTTCTGCCACCTCCTTGGTCCCTTTAGTGTCCTGACAGAGGTTTTTAAGCTCTTCGTGTTTCTTTAATTCTTGGATCTCTGCACAGAGTTTTGAATTTTCTTCCACCATACGGGCCACTTGCTTTTGCAATTTGGAATGCCTGCCTTGGATGTGCCCGACACCTTGCATTTTTTCCTCAAGCTCGTGAACTTTGTTTTCCAAATTCATCTTTTCCTCCTGGAGCTTTCTCTTTTCTCTAGTGCATTCCTCATACCTACTTTGAATGTCAATCAACTGCTTAGTCTTGCCCTCCAGGTCTTTGGTCCGTTCAATCATTCTAGAGATGTCTTGCCGGAGCTCTTTGTTTTCCTTCTGTGACTGCTCTCCGGCAGCAATCTTTTGGGCATCATCTTCCAAAAGAACTTCAAGTTCACTTGTCCTTTTCTCAAGATGACAAACCTCTTGCTGGAGCTGCAGGTTTCGGTCATGGGCATTTTCTAACTGGGCCTGCACCCCAGCGTGAAGATACACTTGGTCCTGAAGCTGCTTCAGTTTTTCATGTAAGTTCTCCATCTCACTATGGCAGAGCTTTCGCGCTTTCACAGCCTGTTCAACTTCATCCTGAAGCTGATGAATCCCTTCATTCGGTTTTTCCAGCTTTCTGATATTTTCTTTAAGTAAATCAGAATCAGAATCACAACCTTGTTCTTTCTCTTCAGATACCTGGGGTTCTGTACCTATGCTGCTTTCTGAGGTGGGTGTCTTCTCGTCAGGATATCTAATTTTGACTGTTTGCAGGTCAGTGAGGCTCTCTTTTTTAGCTTCCAGTTCCTCGGTCCTTTTTTTAAGATGTGAAATCATGCAGAGTGCTTCTTCGTTTTCCTTCTGCACCTCTTCAAATCTCTCCTGCAGCTTTGACATCTTGGTCACTTCAGTTCCCAGCTCTAGAATTCTGATTTGGAGCCGGCTGTTTTCAGCCACCAAGCTCTGTATCTCTGCCCATTGTTTTTCTAACAGATTCAGATTCTCTTTGTTCTTCTCCTCTAAGTCAGTCAATTGGCCTTGGATCTCTGCCTTCTCCTGCTCAAAATCTTCAACTGCCTGTTTCAGCAGAAGTTCCAGATCGTCAGCTTTCTTCTGTGCCTGAATCAGAAGCTCATCTTTGGCATTCAAGTTTTGTTGAAGATCTTTAGGCAGATCAGCCAATTGCTTGGTAAGTTCACTCTCTTTTACCTTTGCAGTGTGAATGAAGGCTTCTAATTCATGTTGCACTTGCTCGTTTTTAGCTATCAAGCCATTTAACTGCTCCTTGTAACTCTTCTCCATCATTTCTCTTTCTCGTTCAAACTCCTGTGACACACACTCCTTCTCTCGCTTTAGGGAATCTCGGAGACGCTCCATTTCTTCTTCACTTTCTCTGAGAATCTCCTCCTTCTCAAACTCCCACTGCGCCTTCTCCTCTGTATGTCGCATTGTCAGATCCTGGAGCTCGTTCTGGTGACGTAACTCTAGCTTGGACATGTCCTTCTGCAATCTTTCTGAAACAGCTTCCTGGTCTGAGAAGCGGGATTCTAATTCCCTGATCTTCTGGGAATAGTGTCTTTCCAGTTCCTTCCTGCACATGTCAACCATCAACAAACAGTTATCATCAAAACCGCCACTGGGGAGAAATCTGAATCCATCTGGCTTAGCAAACCACCAAAACCATTTCATTTCATAGAGGACCGATTTTCCTTCCCTACAGTTTAACTCCATCTCTCAGGAGAGAAATTAGCAATTCTGTAGATTTACATTTTCTTTAATGTGAAAAAGTACTTACATTTCGATCACATTTTGATATAAATGTATAACCGAGATATGTCAAAAGCATTCCCGAGTGTGAGCAAAACATTAAAATATTTGAAATAAAAATATATATAAAACAATAATGTTCAGTTGTAATTGACTGGAAATCAGTAGGCATGTTCACCTATACTGCTAAAAGGATGTAATGTTATTTCTTGTGTGATCATTTACACTGAATAGCAAAAAAGACTTCAAACCTCTAAAACAAAAGTACATTTAGTCATCCAAGTTCAGCCTTAGTTAAATTATTCTCTGTTACTGCCACAGCATAAATAGCTCCTATCCCCTCTCACCTCTCCTCCAGGAAATCCTGCTTGAGCTTCTCCACCAAGCCGTTGAGCCTCTCCCTCTCCTCGCTGTGTCTCGCACTCAGCTCCTGCACTGCTTCCCGGTGGCTCTCCTCCATCAGGGACCGCTGTCTCTCCCACTCTTCCGCAAGCTGCCTTTCCCGTTCCTCCAGGGCTCCCGACAGCCTCTGCCGCTGCTCTTCCAGCCTGCCTTGCAGGGCCGCCTCGTGCTGCTGCTCCAGTCTCACCCGATCTTCCGAGTGCAGCCTGTCCCGTTCCGCCACGTCGGCGGCGTGGGCCCGCGCCGTGCTCTCGCGCTCGCGCCCCGCGGCTCTCAGCTGCTCCTCCAGCTCACGAGCGCGGGTCTGGACCCCGATCACCTCGTCCCTCGCCAGACTGACCTCCTCCGCGTGGCGGCGCTCCAGTTCTGCCCTCTCCTCCGCGTGGCTCTGCTCCAGCCCCTCCTGGGCGGTCTGGGCAGCATCCAACAGGTTCTGGAGCTCCTCCGCTCTCCTCTGGACTTGATCCTTCTCCTCCTGGCACCGCTGGGCCAGCTCCCTTCGCTGCTGCTCGTGAGCACCCTTCAGCTCCTCCAGCTGCTGTTCGTACTGACTGACCTGCAATGTCAAATCAAACCTTTGTTCAAGTGGGCTACAAGGAGCTTCCCATCACAAACACTGTGCGTGTTCAATAGTCCAGCAGCTTTTTGCGGATCTGTGCAAAACATCCCAATCTCAAGATCAAGAGAACAAAAAACTTTCATGCTCCAGTTAAGGAAAGAACTAGTTATATGACTTATGGCTTGAGCAGAAAAATAGGATAAATTCCTCAGCATTCTGAGTGCATATTTAAAATAGATCAGCATTAAGTGAGTTTCCACAAAGATAACTGTTGGACTGGTAATGTGTTTCTATTTTTTTTGGACAGAGTAGGCTGTCCTTCCCTGCCCACCTTGCCGTCTAGTTCGCCTCTGAGGGTTTCCAAATCCCGAACGTGCTGGTCCTTTAGCTGCTCGATTAGCATCTCGGCCTCCAGGCTCATGTTGAAGGGCGGACAGTCCTCTGAGCCAAGACCTGGGGAACAGCATATGGGAAACATGCCTGCTCTTAAGGAGGAGAATTCTGGGATCAAGAGGAATAGGGGAAGTGCTGAAGTTCTTTCACAGGTTTGACAGATAGTAACCAATGGGATAAGCAGGGCTCTGGCAACGCCATTTGGTGGATAGGCGACAGAAAAATGTATAACTTTATAACTACTTTATGACTACATGCAGCAGAATGCTACACACAGCAAGGATAGGTCCTGCTTTTTCAACTGCAATGGCTGAGCAAAGTGTACCTGGGTCTGATTCAATGCCCGGGCTCTTGCTGTCAAACTCCTCAGAAAGAGAGGGCTTGAAGAAGGGGCGGGACGTCCTGCCCAGGGTGCGATACTCTTCTAGCTCTTCCTGCAGCTCATCAATGCGGTCCTGCAGCTCCTGTGTACATGCAGACACACTGGGATCACATACACTGCACTGGGCGCAAGCTGTCGTGGGTCAGGCAAGCTAGACTCAACCATGAGGAGGAAACATAGCAGCCTGATGGGGAAGTCTCAGAACAGAAACCTGTTGTGTATTAGTGAGACCGGGGAGACACCCTCTATTGTATGCATTGTGTTAATACAGATCTACCGATTCCAACCAGAAATTATGTCAAAGGAACGGAGATCCCAGTAAATTTATAAGTAAAGAAAAACGTATTGAGTTGCTAAGCGTAAAGTTAGTTTAATCCCACTCTGTCTTGCTTAATACATTTAAAAAAGACAAAAATAAAACTCTTGTTAAGTCAATCTGTCAGATCTACAGGACTGCAGGACTGGAGAAAACCTCCTCCATGGCTAAAAAAGTGCCCTCTCTTTCTCAGGCACGGCCAGTGAGAGACAAGGTGCGCACGGACGTGATTCTCATTCTTCTTACCCTGCACTGCTCTTCATACTTGCTGCGTAGGTGTCTGAGCCTCTCCTCCTGCAGGAAGAACTCTGCGCTGCCTGGGTCCAGATCACCGAACTGGTGACACAAACCAACAAGAGGCATTTCGGATGTCAGGTACATAGACGGAAGAAGAGCCACATAGTACAACATAGAAGATAAATGCAAATCTGGCACTTTCAACTGACTTCAATGTGCTTTATAAGGATCACTTAGAAGTTTGTTCATGTGATATTAATCTTCATATTATCTTCTATTATAATAGTCCATGAGGCCGACAGATTATTCATCACACTACAGTTACTGTATGTGTTCAGTTACCTGAACAGTCTTCTAATATGTCTAAATGAAGTGTGAATTTCTTCCCCTCTGGCTGAACTGTGCCTGATTCTGTCTATGTCTGAGGGCTGTCTGGGGGAATTCACCTTTTCTTTGAGAATGTTCTCCAGGTTCTTCTGCAGTTTGCCGACCAGATTCTCACTCTCCACCAGCTTCTCTGTGTTCTCCAGCAGTTCAGCCTCTAGACGTCCATTCTCCTGCAGAACAGGCCAGGGTGAGACCAAGCTGCACTGGAGCTCGGGAGCTCACGATCGTACAATTTATGACCCTGTTCTGTACAACATCTGGGCTCATTCCACGGTAACCAAGCCAGTGTTTTCTTTTAAGTGGGGTTTCTGATTTTTTTTGGCTAAAAGGTCAATATCAAAGGTCATTTAACCATCCAGACCAACTTCAGTGTTATGAATTACTAAAGGAGTGCTGTTTGACCCCTCACTCTGGCCCTGCTCGGTGTGTCTGTAGAACAGTTGCTCTAACACTAGCTACCTTGAGCGTCAGAGAGAGGCGATCACGCAGGAAGGCCTCCTCCTCCTTCACTTTCTCAACCTCCCTCTCCAGTTGTGCCCGCTGGCGGGTGGCCTGCTGCTGGATGTGGTCCAGCTCTCTGGTCAGCTCTGACTTCACCGCAGCCAGTTTGTCCCTGTGCTCCATTTCCAGCTTCCTACAGACAGAGAGACAGAACCCACTTACTCTCACCAACCTCTGCCCTCCGAGACCTGATTATGAGCACAGCGGCAGTAGAAAACAACTTACGTGGGATGTTTATCTCAAGGTTCTGAAAATGAATTTTCAGCTTATTTGTAATATTCAAATTAATTTTGTTTAGGATTGATATTCAACCAGTAAAAGCTGCCTTCATCCCTCAACCAGCGTCCTCTTTTAAAAAGATATTGGCAGTCATGCAAACCAGTGAACAAGGTGAGATACCGGAGGTTGTAGTCATTCAGGCGCTCGATGGCTGAGTGGTGCTCGTCCACCTCTGTGGCCATCTGAGTCTTCAGCTTATCGGCCTTTTCTAGATCTGCCTGAACCTTCCTTTTTTCCCGCAGTTCACGGTCCACACACTCCCTGGAAAAACAGCAGTCAGAATCAGAAGAAACCTAATAGGAAGGCCTCAGATGCAATCAGGCCTACTAATAAGAGATAAAGTGTATTTTCACATCTGGCCTCGTAGACCCTATTTCTGTAGCCTCCCACAAAGGAGAATGAAAGTGTAGACAACACCTCTGAGCCACTCAACTTTTTAACGCAGCACAGGCACAGCACCACAAACTCGTACTGGACGTCCAGTGCCGACTGGAGCAGGGGAACATCTCTCGTCGACAGAACTACATGCAAGCGCCCAGGAGACTGCTGGGAGCTGAGAGACCCTTGGCTGACTAGTCCCACACTACCCTCAGTGGGGGAAGCCTGGTTACACTCGCATAATGATGTGACCCAATATGAAACAAGCAACATAGTGCTTAACCTGTGCGCAGGCCAGCATCTTTACCAGTGGTTGAGGTACTTTGGGAGTTTTTATCCAGTTCTATAGTGTCACCTCATTCCTCTCAGAATTCGACGGAGTCGAAGCAAAGCTCTGCTACTATGGATATTCTAACTCTGTCAGTGTGCTGTATGCATGTCTCTGATTTTGTCAGCATATATGCATGTACAAACAGTTCTCTGCCTTTCTGAGCAGCACTCACAGCAGGTAGCGGATCTCGGCCTTGAAGCTGGCCAGCACAGCCTGATGAATGCCGTTCTTGGTAATAAGCAGCTCGTTCTCAAGTGCGATGGTCAGCTCACTCAGATTCACCTTCCTCTCCAGACCAAAATCCAGAGCCTGCAACAAGGACAGCCCCTCAAAAAACATGTCACACCACAACTGCAGGACAGCAAGTATTCATTATTCATTACCTTTCATCTCTGACAATATTCCACCACATTCATATGTGAGCAGGCATGTATGAGATCGTATAGTGCTCTGTTCTGATGCAAGGTGTGTGAAAGATATTCTCTGCTGGAAATCACAGCAGTTTGAATTAAAGTATTAACAATTATCAATTCAAAATATGGGTACAACGGCAAAGATATTCTTTCCATACTTTGGAAGATTCTGCTTTTGTGCACTGAAATAACTAGTAGATTTAATATAACGCCAGTTTAACAGGCTTTCATTGCATTATGAAACTGAAGCCCACACCTGCAGGATCTCCGGGCCATTCTCAATGCCCTCCTCCTGCCAGGTGTCCAGCAGTTGCTCAGCAGACGCGTATCCTGATCCGTCATCCAGAGTGGAGAACAGACGCAGGCCGATGGTGCTGGTCATCGCCGAGGGTGTAGTTGTCCGCCGTCCGCTCTCATCAAAAGGCTGTGCAGACAGAACAGGCTCAGACTGGTTGTGCCCCTCCGCAAGCTAGAGAACCAGTGGTCTTCTTCACCTCCAGTTCCCACTGCACCGGAACTCAGGTGTAATAATAATTCCTTATACTTATATGGTGCTTTTGTTGACACTCCATTCAAAGTGACCAGACTCGCAGCTGCTTAGCTTTAGCAGGCGTCCACTTGTGAACTGCAGGGTGATATAGCTGCCGTCAAGTGTGTAAGAGGATTTAGGAAAATTATTTCTTCATGTATGGGCTTCCTCTGCTAAATGCAAACGTTTCTTCCACACTATTTACCCAAACAAAAAAAAAATTGAAGCTAATTTGACAGCAGATCATCAAGCCTAGCAAGCATTATGGGTAATCTAAGCCGTAAGACCGAAAAATGGTGGGAGTGGGGTATGGGAGTTATGAGAGGGGCCGGAGAGCAGCGAGCCTAACCTGAGTGGAGTGGTGTCTCTTGAGCTGTCGGTACGGGGTGGAGGCAGAAGGGGTGGGAGGATTGTTGCTCCTCACAATCCCAGAGACAAAATCCTGCACTCTCATGACTCCATCGCTGTCCAGCTTCTGAAAAACATCTTCCACCACCTGCAAGACAGGGTTGAAATAGACTGCATTAACTTCATTAAAAAATCTAGACCATTTATTGAACAAAGCCATTTTCCTCAAAGCATAGGGTCACTGACTATTATTTGGCCATAACATTTTTACTCTAAATCTAGAAAAAGTTGCTGGGAATCTTCAAGTCATGCTACACCATTGTGTTCAACACACTAAAGTTACAAAAACAGTGAAATGCTCATTACTGTGAAATGGGTAGAGGGTATCGCACACAGACGAAGGCAATACATGCTTAACAAGAGATGAAAATGATTCTCGAAACCACAGACAGGGCCTGGCGTAATCTCGGAGATGCAGAGAACGACCCGAGCTTCAGTCAGCGGGGCCTCACCCTCACCTCCAGGCCTAGCCGCGCGCACACGGAGAGCAGCTCCTGGTGGCTGGCGAAACCGTCTCGGCACAGCCCCAGCTCCTCACACGCGCCCTGCAGGCACTCCTCCAGCTCGTCGGGGGAGGGGGCGAACCCGCGAGGCGTGCCCAGGTCGTCGGGGTTCCAAAAGTGGAGCTGACCTGCACCGAGAAAATGGGCGTCGGGGAGGGACGTAAGTAAAATGGAGCAGCCGGACGAAAGGTGCACAGCCTGCGTCAGTGCTACAGCTACTGTACTGTTCCCGGGGAAGAGAAGAAGACAAAGAGCTGCTCAAGTCTCATGTGAGTCTCACAGGTTGCCTGTTTAATACAGGAACAAGTCTTGACTTCAGTGTCCTCCCTCTCTGCTGCAGTTCGATAACTGTGGCAGGATTAAGGTTAGTGACTGAAGACTACAGATGTTGAATGAAAATTCAACCTGATAAAATGAAAAACAAAAGCACTTCTTAGAAAAAGAAAATCTATGTATGAAAGCTGATTTGAACACACCTCTGCCTTTAAAAAAATTGTTTTAGATTTTATGTCTTTGGGCTGACAGTATACAGCAAATGCACATTATTTTCAGGGGGAGAAACTCGCTGCTGAGAAATATTACAAGCTATTATTAACAGGCATCTCAATGTGAAGACGTTCGGCAAGTTCACCTGCAGAAAGTTCCATGATGAGTTCCAAAGTTCATCATGTTTCTTTTCTTTTCCTTTCAGCATGAAATAAACCTTTACCTGTTCCATCTCAATATGAATATGTATCAGGGGTTGTGAACTTGGAGCTGGTTGAGTGAGTTTAATGTTTTTACACATAAAACATGAAATGATATTCAATTCAGCTCATTTGAACTGTTTCCAGTCTTACCTTCAGCCTCATACTCCTCACTGTTGTGAACGGAGGTGCTGCAATGCTGGGGAGAAGGAAAGCACAGTCCATTACTGGAAAACCAGAATACAGCGATAAAATATCCAAAACCTGCATAATTTGCTCCATGATCATTAAATGCATCTCAACATGATTTATACCTCATCTGTTTCTAAGTAGAAAACAAGACAGCGAAGATGAAAGTAATTACAGAAATCGTTCCAATTTAAGAATCCCCACAGGCATCGGAATTGATTTTTTTAGTGAAATCAGGAGTTTTTTTAACCATTTTTCAAAACAGGACACATAGCATGGTAGGAAAAGCACTAAAAACAGAAACATGTTCAGATTTAGTTTTGGATGCTTAACCACTAGAGGGCTTTGGAGCAGAAAGAACACACTGTTGTTATGATCCCAAGAGTCACATGTGCAAGACAGGTAGAACTTCATTGTAGGACTGGTAGTTAATACTGTATTTGAAATCAAATGATCACAACGGAGCTTCGCCCAGACACTTCTACGCTTTTTATACTGCTGCCAGCATACAAGATTGCAACACATCTCAAGTGGCCTCTGCTAATACCTCTAATTGCAAGCAGTAGCCTTCCAACTACACCAGCTTGTTGATGTGGTTGTAGAAGACCACTTCAGAATCAAGCATTTAAACCAACTGCTAATCTCTTTCATTTCCATGGAAACAGATTAAACCTAACCCTGAACAAAGCACTGGGCACAGCACAACCTGGTTAAAAAACAAAAACAATAACAACAGACTAAAAATACAGGAACCATGCAACTACTTTTTTAATGGATTTTCTGATTCGTTTTTTTTTTTTTAAGCACAGCATTTTTGCCATTTGTAAACAGGACACTATTTTAGGACGCTAATGAGTAAACACAGCAGGAGACCTCAGTTTTGCTCTAAATTTACTGTCTGGGTTGTGAACAACCAGGAGGAAAGGTAGTGCACACTTATTTTTTTATAAAGTTTCATACACCCAAAAACATAACAGTTCAGCAGAGGAAGATCTGTGAAAAGCTGTTTTTTGTTTTTCTTCAGGGAAGCATGTTCTTTTTGGTATGAGAATCTAAATGTGTGTCAGTATCAGCCCTGCTGACTTAATAAAAAGTGGTTTTGAAGGACACAAAAAGTGCTCATTCTTATTTGATAAAGTCCCCATTTAGATTGAAATGATGGCAACACGCGACTCCCCCCCCACCCCCCCTGCTCTCCCTCCCTCAGGCAGCCCTCTGGCACACATCAGCTGAGCAGAGGGGCGGGGGACACTGCCACACTGAACGGGCTCAGAACAACAGGGCCTTGTGGCAGCACAGGGCCTGCACTGGTTAAAGGTCATGCAGAGGCAGCCTTGAAGTGGCCAACCAAACTCTGCAGGTCTTGTGCTGAAGTCGAGTGTGATCACACCAGGAGTCCCCCTAATTATTATAATACTTATACAACCCCCCGTATCCCAATGCATGCTCATGTCTCCTTCACCATGACCACCAATCAAAAAGCAGGAGATAATAAGGAGCTCCAGCTCCACTGAAGGGAAAGGCAGACAGGAACAGAGGGAGATTCAAGCCAGTAAAGGCTCGCTCCTTTTACACAGCCTGTGATTCTAAACAATACCGTGTTGCTGTCAGATCACAGACACCAGCTAAAATAAATACAGCTTCTGTGGACCCAAAACACCCAGAGAAAAATAGTGCTTATAAGCAAGACATCTTAAGAATGCAGAAGCATGACTGTTTATTTTAAATTCAATCAGCAAGTACCATCAGTGCAAATATGATCATGCATATTACATATGAAGGGTTATGAGAGCTGTATCTGAACAGCAAAAAAGGAAAAAGGTGTAAATGAATGTAGCCGACAAAAAAGACATTATTTTTCTCTAAAAATGTCAAAATACAGCATAAAGCTATTGCGATTCCAAGAACAATTTTACTGATGCCTTTAACGGCCTAAGCATTTGCAAGAACTATAACCCACTGTTGGTTGCAATATATCAGTGGGCCAGGGAAGTCATCTGTGTTGTGTTTTTCTGCAGGGGGGTGGGTGACCCCTGGGAGAATCCGGAGCGAGCCCATTGTGCTGCGCCAGACTTCAGTAGGGATTGCCCCACTTTAGTTCAGCGCTGCAGCTGCACAGATGGCACTCGGTCCCCTCTGACCCCCCAGCTATGTACAGGCATCTGCAGAGGGGCTCTTTGTTAATCTGTCAGACCCCCTTACACCCACTCCCTGCGCAGCTATCCCTAGCCCCTGTCTCCATCTGCTCCTCACAGCCCGGCCCATTGTTGGCCAGAGCGCTAATTAGAATTATTTCAAGACATGTTCCATTGTCTGATAGGAATGTTTGTCTTGGGATCTACCTGGACTTGACATTATCCACAGTCCCATTCTTCCATAAAAAATCACTACCCCTCATCCCCGTAAAGGGAAGACAAAGAAAAAGACTGGTCTTCTACCCTGTATAGCCACCTGTTCCTTTTTGAAAGGCTACTTAACCATATTTTGAAAGAAATTTTTTTGCACAATCAATATTGGCGTTGTTACTTATGCAGCTTAATAAATCATGCTTTTTTGAAGTGGGGGAGCTTGAACATAGGCCTGAGATAAACAAAAAATGTATGTGACGACTTGTTGTAAATCACCAGCAGGAAATTCTGCAACCCTGTAACATTTCTGAAATGCACAACACCCCAACTGGTGGACAGGGCTGCTTCAAGCAGGGCCCGAATCCCAGTCATGCTAGAGACAAGGCCCAGGTTTGAACCTTGGATCACAGAGTTGAACTTGCACTTGGGCCGGTGACTTTAAAGTCAAGTGGTTTGGTAATAGATTTTGAAAAGACAGCACAGGGTTGGTCACAGTCTCACATCCTGCAGCTCATCTCAACATCTCTTTTTCTGGGTGGGGGTTCCTGGGGGGGGTGAGGGGGGGTGGATCATCCAATACTGTATAATACCTCTCCACTCCAGGATATAGGGTTCATACCAGCAGGACGCCTTATCATAACAGGAAGTTCATACTTAGGATACCATGACAACGAAATCACTGATGGTTCCAGACATCAAGGCCAAAGTACAGCCTTGATTCCACAGATAAGTGGAGCACCTTGAGAGCTGGCAAAGTCCTCACTTGCTGAACGGCTTATGAACCACAGAAAAGCAACCACAGCAAACAAAAGTAATCATGCATGACTAGGAAAAGACATGGATTATGTCAGAGCCAAAGACAACAGATTTAAAGCAACCCTCTCTTTGACAAGGATCGCAAAAGATTGTAAAATGTTGCATTCAAGTAAACTTTAAAATTAAAAATACTGTTATAATCCTGCTCTGTTCTGCCCTCAAATAAACATAGCTAAACGACTTGTCATGCAGGCAAATGTATAATATTTTGTTCTTAATTCTGTATTCTACCTGTAGAATGTTATGTTGAAATAAAAAAAACAAATAATGATTAGATCAGTGAACATCCTAAAATAGCTAAATGTTTTCAATAATAATTTCTAATCAAAGCACAGTAGCAGCAGAATCAATAATATCTGATTATAACACCAAAATTGCCTTTTTTTAGAAATGTGGGGCTGTAATTGCTGTGGATTAGAAATAATTTGTTTTTCCATTTAAAAGCAGACATCATTCACCGCATTTAACCGTCTGTGTTGTTGGTATAAATAGACAAAGATGGCATGACAAGGTTATGCAATGAATGCAGCCTTCTGTGAGCGGCATAGTTCTGCGAATGCACTGCGTTTTCAGATCTGGCTTGCATACTTCTAAGCTGATTAGCTAAGAATAACAGCTTCTTAGCCTTCGCTTACTTAGAAACAGGGAATAGCTAAGGACAATGAAAGCTATGAAATGTGGTCTTGTCAGTGATCGGGGCATCAGTTACAGAAAAGCTAATGCAGGATAAAAGACTCATCATGTACAGGTGTCATCGGCTTCTTCGCCTAGAGAATGATTCTATGAGTGTATGGGACATTCTTCTGGATACTATTTTGCTATTTCTTTCCCAGTATTGAGAAAAGCCACATGCCACTGAACAAAGCCCTCAAAAGGCTGGGGAGAAGTCAGCCGCTCGTGTTTGTAGGCTATAAGCAGGAGATGTCCTCTAAAATCTCCAAACAATGCAGGCAGTGTTTTCTGTTGTTTCACATTATGGTAATTTTCCCCATTATGGTAAAGAAAAATAAAAAGCATCATGACTTAAGCAAAAAGAAATAGCAGTTTGTGACATCATTCTGGCATTTTTGACTGTACAATACTAGCAAACCCAATCACAATTGCCAGAAATTGACTCATGGGGTTTCTACATTGTTGCATCAAACTTCCCACATTCCCACTGCATCACATGACTGTACAGACCACAAAACTACATAGAGTATTACACCAGCATCTTCCTTCTGAGAGTCACACTGACGAGCACAGTAATTATTGTTTGTGCATGGTAACAGACATTGAGAGTCTGTTAGTACTGGAATTTCAATCATCTAAGCTTATCATTAGGGGACAGTAACTTGTTTGATGTTCTCATTAATGCTTTTCAGGAGCAAGGCCAAAGACACATTTTCTGTACTACCTTCTTCTCCACATTAAAATGTTTCCATTTCTTTCTGATATATAAGGCAATAAGAAAAAAAAACTCTCAGGGAAATACACAGCTTTCCTATCATTTAAGGGTAAAACAAGAAAATACAAAAAATGCCATTAAAAGACACCACACAACACATAAAATCCAGTGTTCAGATTCCACTCACTCAGCTATTGCTGTGAATGTTAAAGTGGCGCTGAGTTACCTCCGAGTCGTTCTGCACAGAGGTGTTGGGGGAATCCTCAGGCTCGTTTAGAGCTTGCACTGTCCCGATCACCTCACAGGACCCTGCTGTAGGGTCCCTACCTTCTGGGGTCGACCGCCGCCCATAACGTTTTCCATCCTTCACAAACTTTGGGACTACTTCTGCGGAATCTGAAGAAAGGAGAACAGGAGATCAGCAGGCCACAGCGGAACTCTGACCAAATGGTTCCTGACCACAGGTCCAAGAAGTGATCTAAAGACCTCCATTTTACTAGTTTTGGCTATGTTTCAAATCCCACCTTTGTTTCATTATTGTTTTTCATTTGTCTTTCTTTTTAAGCATCATTATGTCCCATTTTTATTAATGACAGCCATACTGAAGAGCCTCCTCCAGGTCAGCTGTGTGAAAATGAACAGGGGAACTATTTCAGTGTTGCCATCTTCGGTGCATGATGTTTCACCATGAGGCTTTGACTTCAAGTAACTCTGCAGACTCAACTGGTCTGCCTTCTGCTTTTAGTGAACATACCCCTGGTAGAAATGTTATATAGCATAGCTGAGAGCAGAAATATTATATAGCCAGGTTAAAAACAATCAATCAAACAACAGAGAATTATACACAGACATGACACAGCATGCAATGTTCAGGAACATTTGCAACAACAAAATTTCAGAAAATGAAATAAAAATGTCTAAAGGTATACATATAAACTTAAACACTTGTGTCAAAACATAATTTTTTTAACGTAATCTTTTAGACTCATGATGAACTGGAATGGCCCACTAATATATAACTGACAATAAGGAAGTCAGCTAAATACCGTTTACTTAAACCCTTACAGTTCATGGCTTTTGAATCCAGTATTGAAGAGAGAATAATCCTTCTTAATCCCTCCTCTTCTGCCCAGTCCCTCCCTGTAATTCCAAGGTATCATATGCGTTCCTTAGGCTGATCTGCTCCACTCTCCACTCCACTATAAATTACCTCAGTGACCTACTGGTGCCCTACAAATATGCACGTCAACAACCCTGTCTTGGGCCGAGCGGCTCAATATGCCTGCGCATGCCTTGTTCCTTCAAGGTCCATCCCAGAACTGCACAGGGCTAACAGGAAAGAGGTAATAAGAAGAAACACTCACACAGAAAAACCAAGAGCTGGTCAAGGCTTTCTACACGGATTGAAAAATAATGAAGGCAGACACTGACCTGACTAAAGTGAATTTCATACAATCATCAGGTAATTTCATATAATAAATTGACAAAAAAAACATTCTTATTTAAAAATGAACCTCATAGCAATTTCAAACCTGGATAAAGAACACCTGTAATCCTACTCCCTTCCTACAAGGTACAGGCTGTAGACACAAAAAAGGAAACAGCTATGTGTTAGCTGCATTACTGTTCTTCTTTTCGCTATCTCTTGTTATCACTAACTGCGATGGGTGGCCTTTTAATTACAGGTGGATATCACTGTCCACTACATCTGCATTGTAGTTTAAAGCTAACTACAGAAGGTCCGGGATTAGGTTCATAGTAACTCTCTTATCAATTCTATCATCGTTGGGAGGGGCAATGAAGAGACTGAGGGGGGAGGGGTCTGGTGGTATGGGGGGGGGGATTTGCCCCACTCAGTGCGATTTGCCCTGTGGCCTGCACTACCCAGCCAGGGTAGGGGATGATGGAAGATCCAAGTGCTAAAGCTGGGTAGAAGCCAATCACCCACCTGAAGAGGACAGGGGCCTGTCACAGTTAACAAAGTCTGTTAATTACTCAAGAAGTGGCACTGTTGCTGAAACAGCATCAGAACAGTTAAGCTTCATACTATTAATCCACCAGCAAAAAAGTATCTTTGGCCTTAAGTCTACTCGTTATTTTAAGACTCCCATGAAGGTGTGTTTGAAAGCACTGGGAAATGGGATGCTGGCTTATAATGGTGCCCTGGAAGACTCCAATTCCAATTGGCAAATCACTCTTTGTTTAGTCAATATGTAAGTCCTGTGTTCATGAGCAGAAGGGAAATAATAAAGGTTTATTGGCACCTGTCAAATGTGCACAGCTGTGATATGTTTTAGCATTGTAAAAAATGAATCTTATTAGTTTCTTTATTTCCAAGACCCAGACATAAAACCGATACTGTAAGGATATAAAAAAAACTCTGTCTGCAAGGCCATCAAAAAGTACACCAGCTTCAAAAGGCTTGAGATCTATTCAACTAAGTCTCTTTCTGAAAAAGATACAGCTTTGTGACACAGGTATTTCTTCATGAAAATTAGATATAAAAAGATAGAACAATAAACAAACCTTTTCCTTATTTTCCCCAGACGTTACAATGCTGCATCAGTACCGCAAAGCAAATCAGGGCTCAAAACATGGGAGTGTGTTTCCCTTATAAAAACAAATTAAAAAAAACCCTGTCCCAACACGCCTTCAGTTTAACTGAAGGTGCAGGAACCAGATTACTACAAACTGTAAATGAGCTTAATTAATAAGTTAGTTAAGTCCTCTCCAAAGTGAGAAGAAAACTGCAAAGAATTTCATCAGAAAGTGGCTGGCACGGTCGCTGCACAGACGCACAAGAGTAAACGCAGTAAAGGGTGGAGTGTGTACAGTGGGGCAGTCTGAGCAAGCCTCAACAGGTCATGGCAGGGGTGGCTGGGAGGGCAGCACTAGGAGTGCTTGTGGACCCAGGCCATTAAAAATGCACAATTACACATTAACTACTGTTCCAAAGATTTCACCTTATTTCTGTTGCTTACCTGGCTCAGGATGGTCCACTGGGTTGGATAAAGGCCCACCCAAAGTTGCAGATAACACAAGAATCAGTGCATCCTTGAACTGCTCAAAATGAACCTAGAAGAGAAAGGTTACCAGTCAGAAAGTAGCTCGGTTGTCTCAGTTGAACATGCTTAAAGAACCTGAACAAGACAAAAGACCTATTATACTGTGTATCATTACTAAGTATAAAAGGCCTGTTGTTATTATTAAGCAAGTGAGTATTCATAGTTAGGTCTCTCTTATCTTGTTTGCATTCTATGCGGTCCATTTGCAACCCATATATAAACAGTTCATTTAAAACAAATTTGATGACAGACACTGTTATCTTGGGATATTTTGACATGTAGCACTGTTGTAAGAACGTTTCTTGGCAACTGTTGCCATCAGACGAGCCCCCACATACATGGAGGAGCAGCTCAGCATGGCTAAGAGCAGTGGGTAGAAGCTCAGTAGTGAACCTCCTTCAGAGCTGACCTTTAACCTTCAATTCTACACCCATTTCCCCATCATGAGGCCCATCACCGGGGATGGGTGTGGCCTCTGGCGAGGGGTTCATTCTCTTCCATGAAACGCGCAGAGCTGTCGCAGGAAGAAAAAGCAACAGCTGTCAGCTTTGTCCGTCATGCATATGCATATTTCCTTTGTGAACTGTGAAGCTGTGACTCCTCGGGTTAGAGATCGTGCTGAGTGACTGCTGCCACTATGGATGAACCTTTTTTTGCCCAAACGTAAAAGCTATTCTATTGTTAAGCAGGCGGCTGGGTCGCTGCTGTTGTGCTACAGGAAAACAGATGTTTTCTCTGGCCTCCCCTTGACAAACACATGGTTATTAAAAGACAGAAGCTGTCATTGCCTGATGTAGAGAGAAGGGTGCTCACTGGATATATGGCCCTCCAGCAGGGGACAGACTGTGTGCATAGAAAACAGCACATGTGCATGGTCCAGCTAAAGTTGAAAGATGATGGATTAGATAAAGAAAATGAATTAAAATTACATTCCTGTCCACAACATAAGAACAACGTAGAGACGATGTGTTAATTTCACATCAAGTCAACCCACATAAAGATGACTGAAAATGATTCCATCCTAATCATTCCATGGCGAAAAGGCACAAAAAAATTAAACAGCAGTGACCAAAATGGTAGTGCTTGCTGTAGTATTAATACAGAGGGACAACAGAACCCTGCAGTGAACTGGAGTTTTCTCATGTCTACACAAGCTTATCAATATTCATTCTAGACACGGTGTCAAGGTGCCGCAGTGATCCTTTCATCCTAACATCCTCACACCAACTGCAGCTAGCAGCACTGTCTGAGGTACTTGTGCATTAAAATTAGACTGGTTACCCTAGTTACCCACACCTAGGATGGAGTCATAAAGCCCCAATTAATCTCAGACAAGAGGCTCTCTCCGCATTCAGCAGACAGTATTCAAGCTGTTGTGTGCACGGCAGGGCTCGCTATCAAGAGGGGCCGCAGTTCAAAGCAGACGTGTCCACACAGCTGTGACAATGAAAAGCACCGTAAAGTGGTCCTGAAATTCACTTCTTCACAGCCCAGTATTCCGGTTACAAAGGGACAAGTAAAGGTTATATTCCATTCCGCAAAGCCGAAAGAGGAACCAGGTGTCACACCTGAAAAAGGCCCAACGGCTGAAACAGGGTGTTTCTTCTTTTGACTTTATCGTGCAGAATTAACCTGTGCTTGTTCCTTTGCGATCAATGCAGACTGAAACAGCTCCCCACTGAGGCAGAATGCTGGTTTACTGACAGAGCTATAGGAGAACAAAGATAAAAGTGCAAATTCTAAAATGCTTACAATGGCTAAATGGAAAAACGGAAGAGAAGTGCCACTGGAATTTTCTTGGCTCACAGACTATACTGTTTGAGGTCTCTAGCTGTGTTGTCTCTTCAGGGCCAGATGGCTCTCCCTCCACACAGACTCTCCACACTCTCTCCCTTCCTACAGCTGCTGAGTATAGGAACTGGGGCCACTAGCGAGATTAAAACAAGCCATCAAGTGGGCAATAAGTAGTCCGATGGGAGCAAGGCATGTGGAAGAGGGAGGGGTTCCTGGGTGGCTGACGAAATGTGTGTTTCTTCCATGTGGATGTGTGTGGTGCCTCAGAAACGTACAGTAACTGAGATCATAAAGTAACTGATTACCTAAATCGAAAAGCAGGACCATTTCCAGATAGGGCAAAATGACAAAACGACTCGATTCTTTTTCAAAGTGTCTTAATACATAATTGAGTGTACGGGGCAAAATAATAATATTAATGTTGTAACCAACAAGACTTTGGGAATTGTAAATAAAGTCAATAAAATGACCACAGCCCGTGGTCAAATATTTTATTTAAAAAAATATTTTTAATAAGATAAAGTTTAGTTTATTTCAATGTAAGATGGAAAGGGAGTCTTCTACAGAGGTACTTCAGAAATGACTGGTGACTACTGGGCTCAATCCTGAACAGGTTCCAGACTAAGGAGCTGTGGTTTCATCTATACTACGATTGTTTGCTTGTGTACACAACAGTTCTGTACATTGGGCCACTTTCATAAGCCTTAAATAAACCTTTTGAATACCGAAGTGCCTAGTTTGTTACTACAGTTTAACACACGGCATGCTGCCTGTGGATTGGGAATAGAGCATACAGCTGCTTTCACACTCCACCCAACACAAAGGTCACAGAACAGGCCTGAAATGTGCCACACACTCCCACAATGATTTATAAACTTAGGAATCCAGGTTTCAGAGTTTGGGCTGGTTTCCACAGAGACCTCCATAGGAACCACAGAAAGATGTTGATCTTCAATGCGTGGCAGCCCCATAAACTCTTGTTCAGAAAGCACAGCGTCTGTCGCTAATATGGGCTTCATTCCTGCAGTAATATCAGGAAGAATAATTACACGACCATTATTTCAAATGATACAGTTTTTATTGTGGTATTTAAGGACAAAACAGCAAATTCCTCACTGTGCACTGTGGAACTCCACTGTGTTTCAAATGAGGAATGGTCACAGAGTCCATATTAATCTCCACTGCTCTCTGAGGGAGGCCCGTAGGAGTAAGGTCCAGAACAATCTGCCAACACCTTAAGCCATCAATGCCACCTGCACCTTACATGCGTAATACTTTCTACTGAGATGCCCCCAAGCTTCTAACTACCACTTACTATAAGTACCTAGTACTACTAGCTAATTAGTATACTACTAAGTCCCTTTAGTTGTTGTACAGCCTTTAAATATGTAGCTTCTCTTCTCATTCTCAAACAATGGCCTTGTTCCAAGCTGTAAAAGAATGCTGCCTCACCCCAGTACCCGTTCCACACCACATACTGTACATGAGCCAGTTCTCACTTAGATCTGGAAACGGACACACAGACACACAGAACTGACCACACAAGCTGATGCCCCCAACCCTATCCCAGGAGGCGCTGTCCCGTACCCTGTCAGTGTGAAGTCCCTCTTCTGGCAGCAGGGTGTGCAGTAGTGTAGGGGCGACTTTTTCAAGATGCAGGGCCCTGCACAGCTCCGAGAGCTCCTCCTGACCCAGGGACCCCGAGCCGCTGGTGTCGAAACTGTCGAAGACTTCCTTCAGCTGAGCCTCGTACTGGTCCTGCTGGGCTTCATCCATCCCATAGCACAGAACCACCTGCCCGCTCACCCTGGGAGCAAGAATGACAGGGAGAAAGGGAGAGATTTAGGAAACCCTAACTCACCATTGCTGAGATATTGCATTGAGGAGAATTTCCCGCTCAGCTGGTGAGGAAAATTCTCCACAATGCTTTCTTGTCATCTTGTCTTGCTGGGACTATGGATCAAGCTGCCCAGCTATGTTTTTGAAGCTGATACCCTGGATCTTCTCAAGAAATGGCTGGATCGGATTCCTGGAATAATTAACAGTCAAACAGGCCAGATGGGATAAAATGTTTTTAGGTTCTTAGGTTATTTTTAACAGACCTCTTCACTTTGAGCAAAATAGAAGTGTTTTTGCCTTCTAAGATTCTTAAATAGTTCTGTTCATGCCCACAATCTCCATCTTTACAAGACCACTGAAAATCTCAAAATTAGCTTTCAAAAGCAAACAAGTAGATTCCGTGCAATACCAGTGAAAATTGGGTTGAGAAATATTCTATGATTGAGTCTTTTCTTAAACTGACGTACCAAATTTACAGATTTTTAAACAGAAATTCCAGTTCAGGTCTTCTAGGACATTAATTAAGTTTAATGTTCTTGTAAGCCTGTTATTCTTCCAATGAACCATATTGATTTTAAACTTAAATCACTTAGGCATGAAAGCAGACACCACTGTGAAGTTAAATGCCACAGATGCACTAAAACTGACTGAACAACCAGAGACATCTTAGTTTCACCTGTTGAAATTCCAATGAAGAACTTCGTTACTAAGCAGGGAGAGGAACAGGGTATGGGATAATAGAAACAAGCAGATTAATAAGACAAGGTGAGTCACTTGCCTGTAGGGACAGAAACACCCAGTACAGCAGGAAGGGATTGAGAATGTACACTACTAAGATTATTCTAAAGCAGGTGTCATGGACTAAAAGTGTAAACAGCTGCTTAACTTCTTTTTAGAACTACTTCAAAAAAGATCGTAAACTAACAGCCATTGTAAATTTTGCATGTATGCAATCTAGTGCTATAAATAGTTGATTAAGAGAGAACTGTGGGTCAGCTGAAATATCTTTTTAATCTATCTGTAATAAATCTGGATTGGATCCATGCCTATCACTGAATTGGTGTCACAGCAGTATATTTAGAATTGTTTCAATCCAGAAAAAATGTTAGACTTTCTGCACAAATAAGAGATTTTTTTTGTGTAAAAATGTTTACTTTAACAGTATCACTGAGTCGAATCCAACACAGTAAGATTGAGCTTTTCTTGTGTTTTCAAAGGTTTCGAAAACAATCACACTATTCTGCTCTTTACTATTTTTACTAATCTTTACGTAAATATTTTCTCAAATGGATGTCAACAATTTCATGTTTTGAAGGACAATGTTTTTTTATTTTAATGAGCAGCAAAATATTGTCATCTGTTGTCTTAACTGTGTCCCATGCTACAGCTTTGGATGTTGATAGGTCAGAATAGTATATTTTTATTGTTGTAAATATTTTTCAAAATTCAGAACATTTGCACCATAGAGCATAGTCCTAGGTTCCTCATGTGTAGTGTCTTACTGTGAAAAGGAGTTCAAGATTTTTTTTATCAGAATAAAGTGATTTGTTTAGTATATGCTGGCTTGGCTTGCATCATCACCAATGCAGTCATATTGATTCAGAGGTCTTGCATGTAACTGACTGTGTCCTGAATTTTTGTTCACATCATTGGCAAACCTCTCATTCAGTCTTATGATCGAGCCCCACTACTTCAAAACATATGAAGGTGGCCTCTGTGAGCAATTGCAAAAGTTTGCTTTTGTGGGTTACTCTAAAAGCTAAAATGGGAGAAAAATATGAACACTGCAGGAGAGAGGATGAAGGAGAAGCGGTATATCTTGATGTTTCTGTTTACATTCAGTCCAAGATCCTGTCCCTGTCCGGATAACAATCAGGCTACTGTGTACAGTATGTTTGCTGAACGTACAAGGTGAGAAAGATAATTTTACCTTTGACCTAAGACATCTCGCTGGCCAGCACACAGACCCAAAATCCTTTTGTGGTCAGATGGATTACCAATGTTGCTAAGACAGGAGTTCATGGAAGGGCAAAACTACTTCCATTCCTTCACCTGGGCAGTCAAGGCCAACTGATCTATTAGATAAGCAGTATTAGTACCTTAGTGTCTGGACAGATAATGCCATACCAGTGTGGTGTAGAGATCCTACACACATTCAGAGGAAAGACAAACAATGTTGTAAAACCCTCCCCTCTCTGACTTGGTTTGTAACCTGTTTTGTCTCACTGGATTTCTCTCTAAAGCTAACTTCACAGTACAGGAGGGCTACTGTACACTATGGTTCTTCCTCCTAACTTTAATCTCATTGAAAAGACAAGCATACTCTACCCTGTTTAACCTACAAGAGAGCAAAACATTTCCCTGGTGACTTCAAAACTCCAAAACTAGGCAAAGTTCACAACTAGTCAATTCAACACCTTCTCCGGTGTTCTGAACATTTTTATAGAGAGGATGGTTGCACACAGATGTAGCTGATCTTTACCCTCTCTACCTCATGCGAAGGTCTGGACTTCTTCTCTGATTGGTCTCAGAATTCACACACCCACAGTGCAAACCATCTCAGAGAAACAGTTGTTTCCCTTCACATACCCTGTCATAAATTACCCAGTGTCAAAATAGCTGAAATCTTGGGTTTTGATCATTTCACAGCTGTGTTCTTTTTACTTGCATAATTAAAATAAAATATCTAATAGATAAAAAGCTGATTTTGCCAATTTCCTTTTAAAAATGAGCCCTTCAGAGAAATACACGACTGGGGGTGAAGAGAAAAGGGGATTTGTGTTGTCTAATGCAATTTACATCAATGAAACACAACACATTTGGACTTACACATCCAAAAGGCTGAACAGATGATCAGTGATGATAAACAGGCTGATTCCACAGCCACAGGAGTATGTTAGGGTAGGAAATAAATAGATGTAATAGAAAAAAGCAGATAAAAGATAAAGATATGAAATAAGCAAATAAACAGACTACTGATTTCCTAGATAGAATCATCAGTTTCCAAATTAATAAAAGCACATTATGTCAACGTGATCACACACAGCAATTCAGCATGTGATATAATGCAATACATTAATGTAAAGCTTTATCTGACATAACTACCAGATTTGGTCATTTAAGAGCCTATAACCCACAATTAAGTGATAAAAGGACAATATCAAAAACCTAATTTAAATTTATCTATGTATGCATTATATTATAAGAAAAAAGTGTGTTTTAGTTACAGAATAAATTCTGTTGCTTCTGGGAAAACTGTCCCAGGTGTGAGTGTGTGTGTGTTTGTGTCTGTGTTTGCCCTGCAGTGGACAGGCATCCCACCCAGAGTGTATCCTGCCTAGTGCCTGTTGCTTGCCAGGATCCTGTACTGGATAAAGAGGTTAGAAAATAGATGGTGTATAATTTCTCCTGGTGATCAACTTGGAAGCCCTCTTCACTGGGAGCTAATATGGCAGACCAAAATGGACTGAGGCAGACTGTCTACAGAGTGCACCAAGCTGTGACTGTGCAGGGAGGAGACTGTCTCACAGGACCCACTCACAGCTGCAGTGCACTAGTCCTTCAAAAGGACCACCATCAGCCAGGTGTCCTTGAGCAGGCCCAGGGAGCTCCATTCAGCGCAGACAATGGACTTTTTAAATGCAATCACTGCACTGCACTCTAGTGTGTCAGATGAAATACAAGTGAATTAGCACTCTGCAATACATTAGTACTGATGATTGCAAGGTTGATACAGTAGTTAAACATCATCTCCCTACTTATTACCTCAGCAAATAACTCATGCTTTCAGAGCAATTAAGAACATTAGCACATGAAACCAAAATATAGGATACAAAGGATAGGATGTTTAATAATGTGGTTCATAAAACACACAATGAAACAATTTACTGTCTCTATATCAGAATGGGCAATGCAGGTGCCATACCACCTAATATTGTTCTCAGAATGTATATATTGGCAAAAAGTATATTTGTAAATGTTTGAGTTAAAAATATATATGTATTTTTAATAAAAAACTGTATTTTTTAACATCCACATGTAAGATATTTGAACAGTTATGGCCTTTACTTTGCTCCTAATTACCTTCATCATATACTGTAGAAGAGCTCAGGTGGTTAATTACCTCTTGGCAAGCTCCAGGTCTCCTTATGAGACCAGGAATCAACATAATGACTTTGATTCCATTCTCTCCTGTAAGCAGACTGATCATATTCTGCACCTAAAGGATGTCAACTACATGACAGTAAACCAGCGAGAAGCCTGCATTTGTGGTGTTAATAAATACTGTAAATGCACTAAAAGTCTGAATTGTGAATGACATTTCTGCAGCTAGCACTGTACTCGCTCATAATACTTGGGAATAAGTATCCTGAAAGGCTGGGAATATAAACTCAGCAGAAGAAAAGGTCATTTCCTTCATTCACTGTATGACTTTTGATCAAGGTGCTTCAGCTGTCTAATAGATCCAGACCTAAATGCATAAGGATCTACTATCAACTAGACACAGAATCCTTCCCCATGTGTTATATATGTAGTAAACAATGCATGGACTAATTCTCCCAGCTAAGCTAATGGAAAGGGGGTGTTTCTTCAGCTAAACAGAGAGTGTTTAGGCCTCAAGGTCATCTGTTACCAAAACTGGTTATCCAATAAATGAAACTGTTTTTACTATGACTGATGAGACTGTACTGTTTCTGAGAATGATACCACACAAAAGGCTCAACAACAAGGTTAATTTGGGCTTAAGCAGGTGTACCATCAATGCAATAATACGCCTTTTCACTGGACACAGGCTCCTGAGATTACTCTGTCATCCTTTCATTTTTACATTTTATGTTATCTATCGTACCTGATGACTTGAACCATGATGGCCTCGTTACAACAGACAAAAGCCCATTGTTAATACTACATATTTTTACTTTTGATAATCAAGTAGTATTTTCATAGGTACATAACGCTATTTGCCTTTAATACACTGGCAAATAACAATACACCCTAATGCATGGATACTGGAGACGTACAGATTGCGGCCTCTACTAATTGAGTATTACCAAAGTAATATATAAAAAGGGCAGACTTGAAAATAAATACTTCGTTGGTGTTATACGTCATTGTTGAAATACAGGACGGATATAGGAAGACGGTGTGTACATAACCTGATGCTGCAAACCGAAAAAAAAGTCAAATATTATTTTCAAACTAATACAAACAAGATAATAACACACGGACACTTAAATGACACAGAATTGATGTGTTCTACGTAAAGAAACCGTCAGGAGACGTGTTTTTGAGCTGCCGGCGGAATGAATAAGTTTGTGTCAAAATACATTTGCATTTGTAGTCCGCCTCCCAGTCGGCTTTTTCAAAGCACAACAGCAGAGATCTGTCCTGCTTCCTTGAATCAACAGGCTACCAGCCACCGGTCTGCGCTTAGCAACGGCAAAGCAAGTTGCCAGTCAAGCCAATCAACACGGCACTGAAGCACAACAATTATGAAAAATGCAAAAACATATATTTATTCTTAATGTTATGATTAAGAAGTGGCTTTATTGCTGTATAAACAATATTGATTATGAGGAGAAAACGGACTTTGGTATATGAAAACATTTTGTACAATTCATGATTTCTGCGTAATTCATACTGGAATCTAGATTAGGCACCAACAAAAGTGAAAGTTGATGTAAATCATTCCCTTATTTATATTTAAATCTTTAAGTGGCCCAAACAGGTAAATTCCTTAACCCTTGGAAAACCATGGTATTTTCCACGTTGCACTTTTCTGCAGCCACTAGCTGCCCGTAGTAGGATATTTGCATTTGTAAAGCGTCCTTTCCACAAAGGAATTAGCAGGCAGAACGAATCGGATTAGAATAATGTCAATCGCCAGTGGTCAACGAACACAAGGACCGGGGCTAGGATGCAGACGGCTTCGTAGACAAAGTTTACAAAATAACAGGGATGAAATACTAAACAACTGGAGAATAAGTTTTTACCGTAGAGCACGTAGTATTAGGTTTTCGTAGAATTCGTGTTGTGGCTCTTATGTATTTGATCTGGAGCAACAATATCTGAGTGCCTTTCCGTTTTCAAAAATCTCAGTAGTCCGTGTGAATGTTAGAAAAAATAAACACCGAATAACATGTTACCTTTTGTGGTAACGATATTAATAGCAACGGCAATAATCAATAATGCCATGGATATTCATACAATGGCATCACAATGTTTCTCATTCGCATTCCATATTTTTGCAAATCTCTGAGATCTGACTTTTCCCTAAATAAAGCAACATTTTCAACAACAAAAAAAAACATTATCTATGCAGGGCTTCATTTCGATCGAAGGATGTAGAGCAAGAGCACACAATTAAGTTAAAAAAAATCAAAAAGGATTGGGTCAGCAACTTACCCACAACGCTCCCAACTTTAAAGATGCGCCCTTCCTCTTACCACTGGCAGGATACCAAGTCAATGATACTGCACCGATTTGACGAAAACAAAAAAAAAAAGAGGACGCTTTTCTTTCCTTCTCCGGGAATATTTGGTAAAAAAATATTTTGAGGGCTAACCGGCTCTACTCAGGACCCCGGCGATCCGTTCTTGAGCTTCTGGTCGGGTGATACTGCAGACGAGCCGCTGTCGCGATCTGCTCTGCTCGGCTTCATGGTACAGTGTCAGATTTTGAAAAGCTTCTCTGGAAGGAGGGGGGCGTCTGACGCCTTCAGACGTAACAGCCCTTCTCCATTTGAATGAGGCAGGGTAGTCGCACAGCTATGACTGCTTGCGAGGAAAAACTGTGGGGCACTTTCACCCACTGAGAAAGAAGTATATCCCTGTGTAAAACGTGCAGCGTAATATGTAAAGGCCTGTCTGTTTCGTTTGTTAGATTGTTGTATTGTGCATTTAGATGGTCTTGTCTTCTCAACAGAGAAGGAAAGGAAAACTGTAGCACTGAACCCAGATCGTTTTTAGGCTTAGTAAATGTTTCCGTTGCTTTCAGAATGCCTTATAACGGTAGACTCTCTTGAACAAAGAAAAGCTGTTTTAATGCATGTCCCTACCCATCTTTAAGACGGCAGTTGCCTGAATTCTATATATAAAACATTAATAAGGTACATGAACGAAAACACAAATATTCGGAAATTGAACACACTAAACGCAAGAACCGAATGTGCATGTTCAACAGTCATCGTTGACACTTTTTCTGCAGCTAAAATCTGTTTCTTGCATATCTTGGTACCACGAAACAGATGGGATTATTCCCCCCAGTATACATATGGCTATGTTTCTAGCATGGTGAGATTTTCTTTCTCGAATAAAAAAAATGATATTAGCTCTAAAACTAATCAATTTGTTTATTAAATAGTAAGTATGATATAATAAAGAGTTTATGAAGCACTAAATATAACCGGATGAAAAAGTGTCGGATAAATTGCTTCCAGGTCGTGTAGCTGTTGGATGGAGAATGTACTACTTATTGTCAAAAACATGAACGAAATATGTTATAAAGTTCGGCAAATCGTCATACCGAAATGTACTGTTAAATTTTATTACATCAGTTTGAGATAACGTTTTATTTAAATTTAAATAACTCAACTACGAAGAAATCCTTGTGGAGAGCCAGTAGAAGGTACTGTAAAGAATATGTAAGGTAGTTAAACAATACTGCCCCCTGGTGTAATATTGGTTACTTTCCTGCTCTGTGTGTTTTAATTTAGACTATTTTCTCATTCTAATTCGTATTACAAAACAGTGCACTGTATTACATGCACTCACGGTGTCTGTTATCAAAGAATGTCTATGTAACAGTATTTTGTTCTCAGTTTTGTGGGGCTTTAGATCACAACAGTTGTAACCTTTAAATTTAACATTGTAACCTTTCACCACAATTCCAATGTGACGTGTGCATAGGCTTTCTTTTCCTGTAAGAATCGCATGTGTAACCAGGAATCAGAAGCTTCCTGCAAAACTCTGAGGATGAGGAAAAGAAAGAGACACGGATTTGAGTCCAAACCATTCGCTAGGAAAACAGAGAAGGGTACCGAAACTGAACAATTGATGTAAGTTGTGGTTCGCTTGTCGTGCGCAACAACACGCTGTACATAGATCTACAGACCTATTTTCAGATACAATTAAATACGGCGTGATCGTACAATAAGGTTTGCTTTTGATAATGATGATAAAAATCGGAATAACCTTTCCATTTATATTAACTGCCTTAAAATGTCTCGAGTCATTTTGAGGTGTTAACGTGAATTTCGGGTTGAGTGTAGATATGCATTGTTTCCAACGGAATGCCCGCCAATTATTCTGACATAGGGTTCGAGAAGGAACCCAAAAAATAACAGGGAAAACAAAATGTTGCATTTTCATTACTAAGAAGCATAGGTAGAATTAAACGCGAAGGTGATGGAGAGGGAAAGGACCAATACATATTCAGTAAAAGTCTTTTGCCACAACAATTTTAAGGGGGATTTTGAGCAATGTAGTCTGTCCCATCACCCCCCTTGACTGGCTTAATAGAAGGGGTATCCAGGCTAAGGTTCATCTGCGTTACAGTGTACTGTGTTGAGATTTTCATAGCTCCTCCCTATTAACACTTTACAGTAAACACCAAAAGTAACAAGTAATTTATAACCGCAACGAATCAATGAAATTACCCAGAAAACGGCAAAACCTTTTTTTACAGCAGAGGAACTGATATTTTATTGAACAGACGTAGCACAGGTGAATTCATCATACTCATTAATATGTCATCAAGGGGTGTCTACTGAGCAGATCACAAGTTACTAGTATGTGAGTCTTTATCTTAATTTGATTTCTAGAAAATATATTTTTGTCTGGCCAGGTCTGGGGGCAGCTGGTCGGTGAGGGTTAAGACACTGTTCATCGCTTTGCTTGTCGTCTACATTTCTGTACCAGTCACACTCCGCCTGTTCCCGGGACTTCTGGCACAGATAGTCTTCTTTCATTTCTGTAAGTTGTGTCTCAGGCCTGAAATAACTTATTTTTTATCTCCCTGGGTGCTCACCCTTTTAATCTCGTAAAGTGTCTTTACCAGTGACAGACTTTGACCTCCTGCACCAGTAAAGTGTCTTTTCTCTGAAATGTAAGTTCTGATCTAGTTAGGAGCAATCAAGCTAATTGATAGTGGCAGTGAGCAGATAAAACAGAATGAAAACTCACACTTAAGCCGGCGTCATACCACCTGACTTTTCCTAGGATTTTCAGTCGTAGCCTTCATTTACATAATCGTATGTAGAGCTGCTTATTCCTGTTCTTCTGAAGCAGAGGTGTGAAACTCAGTTCCAACCTGAGCAGCCATTTAATTAATTATTCAAGTGTGTTTCAGTAATTCTGCAGTTACCTATAAGATGCCCCCAAGACTGGTCAGAAGTATTGACAATTACACTGTTAATTGAAGAATTAGCTAATTACTCATTTAGCTAATAAATTGGATAACACAAGTAACGTTTAACTGTGTGGAACACACAGAAGACCTCCAGGAATAGTTTGTTACCCCTGATCTAGATTGTAAAACTTATAAATGTCCATAGAAGATGCATTTTGACCATCATTAATAGAATGATTTTGCTTCATCACATGCAGTTGTCAAACTGAATCAGAATGAAAATCTGGAGAAATCAGGTTATATGTTATACAATGTTTGAATGCACTAGGGAAGGTGAAAATATAGAGAGGAAGGGATAATGGAATCAGCTGGATTCCCTGAAAGACAGATATATTGTAGCAGCTCTGATCTGGTACTTGTTTGATGTGTTCATTTCTTTCCCTGCCTGCAGTCAAAGTTCCATTCTTTGTGGATCTCGAGTGTCCTGCTGACCTCTCTTTGAATCACACTGTTAACTTCTACCTCACACCTGAAGATGGAGTCACAGTGGGGGTCTGGTAAGCTTTGTCTTGTTAAAGGGATATAGACTTGAGAAGCAGACTTTAGTAACACCCTGCTTCACTGCTGGCTGTGAACACACTGATCTGTGCAAGGTCTGCTTGATTGCTGGATTAAGGAAACCCACTGATTTGGGAATCAGTATCAGTGTATTTTTTAAGTTGCCAGATCTATGTTCCAAATAAATAGGAACCAAAATAAAAAGACACCAAATAAATGGGAACAAATACTAGTTTTGTTTTAATTTATTTATGCAATGAATACTGAATGTGCAGTTACATTGTTTTTTTTTCCAGCAACCAATTTTCACTTACTTTGTTTCAAGATTATTAAGATATTTGGAGCCCACTGTGTCCATTATAAAAACCGATTTATATATCACATGCATAAGGATGCATAATTGATCACACTTTGTTGCTGGAACCTTGTGTTGCTGGTTTACTGAGATTGTCTCTAGAACTCCTCAGTCTGGAGTTTTCCTGCTCACCTGTGTGTTTATCTAATCTCTTGCTAGGCACACAGTGCCCGACAGCCAATGGGAACAAGCCCAGGGGAAGGGCCTGCCGTGGTACGAGGCTTCACTAGGAGACGATGCCCCTGTTATCATCTATCTCCATGGCAATGGGGGCACCAGGTGGTAAATCACTTAACAGACAGTTGCTGTGAATAAATGATTAGGCAGACAGGAAGCTTGTTTTCTACTTTAGAGCCTCTGACTTAGTCTTGAATGCATTGTGTCCACTTGCGTTTAATTTCCAGTTTAAGTAATGCTGAAAATAGTAGCAGTAAGTAAACAGGATAAGATGCTATAGTGTTCCAGTATGCAGGAGGCTGTAGTTGTTTAGTTGTGTTTTGTGTCTCTGCATCAGGAGGCATTTGAATGACAGATGTTCTGAACATACATGCCATACATCCATTCCATAACCGACTCAAGAATTTCTGCTGATAAATACAGACATAGGAGTTGGTGACTCTCATTCTCTGATTTTAATATGTATGACTGTTAATTCATTCCCATAGGGCTGTATCTCACCGGGTTGGGCTCATAAAAGTAGGTTCTTAAATTTTGAATTCCTTAAATAATCACATCCACTTAATGTGCTGTGTTCACCCTGTGCCTCACGGTGTCCCTTGTGTTTTTATAGATGCTTAGTGCAGCTGGATTTCACGTTCTAGTTCTGGAATACAGAGGTACACCTTCGTTATACACCCACCTCATCTGTGTCTGGTATTGCCCTTTCTTTAGCACGGAGGTGTCAGACTGAATTCCTGGAGGGCCACGGGTCATCTGGGTTTTGTTCCACCCACTTTCCCAGTTACATAATTAATCGAATTATTTAATTCAACTAATTCTGCTTAGTTGTAATATTGTAACTTGGCTCTGAGGTGATTTATAGCTACAGTATTGCTACCTTTTATAATGTGAATGTCTGGTGTGACAACTGTAAAAGACCAACGAAATATCCTATAATTATAAATAAATAAATTTACTACTCAATTTGGAACAAAAAACAGAAGACACTAGTCTCTCTGGGAACTTAGCTGAGACCCCTGCTTTAAATGCAAAAGAGAGATCTAAGGGACTATTGAAATACAGAGTGGCACATACACAAGTCAGTGCAGTATCCTCTTTAAAAACAGTCTGCTCTGCTCCCTGAGGAATCCTTCGTGTCTGCTCACAGGGTTTGGCGACTCTACAGGGCAGCCCAGTGAGGATGGCTTAACCACAGATGCCCTTCAGCTGTACCACTGGGTAAAGGCACACAGTAGGGGCAGCCCTGTCTGTCTGTGGGGGCATTCCCTTGGCACAGGGTGAGTTATGCAGGTATTTTTTTGGCTCAAAGTAAATGTTGTGAAAATCACTTTCAAGCGGTGATGTGATACTTGGATTACATACATATGTGTGCACCCCTGGTCAAATTGCTGTTTTGTTTTTTCAATCTGCTAAAATCAGCAAGTAAATAGTAACTGTGCATTAAAATGCATAGAAATATGTCATGTTTAAGTTTGCACCCTACAGAGGTTGTGTTAACTTATTTTCACTTAGAGATTCAGTGAAATATGCAACTTTACCAGGGGTGGCCAAACTTTTGCATACAACTGTATGCATACATATACAGTACATTACACAGAGCACTGGAACTGATGAGTTTGTAAATTATTTTCTCCAAAGTCTTGTTCATTTTATAATTTTATACCACAAGTAACTTGTAATTGTAAAGGATTAGTTTTAAAAGTACTTTCCTTAAGACTGCACACACACAAGGTTTTGCAGTCTATGATTTGTTTAATTAAAACAATCCAAATTATCTGCTAGTGACTTATAGTGCAACTCTAGCACTAATCTTAATTCCAGCATCTTGCAATTCTATTTTTGTAGAATTGAGTGATGCACACGTTGCATTTATAGTAACAAAAGAGATCTACAAAGTTATGCAGAATTCTAATGTTTCCTTACAGAGTGGCTACCAATGTTGCACGAAAATTACAAGAGCAAGGTAAGTTCTTTTACTGGAGACAGAACAAGTGCACGTATCTTGTTATATAGTCAAAATGAGTTTTTAAATAATATCTAAAATTATCATGGTCAAAGTTAAAGGTTGTATATTATCAGCAAAACTTTAAGCACAGTGGCTTGTATAAGTCTTTGGCTCCCTCTTTTGTTCACAGGCTTAACATTGCCTTGTAGGGGTGAAAGAAAACTAATTGCTTTCATTTGTACAATACTTTTCATCTTAAAGGATCCCAGCGTGCCTCACATATAGCATGGCAGTTATTATGCGCCAGCAGCACATTAGGTGGAGAAGTGAGAGAGAGAGTCTTTTTAATCCCCAAGGGGCAATTTGTTGTACAGCAGCAGAAATAAAGAAAACAAACCCACAAACAATACACGTTTATACACAAAAGAATTATTGTTAAGTAAGGTTAAAGCCACCATGTATAACTAGGTATAAATGAGAACTTCAACCTGTTTGTTTTTAAATTAGGATTGTATCTTTTCTCAGGGGAGTAAGCAGAAATCATTTAAAAAGGGTGTGAAGGGTCGTCTAGATTGGAATTTGCTTTACATAAAACTCATAGCTGACAGACGTGAGAAAGGGCCTAAAGATACAGTAAGCATCAGTGACTACTGCATCTGACTTTCCCAATCCAGGTGACCAGGCCCAGCCTAAACTCCTGAGATCTACGATCAGAAAGCTACTTATCCTGGTGGGGGTGAGGCCAGTTCAGGCCTGTGCCAGAAGCATGGGGTACAAGGTGGAAAGAGAAATACCTGTTTAAGTTAATTATTCCTGGTATATAAAAACATAAATGAGTGCAGAGCATTTGCAGTGCTCTTAGAAGACAATATTGTTCTTCATGACGCTGACTCTGAGATTTCTGTCTCAGGAAATCCGGCTGATGGCGTGATTCTTGAAGCTCCGTATACAAACATACGAGAAGAGGTAGCCTACCATCCCTTGGGCCTGGTGAGAATCCCATACTTATTCAACTCCATCCACAGGTTTCAGAACTGCTCCTGAATTGCGATCAGCTGTGTTTTATATCCAGAAACACATATGTTTCTTCATTTCCCCCAGCTGCATGGCCAGCTCTGCAGCAGACCTGCTAAATGGAAAAATAGCAGGAAACAATTTTACATAAATAAACAAAACCATTATTGCTATACCTGTGGGCTGTTCTGTTGAATAGCTGGCTTTTCATTCTAATGAAAAAGTTTGTGTTTCTTTTATCTGCAGGGATTTTGCTGAGGTTGGTTTCTTACTGTATGTGAATGTTGCAACATTTTGGAAAGGCCACAAGCGTCGACCGATTTTTTCATTATTGGCAGCCATGGGTAATAATGTCAGATTCTGCCAGTGGACATTGGACACGCTCGTGCATTTTAGAATACATAACTATGTAATCATTATTTTCAGACATCATTGGCATAGATTATTTAGTTACAGATAATTTAGGAGTAATTAGACAGTAGCGAGTGATTGGAATACAAGTACAGCCAATCCACTCCAGCTCCAAACCAAAAGTCATTACCACAAACCGACACTTCAAATGTGGAAATTACACCTTTTTTTGTTAGTAATGAGAACTAAAGTGCAGGGCATTATTTCTGAACTGATCTGCATACAATATAAAAATGTCTAGATTGCCCTGTATTGGTTTAATGAAGTTCACAATCCTTAATATGTTTTCCTGTGATCTTCTGTGTCTTTTAGATTTATTGGCTGTTTCCAGGTTTTGAGTACTTTTTCCTGGACACCATTGCACTGAACAACTTAGTCTTCCCAAATGATGAAAAGTAAGTTAGCTAAACATTTATAAGTTTATATTATTGGAATGAGTATTAATTTGTTTGAAGCCTAAAGAGACATCCAATTCTACTGTTGTGACTATTAAGTTAAAGGCAGCAGCCAAAGACAGCTGCTTTACCTTTATTAGGGCTCATCAATGTGACATTTTGACAGTGAACAAGACATATACTGTATATGTATATTTCATGGAACAGCTTTCTGGTTTATGGTTTATTAAGAGCTACTAGTCTCTGTGAATTATGAACAACTCTTGCTGTTCTACAGTGCTGAAAAGGAAGGAACTGTCTTAAGAAACTTCTGATTCTGCTTTCGTGATATATTGTGTTATACATATTCATGGGTGTTTATGGCTCTTTTTCCCTTTGCAGAGGTTATTGAATGTACAAGTTGGTAAAATGCTTACCAGTTGGTAAAATAAGCATACAATACAATACCATGTCCATCTGCCAAGTTAATATTGTGGAGATTATGGTCTTTACATGGAAGGAAGCAGAAAACTGGAGATGGATTTCAGACAGACATGCACTAGGCAGCTGCTGTGAGACACAGGAAGGAAGCAGAACTGTACAAAGTTATTGTATTTCCTGTGGTTTACAGTTGGAATTTTTGCAGTATTGGCTAGTAACAACTGAGAAAGCACATCACACTGTTTTGCCTTTGGTAATGTAACAAATCCAAGTCTTTATTTCCTGGAGCAAATGAAAAGGAAACAAAGCATCATGCAATTGTGGCACGAATAATAATCTTAGTCATGTTCGTTCAAAGTGGTACTGTCCTGTCTAGATCGCATGACTATTAAGAATATTTGAAAGAAAACAGAACTATTGTAGTACTTTTCAATGAGAATAAAACAGACTGTATCTTAAATGCTTGACATTGTTTTGAGAGATATAGCCCAAACCTGACCAGTAAAGTCAACTCTTTAGAATAGGGATTTCTAACACTTTCCCTCCAAAGCCCCAGTCCAGTTAGTCTTATGGATTTCACATTTGTAAAATTGGTAGTACCTGTGTGTAATTGATGAAGTTAGTAATTTTAACCTGTTCAATTTGCAGAATGTATTGCAGGTTGAGTGGTAAGCAGAGATTGGTACAGTACCTAATGAGCTTTAAATGACTTAATTTAACCAATCACCTGCTTAATCGGGCAAATGAAAGTGTTGCAAGCTGTTAAAATGGATTTATTGGTGACTTATAAGACTGGGACTGTTTGGAGACCTCTGGCTTAGACTGTAGGGATCAAGGTACACTCACCGAACACCTGTATTTGGGTGACCAACTTGGGAACTCCCCTTTTGAAGGCTTTCTACATCAAATACACCCCCCAAAAATATGTGCAGTCTCCAATGACAGTATTTCAATGGGAAATTGTACCGATACTCCTGCTGAAGAATGACAGCGATCCTGTGCTTCTCTGTTTAGCCTGAAAACCATCAGCAGTCCGCTTATGATCCTGCATGCTGAAGATGACCAGGTCGTTCCTTTTCACATGAGCCAGGAGGTATGAGCCCACACCATTCAGTAAGGCTGTGCTCCACCTCGTCCCCTATCCTGCCATTTCTACTTCACTACATACTCTGTACCTTCTAAAGCACAAAAACTTACAAAGTTTTGTTAAGGGGTTCCTATCAATATACTGTAGAGTAATCAAACAGATTTAATAGTCAGTGTGCTCACTGCACAATCTCATTGAGGTATATTTCCACAACATTAAATTCCAGTATGAATATTGAATCTCATTACACCACATGTAGGACCTGTAAGTGTTATTGAGGGCATTGCTTACTTTCTGGGGAGGGGTACTCTTTTTCCTGTTATACTTAAAAGTCTTTTGCACATCTAAAAAGAACAATTCATGAATATGTAATCCTTACATTCTTCACAGAGAAATCAATTTAACTACTGTCTCAGATGCACTTTCTTACTGTATGTTTGTTTTCCCAAAGCTGCACAAGATAGTATTGCAGTCCCGCAGCTCCAAGGACGAAGTCAGGATGTGTTCCTTCAGTGGGTCCTTGGGATACGGGCACAATAAAATCTTCAAAGATCCCGACCTGCCAAGTGTACTGTGGTGAGCTGTTACTCTGAAATTAACATTGATGAAAACACCATTGCCAGTCACTGATCCGAGTGCGTGTCCTTTAAACAGTGGTTAGGACTTGACTCCCGACCTGAAGGTAATGCATTTAAACTCCACAAGGGGACACTGCTGCTGCAAAATGCAACAGCAAACCCAGTGGTGCAAACTGGAACCTTTGCAAGTTGCTTTATAAAAGAGGTAGCCAAACAAATGAATACTCCGAAGGTTGTCATTTAAATACTGCAGAACATTGCACACTTTACATGACTAAGCTGTCTGTATGCACAGCCTTTGCAACTTGCAAAGGTGGACTTCCAGTAAATATTTCAGCAATCACAGTTTCAGTTAAAGTTATGCAAAAAAGGTCATTTCTAGCTCACAATCCAGGGAGTTTCTCATGCTGGGATTTCTTTGCATTTCAGGGAGTTTCTACAACCTTTGGCACAGAGACCAGCATAATCAAGAGGAGGCAAACTCCATTACTACAAGGGGCAAATGCGTTCCATGTTCTACACAAGCAGGGATTTAACAGTTTCTAAGGAACTTGTATGACCATAACAGTACTGATGTTTCCCCCCCCCAAGGTAATGTTTTTTGCACCAGTTGCACTCCATCTTTCTTTGGGAGGTGGATTCTCATGTAAATTAAATAAATTAAGTATATATGAATAGATATTAAAAATTGAAAGTCCTAAAACTAGGCCATTTTTGACAAGCATGAATGTTAATTGATTACACCCTGAAACTGTAAACTGTGAAGTATAAAGCACCAGTCGAAAAGAGAGGTTGCAGACAAACATTTATTGAAGTAACAGTACAGAATGTCAAGGAGAGAGAAGACAATGCTCTCAAACTATCCCCTTTAATACATCACTGGTATCATCGTGAAAATAAGCCATGTTTGAACGTGATTCATACTTAAAAAACATGATCAGATTATCAGGCAAATCTGTTTAGGTTTATTAGATTACAGCCCCAAGACAAAAGGTAAAGATTAAAGCAACAAATTAATCTGAATAACTTCGGACAGTCCAGGTATCTAAACATTGGAGTTTGCGTTACTAAGTGCTAAGATGATGCATTTAGACAAGGCAACACTGACAAAGGGAAGATTGTATAACAAGGCTTTCAGGATCAAGACCCAATTGCCAACTTCCTTGTATAGATTGCACAATTAACAGCTCTAGAAATGGCCCTCATGCCAAAACCTTAACTGAAAAGCCTGGCCAAAAGCTTACATAAGAATGGCACTACTGATTAAGTTTTGCGAGCACATCCTTGCCTGCTTTAGCTCTGCCCAAGAGACATTACACCTTTTTTGGCTTTACCGCCTTGGCTGTCTCCTCGATAGCCTCTCGTGGCTCGTTTGGTGGTGGGATCTTCAAGTCTGTGGGCGCCACTCCCCAGATCTCCTGGGCATACTCCTTGATTGTCCTGTCGCTGGAGAACTTCCCAGAGGCAGCAATGTTTTTGATCACCATCTTAGTCCACTCCTTTGGGTTCTAGAAGGTGGCAGCATCAATAGAAAATCAGTGTATAAAATGTTGGGAGTAATTCAGCATTAGTTTGATCACTTTAACCATCAAACAAGAGGTTTTCAATTGAAAATCCATAAGAATTAGGTTTACTTACTTTGTACAGCTTGCTGACCCTCTCTTGGCATTTTACATAAGCTTCATAGTCTGCAAAGACCTTAAACCTGTAGGGGATTGATTGTACAAGGATTCAACAGTTAAAGAACTGGCAGCTTGGTCAACCTCCATGGTCAAGACAACTACCCTTGTAGACTGCTCACCTGTCATGGTTGAAAAGCATGTTGATGACATCATTGAAGAGGTCTGGCTGCTTGGGGGAGAAGAATCCACTCTTGATCTGGTCTATAACGTGCTTCAGTTCAGGCAACTCATTATAGTATTCTCTGGCATCATAGCTGAGGGAGAAGAAATAAATAGTTACTCCACCATAAGTGTAGCCACGCAAAAGGCTCCTGTCACACTCATTAGATACGAGGGAAAAGTAGGCCTCTCCCGGCTAAACCATTTCTGCGAGAGCTCATACCCCTTCTTATCAAGCTCGGCGACATCCTCCACCCGCATCCCGAAAATGAAAAGGTTCTCCTCGCCAGCTTCCTCTGCCATTTCCACATTGGCTCCGTCCATGGTCCCGATGGTCAAAGCCCCATTCAGCATGAACTTCATGTTTCCTGTGCCGGAAGCCTCGGTGCCTGCGGTGGAGATCTGCTCAGACAGATCTGTAGCAGGGATCACTGCAAAAAGAACAGACTGCACTATGCAGAATCGTTCGCTTGGCAAGCCTCACAGAGCTTGTAAGTGTTCGTGAGGAAGGAAGCTGTCCCCATAAGGTGGGCGTTTACCTTTTTCGGCAAGAGAAACTCTGTAGTTCTCCAGAAAGATGACTTTCAGCTTGTTTCCAACCGCTGGGTCACTGTTCACAACCTCTCCTACAGAAGTGATGAGTTTGATAATCGTTTTCGCCATGTGATATCCTGGAGCTGCCTGTTTGAGAGGTGAATGGGAAGGTCAAAGACCGCCAACTGGATAGCATTTCCTTACTTTTGTAAAAAAAAGTAACTTACTTTACCACCAATAATCACTGTTCGTGGTACAAATGGAGCGGTTGGGTCCTTCTTTATTCCTATAGGGTAGGAAAAATGCATGAAACCTCTTGCATCCAACTGCTGTGAAAGGAGATGTTATATTAGCCAGCACTAGGAGCTGGATAGTTTAGTGTTGGTTTATGTAAATTTAAATTACATGGGAAATATACATTTTAACCTCCAAGAATCATTAATATAATGTGTGCTGCACCCTACATTAATGACTAGAATGCATAAGAATTCCATTGCACAATCTGAAAGTTTCCTGGCTATTGTAAACTTACGGTTGTACATGGTGATAATGTGCAGGCAGTTGAGGAGCTGCCGCTTGTACTCATGGATTCTCTTCACATGGACATCAAACATGGAAGAAGCATTTATCTTCACCTTGTATTCCTTCTCCAGATACTGGGCAAACTTTACCTTGTTGTCCTGGGGAAGCATCAAGACCACACAGAAACAGGGGTCAATGATTATGAAATCAGTGCTTAATGTACTTAAAATGCAGCACTGCTGTATGAGCCACAACCTTGGCTCATTTTGCACAAGTGGAATCTGAACATGGGGAATCATGCTTGTATTGGACATTCTGCAGTGATCCTACCTGCTTGACTTTGGCAACATCTCGAATAAAATTATCATTGTCCACAAAGTTAATGAGCTTCTTTAACTGGCTGAGGTCTTTCACATAATCCTCACCAATAGTCTGCAAAAGAATGAGAAGGTTATCAATTACAGATGTTAACGCAAGACCATTCCTAGTACAGCTGTAATAGTGACAGTTAAGAACTCATTGAAGTTCTAGGCAAATAAACTATACAGATTTTGTACATAGTTTGACTAGATACATTTTCTCCATGCCTTGTAAAGGACACTTGATTAGAGTACCTCGGCAATGAGCTCTGCCAGCCCGGCATTGCAGAGCAGTAGCCAGCGTCTTGGAGTTATTCCATTAGTTTTGTTCTGGAACTTATCAGGCTCCAGCTCGCTGAAGTCACGGAACCTAAATTGAGACAATAAATATGGATGGCTCCTCTTTCAATAGATAGGAAGGCAAAGCATCCTTCTTCATAAGAATGGCCAAAAACCATAATAGTGTTTAACTCTTACACGTCCTTCTTAATTATGTTGGAATGGATTTGGGCAACTCCATTGACTGCATGAGACCCAACAATGCACAAGTGGGCCATGTTGATTTTCTTCCCTCCGTCTTCTTCAATCAGAGACATCCTGCGGATCCGGTCCATGTCACCAGGAAACAGCGCCGCCATTTTCTGTGTGCAAGAACCAAAGAGACAAGTCAGAGTTCCCTATGCACCAATTCATTCAAGTCCCCATTTTCAAAATTAGGATATCAGCTTTGGGAGACCAGTTCAGCAGGGGATCTAAAAATTAAAGACTCCTGCAGAAATGGAGTCGTCTATACTCGTCTTATCACTCTATAAAACTACACTTCAGTCATTTGATAGCTGAAAGCAATGGGTTCTGCAGTTTGACCTTAAAGAGTACCTATAAAAGGGTTTTTCTTTTATTTCCTTTTCGGGTTTTTTAATTCTTTTAGGCCTTTTTCCAAACACTTGCATCCAGCAGGGCAATTTTAAACTATTCAGAAATGAAACATACCATTTCAGAGGTCTAGATTCTTGTAGTGTGGTCCTTTCAGGAAACGCCATGATCATGGCCATGACACTATTGTTGGTTCAGTGGTTGAGCAAACCATGTGAAAGGAAAAACATCTACTACAGTCCATCTAGTTAGATGTACATTTTGGTACTCCATTATCACTACTTTCTATTTTTTTAAAATGAGAAAGTAATTTTTCTTAATATCAATGTATGCACGTTTGCATTTCAAAATAGTTTAAAATTGCATGAGGAATTCACATTTCCAAACTGCATTTTTTTGAGCATCCTAATAAATACAAAAAGGTACTTAATATTCTTTAGTTGGGTGTATATGAATCTCAAATCAGCAGACAGTGTCAAAATCACCATCAGGCTGTGTATACTTGGCTTGTGGACCTACAGACAAACTTGAATCACCTTCCCTGATCAAAACAATCCCTAATTAGTCCTGAACTCGTGGAATGTGCAATTTAATAATGTATGAGATTAAACATCACAACTTCAGATATCATTTTTTCCCATTTATGTATATATTACATTAAGTATCATTAAAATATTTACAGGAGTTACACTCAATTGATAAATAAACTTGTCTAAGGTGCTGCAAAAAACGTTTTCACAAGCACTGCAAATTTCTTTCGATATGCAAACACTTCCAGCTTTCCTGAAAGCTTGACAGCAAGCATTAATGCAGACTATAGCTGCACCATGTGAGCAGCCAATACTCACATCCAGGTGCTTCTGGTTAATTTCATAGATGATCTGCAGGTGCCGAGGGAGTAGGTTCTCCATCAGGTGCACTGGCCAGCGTTCTAGAGCTTCAGGCAGCACTGTGTGGTTGGTGTAGGCAAAGGTCTTCTTGGTGATGTCCCAGGCCTGGAGATGGGCATGCAAGGTTAATCAAAATGTGACTGGATTAGAGAACAATGGACATCTTGAATTAAATGGTCCTCCAACCTTATCCCAAGGCAATTTTTCAATGTCCACCAGGATCCTCATCAGCTCAGGGATAGCCATTGCTGGATGTGTGTCGTTCAGCTGGATTGCCACCTGATGGGAGTAGAATAGTCAGGAGTAGAGCTTTCCATGACCTTTACAGTAAATGCATTCGAATGGGTGGGGGACATACCTTATCGGGAAAGGTGTCAAAGGAGGTGGATGCTCCCGGCGACACCTTCTTACAGGCTTTAAAACGACGAATGATGTCCTGCAGGGTTGCAGCAACCACGAAATACTCCTGCTTCAAACGTAGCTCCTTCCCTTCAAAGAACTAAGACAGAGACAGGTCTCAAGATTGGAGCTTGCCTAGGAATTCCAGCGATAACCCACATTAGGCTCACCTCTTACAACTTGGATTTTGTTGTAAAAAAAAAACTTTCCCGAGAAAGGAAAAGAAAATCAGAGCACCCTTTAATAATCTAAAACCAGGAAAGACTTACATTATCATTAGGATAGAGCACTCTGGTGATGTTTTCAGCCAGATTCCTGTTCAGTACAGCCTGAATGTAGTCTCCAATATTAACTGCACAAAGAAGAGTTATTTATAAATTATAATCTTAAATCCCTCTATCTGGCTCCAAGCATTGCTTATAAATCAAAATGACATTGAAGTAAGAGCAACCCATAGCCCATGAACACAGTAGTGGGCACCGACATATCTCAGACAAGTAGAGGTGCTTATACAGGCTGGCCCTTGTAGTGAAGACAATGCTGGTCAGAGGCTGGGCTAGGTCATGAGTCAGCTGTGTCCAGCATTCCCCATGCAGCAGTGGAACACTGTCAGGGTATCTAACTTGTCACTCAGTTACCCAGGCACTGCAAATTTGGATACAGGCAGTGAGGGACGCATCATTCATCAAACCAAACACATCCTAGCAGCCACCTCTTCTGGGCCCAGAGCTCACAGCATGCCACAGCACACAGGCAGTGGCTGAGGTGGAGGAGTGTATGCACGAGTCCTTATCCCCATCATCAGAAACCGACATTCCAGTGAGCCAAGCTTAATGGAGTTAAGCAACATTCAGGTACCCACAGTACCTGTGTATCATCTCTTCTGCTCCCCAACACAAAACAGTCTCATACCCAGGTCTTCCCTTCACATCTACACTCTTGCAGCAAACTCCCTCATTTAATCCTCATGATAGTATGTGTGTTTTGGGGGGGGGGTTGCCATTCAGCTAGGAGAGTTACACTAAATACTCTACATATTTAATTTCTCGTATTCATTAGGACGTAACTGGACCAGTGAATTAATTGTAGACTATTCCAAATTGAAAGTGTATTATGCAAAATATGGCCAACTTGATATTAACAATGGAAGAGTAATCATGTAGAGCCAAATCTAATCAGGAGAGGCAACTTACAGTCCCGCAGGTTGAAGTCATTGGGTGCACGAGCAGACCACAGCCTCATGGTGTTGACAGTGTTGTTCATGTACCCCGGAATCGGGGTGTCATAAGGCATTGCCAGGACCACCTAGGGGGTTACAGATCAGGTGTAATTACATCAAACATCCCGAAGAGCCTCGTAAAAAGCTCTCGCTACCTACAGTACCTGTGTATCAACCCATTTGGAGCCTTCCCTGGTTTGTTCCACACGGCCATAAAAATGAACAGGCAGCATGTACTCCGGGCGGGCTTTCTCCCAGGGGTTGCCATGTCTCAGCCAGTCGTCGGCCTCCTCCACCTGCAAAAGCATTCAATAAGCAGCCTCAGCTTGACTTGAGGAACACAGGCATGCGAGAAATAAGAGCATAGCCCAAAAGTGTGGGTACTCTAGCCCACCAGTGACTTTCTCTTCTTTATAAAGACTTTATACAGGCAGGGTACAAGAGCTCCACCTGCACAGGACTAAGGACAAACCTTAGATTGGAAGTTTTGGCTGTGAAGTAAATGAGTAATCTGCAGAGCAATTCTGTTCAAAAGTACAAGTTTACATTGCAAACACACAACCGTTTAAGCACATGAAATCAGAGTGCCAGCGCTTATCTGGCAAGAGACCACAGTGTTTGTTTCACTGCTGTTCACGTTCAGGGGAAGCCAGTGGTGCAACCCAGCCTGGCAAATCTCTTTGGCGGACTGTAGGTCTTTCCCATTAATAATTCCCCATACACAGCAGCCCACTGACCCACATTTTGCCCCTTTCTCGATGTAGCCTCGAGTCCTCACTTGTGTGAAAGCACTTCTAAAGCTGCTCTTTGGGGAAATGTCAGGAGGCACAACCGAGAGAACCCACAAGTCAGGAAACATCCCGGCTGTACGTTTACCTGCCAGCCCTCGCGGATTTTCTGATTGAAGATGCCGTACTCGTATCGAATGCCATATCCATATGCGGCAAGGCCAAGGGTAGCCATCGAGTCAAGGAAGCATGCTGGGGGAAAAAAGAAAGACATGGTTTATGACTGCAAGTGAAAGCAAAGTCTCCTGCATGGCACGGATTCACAAGAAGAGTTACACAACCTGAAACCCATATTATAGTAGTGTTCCAGTTCATACATGCAGTGGGGAAACTTAAACCTCTGACATTTTTCCCCTAACAGCAATAATCTACATTCGCTTCACAATACACAGCATTTCCTCTAGCAACCTGGGAGGAGTCAGACAAAAGTGTGTGCTTATGAATTCCTTTCAAAAACACAAACTACTGCAGGTGTCTTCCTTAGTCAACAATTACCTGCAAGTCTGCCCAAACCTCCATTCCCAAGCCCAGCATCTTCTTCCATCTCCTCCAGGTCTTCTATATCCAAACCCAGCTAAGAACCAAGAAAAGGCCAAGAAACACTATTGGCCAGTTGTTTTTTCATACTGGATCAAGTCCATCAACATAACCACTCAGTGAAGAGATTTTTCCAAAACCCTCATGCTACTATTTAAAACACTTGACCTGATTTGAACTTGGATACAGGAGTAGGGTTTTCTGCTCATTTCTGTTATTAGAAATGCAAGACTAATTGTTCCCCAGTAAAAGGAGTAACCACTCCAGAAAGTTGATTTTAGGTTTCAAAAGTTAACTGTAAACCCGCCAGTGTTTGTTTTGCTTGCATGTGAGTTAAACAGACCTTGTACGAGAAGAAAGGCTTTTGAACCCAGGCAACAGATTAAAGTTGGGTTTATATAGGGGAGTGTCTATAATGGAATGGTGACGTGGAAATAAAAAAAAAAGTTATTTACATGGACTGAAGTGTAACACACAGGACTTGACAAAGCAACATCAAACAAGGGACAACCACAGTGTAGAACTGTTGTAGCCAGAAACTACCTCACCTGGTAGATGGCCTCATCGCAGGCATTCTGCAGCCCCAGGTTGATCATGGTGTTCTCCAGGGTTCGACCCATATAGAACTCCAGGGAGAGATAGTACACCCTCTGGCAGAAGAGATGCAGTAAATTCCCCAGTTAGAAATGACAACCTTCCGCAGTAAAAAGATACCAGATGAATAGTCCTGTTGCAGAGCACTTACTAGTGGAGGTTGAGGAACAGAATTTACAATTTAAATTTGAGAAAAAGGACAGAACGTAAGTAGACAACTTTGTATGTTTCCATTTCATTGAGCAACTGTTGCCCAGCACGTCAGAATGCGGCTGTTTAAACCAGGCTGTTGACACATGTTCTGAACATACAGGAAGAAAATATTTTACATGTACATCACATCCAAGACGGAAAGCGGAAACTTTAAACAATAATTAGGGTTATAACCAAAAATGCAAGAACAGCTTTATTGTGGCTCCACAGCTCACAGGTGACCAATAAGAGAGTAGTATTATAATGCAAGTTTGTTCCCACAAATGAAGCTAGCTAGGAGTTCACAAGTTCACAGCGCTGGAGAAGAAAGCTTGATACAAAACCTACATTTCATTTCTTGAGTTACCGAACCAGGAAACAACTACAGAGTATTCTGCCCAAGACCAGGCCTTTAAACACCCTCAGTCAGCATAATATATGGAGGCCGTATGCGTTACAATATATTTATATTTCTTATGAACGTTTAAAAAGGCGGAACTCCATGAAAAGGAAGTGAACAGTGAGAAAGCACGAAGGACTGACGGACACAAACGATTTCACGCAACCGTCAAATGCTCGCCTCTACAACACTCCCACTCCTCAATTGCAGCAGTGTTGCACTCACATTCTCAGCTTTCAGATGAAAGTGAATCTGCTTAACCTCGGTGCAAGCCGACACAATCAAACAGATAAAGCGTGTGCCAGTTCGGCTGAACGGCTTCACCGAGTCAAAGTTAGCGGGACAATCGCTTTCGTGACGAGTCCTGATCGCAGCAAATCGTTTACATGAATACTGCAAGAAAGTTTTAATGTCTATGTAGTCTTAGTACTTACTAGTTTTATACTATAACTCAAATACTACTTTAGGAGTTCCCATTATTTTCCTCTATGAAGGATTTTAAGAGTTGACAACCATTTATGCAGGACTGCAAATGCACAGACCGCAATCTGAAGATGCATTAACTTTCTGGCAACGTTTTGCGATACCGTACAATTGTACGGTATCGATACAGTTTTTGTATCTCCAGTCCTGCAAACTTTCGCAGAGTCTACGTGTCGAGTAACCTCCTACAGAATGGTGTTGAGGAGGAGGAAAATGGAAAGTTAATAGGCGTGCCCAGCGGTATAAACCCATCTGCATGAACATATTTCCACGCACTTATTTTTAGGGTGTGCAACACTGTAAACAAACATGATTAGCGGAAAGCGGAGTAGCCCCGCAACATTCACCTTTGGGTCGGCTTCATAGTAGAACTGCTGTGTACGGATCCATCTCCCAACCAGATGATCTCGCACCGTGTGTGCAAGAGCAAAAAAGTAATCACGCTGCGTCGCCACATTCCTGTCTTTCACTAGGGTGAAGTGCAGGTGACGGTTAAAGCCTTTTTTCACCTCCGAAACATTTTCTACGCCAACTATCCCCCTAATACTGATCTGCTTTCTCTTCTCTTGGTCTGTCAACGGGGTCGCCATTCTAACCGTCTAACGCACTTCCCTGCTTGCCTGCTAAACAAACTAAACAACAAATGAACTTTATATAGATGTACTTAGACGCCCAACAAGTCTCCTCCTCTTCCCTCCATTGGCGACTGAAGATACTGTAGGTGGAGCAGCTCCGGTCCGCAAGAGGGAGTGTTCAACAGTCGCAACTGACACAGCGGGCTGTTCATTTAAAGGGAAGAAGACCTGGTCAGTTATTCATCACGAGTAAGCTTCTCCCTCCATTAGCAAAGGTTCCGACAACATAGATTAGACAATAGGTATTTATATTAGTGTAACAAAAATTGAGATTCCTTAGATTTCGTACCGTTTAAAACTTATTCTGCTAAAGCAGATAATGATCATTTGAACACATACTAGAGTGATTTCAGCTCTCAAAAATATCACGTCAATGATCATCATCAGGCAAATCTGCGTCAGACAGGTTTCACAACTCCCTACATATACATTGTACCATATATAGAGAGATTCTTAAGCAAATTCGTGAGATGTGGATAGACTACAGTGAATCCAATCACTTGGATTCTACCTAAATCACTTACACTGTAGCTACAATAAGAGGTGCAGACTCAAGGAAGAATCATATTTGCCGACAGCTCTGCCACAACAATCTTTGTGAGACAGATGTACAGTAACTTGAAAGCACCTGCCCAATGGGGAGGGGCTGTTTGTACAGGTGGCCCATTGTTAAGTGTTCAGAGGTTGATACCCATTTCAACAGAACCCGATTCACGTGTCTCCTGGATGGCGCAAACCATCGGGGTGGACATTCAGTGTGGCAAAGAGAAATCTGCCTGCAGATGTGGGCGAACACCGTCAAGTGTTCAGACGAACCATCGGCCCCTGTCTCTATAGCACCTATTGTAGAGGCAACTACAAATATTCCGTGGAGTTCACTCCAGTTTGTGTCAAGGTAGCCTTCTATCGCAGGCCAAACAACACGAACAACAAAGGACACCAAGGAAACTTAGAGCATTTGTAATTAATTTATTAAATATTCATTGGAACAGAAAAAATGGCCTTTCAACAGCAACAATAATAATCAGATAGCAATAATACCAACATTGACAATAATAACCACACTAATAGGCAAATAAAAAACAAAGAGTGGTACGAGGTGGCAAAGAGTTACAGTACATTCTATTAACATCACCAGCAGGACAGAAGGCTTAACTAGAACACATGGTCATTGTCACTGTGAAAATAACACTAATGGCAGGAACGTGGGCACTGCCACACACATCCCACAAATAAGGAACCACATCTTACTGTCCAGCAATAACACTGGTTCCCTTTTAAAACTAGAAATGAGATCGCAGAAGAAAAAAATTGTGGGACTTGATAATCAAGTTGGCATAGCACCCTTCTAGTTAATCAAAATCCATTTAAAAATGGAGTCAGTAAGTACTATGGCGGCCACATAATCCTTCTCTATTCATTGCATTAAATGGTTATACGCATCTTTTAGGTATCAAGTCCCTTGTAAGCTATTCACCATGCTTGATTGATTGTGTTTGTCTTCTAAGGACAATCTTGAATATCGTGTATAAAGTAAGCTGAAATTATGACTAACTGCTTTCCAGATCTGATGAACATATTAATTCGGCATAAGCCTTAAGACACACATTACATATTTGGTGTGTGACAGGTAATCAGAAGCATTAAAAAGTCACAATAGGGATCAAGATAAGAGCTATTGTACAAAGATGAAAACCTGCTATATAAGCATCTACAAAGCAAGATTGTTAACTAAAAAGCAGTTTCCAATTTTAATTTTTCAGACCCCTCAAAAAAGAACAGAGGACTTCCATGTTAGTTCTGTTAATGAACCTAGCATAGGGAACATGTCTGTGGGGAATGAAGATATGGCACCAGTATATGAGGGCAAATGCTAGCTATGTTAAATATAAGCGGCACAACATATGCTTATCAGTTAGAACTAAATGTTACCGATACTTCTAAAGAGTAATGTAATAACGTACCAACAGAGCATTTAATAATCATGAACTGGGATGGTAATGTAGATTCCGTCTTCCAATAAGTAAATATGCAATTTACCATGCATATACTGTGCTTTGTCATGCTTTACTATGCTTTAATCATTTCACTGTGCTTCACTAAACTTTACTCTGCCTTAACTATGTTATACCTCTGTAAACAGTTATAAGGATATTGTATTAACTTGGAAAACACATAAGTAGAATTCACGTTTCTAAATATATGTTTTTTCTAAGGGGAGAAATGACAGGATGTCTCTGCAGTGGCTTGTTTAAAAGCTCCTGGCATCAACTAATCCTTGTTTTTGAGCTCCTGGCATACTTCCCCATTTTTCTGTTTCCATCTGTGCCAGAAAGCATTCATTATGGTACAGTCATGAGTCATCCTTGCAGTGTGTAATTCCTGGCTTGCACATAAAGCACAGTGAAACCCTCCTGTCACAATTAATGTCATCCATCCATTGAACCATAACATCTTGCTTTTGTTGATATTTCCACTTAGTTTTCAGAGGGATAATAATGTAGATTGTTCAAGCCCAATCATACTTTTCATTGCAGCTTGTACAAGCAGTTGCTGGAGCAATAAAGACTTGAGAATTTCATTCGTGCTGTGACCAGCCACATTAGATTCAGTCTATCCATACAGAAACCTCAAGAATTACTGCACACAAGCAGAATATGGTTCCACTCTTGTTAATGTGAAGATGGTGTTTCACCAATTTGTCTAACAGTTTTCCATTGGAGACTAGCAACAGAGAGGAAAATGAATCCTCTTTTGTAATTATGAAGATATTTGAGGGTAGTTCTGCACTCGTTCAATGTTCTTCATTATGTTGTTCATTTTCTAGCAAATGTTTGGCCTCAGGTGTGAAAGTATTGGTGATTGGCCGAATACTGTAGGGAGAATAATGTTCAACTAATGCTTCTTACCAAAAAAACAAAAAAGCTATGTTCCTTTCTGATTTGTCAGCACTATTTGTGCTTTGAGAATTTTCAGGGATGTCAGGAGTGCTTATTTTCATGCACTTTTGCCCAATGAGTAATTACATGAACGACATTTCCAATCAGCAGTAGGATCTCATTTATATAAAACATATTAGCCGTCTTTCATTCCAATAGCTTGCTAAATTACTTAATTAATCCTTCCTTCACAATGATAATACAACACATACAGGATTGTTGTCCTTGAACTAACCATGGCTGATTTATGCCAATGTCATGGTCTGAAGAACACAGAAAACTATACATACATTTTCATTCTCTGACTATTTTCCATTAAGCTCCACAAGCAGATTAGGGATGGCACATTGGTTTGCATTATAACAACTGGGTATAGCAAAATCGACTTTTCCTTCAACCCCAACTGAACACAATCTACTGAGACCTGTGCTACTGAGGAATGACTAAGCAATCTGGAACGAAAGCCCAGTTCCTCCTCAGTGTCAAGGACCAGCAGTAAATAGGTTTCTCAGTCTAAATGATAAGCAACCAATGCTGAATCCTGTCACACTGGCATGTCCTGCGAACTTTGTGTTTTGCAAAAAATATTTGCACGGCACCAGCAGACAACTGCCAACAGATTTAAAGAATCATTAGAAAGGCACTCCCAGTAAGTATTTTTTTGTTTTGTACAGCACCTTCATAAATACAGTATTATAAGCTGTTGAAAACCATTGTGCTGAATTTGTCCAGTTACTGTAGGCATACTTTCATTCCATCCAGGGAAAAAAAAACAAATATCTGAGTATTCATAAGCACCCTTGCACATTGTGAGCAGACTCATTTCCTGAGGTGAGGAATTTTGGTCGCTACAAGTAAATCATTGCGAATTGTGAAGGCTAGACTTTTGGAATTGATTCTTAGTGCTGGCTGATGAGATCTGAAGAATCTTGGCAACATCCTCATCCAGTGGCTGGTACCACTGATGTCCATTCCTACCTCCTACTCAGGAGCACAAACAATATATTTATGATTCATTACTTCTACTGAAAGAAGTCTGAGTAATTTTCAGAGAACTAAAACCTAATGTGAAAACCTAAACCCAGATATATGAAATGTGCAAACTCATACACACTCAGAATTTATTCCCTAGACCTGACTACAGGCCAATGACTTACAAATTGCTATAGCAATTTGAGTTAATATAATAATAGTCTAGAATGACATCCACTGAATTCTTACCACAGGATGTTTACACAATCAGACCTTCCTGTATATGCCCATTATGTAAATTTGGCTTTAGTTAAGGTATGAAGAAATCTAGTAGAATCTAGTAGAAAACAACAACCATGATGATCAAGACACTAAGAGGTATATATACAGTATATAATGATAAGCAATACAAAACTGAGAGACTACCAAAACTCAATCACCTAGATAACTGTTGTTTTTTAGCCAGCTGCCGTAGCACCTTATGAACCTTGTGCAAAAGCTGCACAGCAGTTAAAGAAATCGATGGATCCTGTGCATTACGGAGATGCTGCAATATCAATGAGATATTTCCTCATCACGAGTAAAGGCTGTTGTGTTGTAGTAAAGACTGAAGGCTGGTTTCTGGCTGAATTGCACCTTTGCAGTAGTAGACATTAAAAGGTAACAAGCTACCAACAGAAAACACCTGGCATGCCAAAAATGCCCCCCACGATTCGACTGTTTGCTCCAGGGATCATCACACACTAATGTCAGCTAGCCTCAGACATACCACAGTGCCAGGCTTTTGTCCAAGAGCACACCGTTTTGCCATTTGGTCATTGTATTTTCTGGACCAATGCAGGTGTCGAGCTCTTTGCTTAGTGCATTCCCCCTGGCTGTAGGTCACTGATAAGCTATCTCAGACTGATAGGAGACTAGCAGGATTTTGAGTTCTGAAGTAGAAAGAGAGACAGAGTGAGGAGATAAAGGTTTGGTCATCAAAGGGCTGTAAGTTTAGGCCACACAGGAGCATAAAACATTAAGGGATGATAAGCTTGCAGATAACAAAATAAGAAACAATTGACTTAAAATCTGTCCATCTATAGTGTTAAAAAAAGAGTGATGTCAAATGGAGATGTGCAAATACTCAATTCTTTCACTTCCGGTGACAATATGCACATTTTATCCCACCTCCATATTTAAATTCTGAATTCTTGCTCCACCTAGAGGACTATTATTGTAACTCATAGAAGCAAGCTGTGCAAAGCTGTCCCTTAGTACGGTTCCCCAGGTTTTGTGTACACCCCTATTAGCCCAGATACAGAGATAGTAAGGATAGCAGGGTTTTGGCTTGTCAGCAGAAAGCCAAAATTTCAACAACAGAGGGGGAAAAAACAGCTGGTCACCTGACTTAAGCAGAGAATGGCACCCGCAGATTTTAGGTTTACTTGCTGCAATTTTAAACAAAAAATCCTAAACAGCTGTTATACATGACAGTTCTGTATGCAAAACTGAAACATTTCCAGTTGAAAAACAGGCTCTTTACAGATGTTGCTGGAACAGCATGCCTTCAGCCTGGAGATTACATAAAACTATATATCTGGCTTTGCAGAAAGCAGCAGCAAACATGTCCCATGATCAGCTGTAATTTAAGACCTCTTTCTTTCCGGGGGATGCTCTGTGTTGTGTCTTCCCTTGGGACCGACTCCAGGGTGCTCACAGGCGTGAGATCGGACCAACCTCCAAGTGTAATGGAGGACAAGTGTGGAGTAGGGATGCAGCCGAAGAGAACACAGAGACCAGTCCCTGGTCCACACTGGTGCCGCTCTTCCATTAACAAACTGAGCTGGGATGCTCTGGTTGCCCTGGGGTGTAGAAATCTGGGATAGCTAATCCAGTGTGTAGACTCACCTGAGAAAAAGAGGTAAACTGGGCTAAAACAAAACAAAGTAACACAGTCGTCTTTCTTAGATAAGCAAAGCCTTAGCCTTTTCCTGTACTTTATCTGTAATGTGGTTTCTCATACAGGAGGGGGAGCTGTGAACCTGCAGTATAAAACAGACCTCTGAAACCTGATGTATGCAGACATTGTTTTCATTTGAAATAGAAATAAAACTGCATTGATATAGTGGTTATCATCCCATAGGATCCCCACTTAATCCATCACGGAAGTGCAGCTCCACCTGGGCGACACATGGCAGCCGTTATGAACCAGCAGCCCCACTCCCACAGCTGATCAGGGGAGAAGTGAGGAACAGCTCCAACAGATGAATTAAAGGGGAGCTTTAGGAAAATTGCAATTCAGACAGACAACACCCCTACTCTTCTCAACATTTAACATATTGACAGTTATAATATCAGTGCTGTCAAAAGTACAGTATTTTTATGAATTCCACCTCAGTTTTCAGAAATAATGAAAACTAATAATACAAAAACTTTCATTTTTAACTTTTGTAAATCTTCATAATCATTCCTTGAATTGACCAGTCATTGACCAATCACTTTCCATCATAACCTTAGGCTGGCCGGTTGTTCCATTCGAGCTGCATACAGCAGCTCATCAGACTAGAGCTTATTCTGGTTCCTAGGTGTGATGCGATCAGAGAGAACCTGACACTCCTCCCCCCTTAATGGGACACTGGCCATCACAAGACCAATAATGCTGGTCCCCATTCATACAGCTGGGTGGCCTGGAGAAACAGAGCTAACGTACCTCACTCAAGGAACAATCTCACTGTCTGGAACTTGGACTTGAACCAACAACCCATTAGTTATTGATCCAGTGTGCTATGATATGTCTGTCATTACACAGAAGACAAGCCTACAACAGCTCACAAGTCATCTAAACATGTAGCGCAGAAGGTCACCTGCACGTTTCTGTTGAGGCTTATTGCTGGGAAGTAGAGGCCCTCCATTGCTTCAAAGGCAATGGGTCCCTGCTGCTCATCATTCACCAGGAAGATTAGGATTCCACGGGTCAGGTCCAGCAGCACCCCCACCGTTGCCCCTTTACTGATCCCCCCGTCCGTCCTGACAAAACACACACAGAGGGGACTAGACAACCAGCTCCCCGGGCTGCATGGAGGCAGAGAGAGCTCTGTTCTGGGAGATGCGTTCCAAAAGTAATTATTCCTTCATCATATGAATAGCACGTCTCCTCCTGTGAAGAGCATTTTCATATTTTAAAGAACCATGTGGGAGGCTGTGCATAGTTCAGCTATACACAGCTGGCACACTGGCAATGTGCTTTTCTCCAGAGGCAGAGCAGAAGGAGCAAAGACAGTACTGTGAAAACAGGCTGCAAGGACAACAAATATTGCATAAGCAGACACTGGGGTGCCTCAGGGTACTGTATATCTTGTGATGTTCCTTCAGTTTTAAACTGAAGAGAAGTCATAGCATTTTAACAAAGTGGCAGAAGGGGAAAGTGTTCATGGCAAGTAAAAGCTACTCAACAAGACAACACATCAGCAAAACAGAAGAAGGCCCTGAGAGCAGAGGAGTCCCTCTCTGGATTTCCTCACCTGCTGGTGTGCGAATTGTTGTGCATGAACCAGGAGCGGTTGTTGTCAACATACATGGCCCAGGCCTTGTCGTCCTTGCCCAGCATGACGTCCTTCAGCACGTCCACCCGGGCCACCCCGAAGGCAGGGTCGGGGTGGTTGTCATAGCGATCGACGCTCAGCTCCCAGTAGTGTATACCGCGTGAGAAGCCAGTGTTGCCCAGCACCACCCGATCGTCGTAGCTGTTACATGTCACAGTCAGGTTGTCATTAGAGAAGATGATGTCTGGGTGGGCGGAAGTGGGGTCAAAGGTAAACCAGGCAACTGCAACACACCAACAAACAAACGTGCAAAAGAAATACATTGGTATTGTTATGCCCTTTACTTCACTTCACTTACAGTAAAATGCTATGGGACTCAAAATCAATGTTTTATTTATTTTTTAATTTCACTTCACTAGTACCACAATTCGTATCAGCAGTTTTGAGTCTCCAATGTTCTCCTGTCATTATCCAGTGGAACAGGAGGCACAGAGAGTCCACAGAAGCTCCAGGTCACATGGCTCTTTATAAAAGGAAAATCAGAGCTCAGCTATGGGTTAGAGGACAGAAGATGTTCTTTATGTAACGCCAGATAGTGATCCCAAATTCTGGCAATACTCGTGTCAGTTTTGGAACTGCAGCAAAGCCTGGATTCAAAACCAGTATTGACAGCCTCTTCCTGGTTTCCAGACCATTTTTACAATGGCCATTCAGTAAAATTGCCATTCAGTAGTCTAAAATATTTGTGTAAACAAGCAGACTACTGATTAATAAACAACATGAAAAAGTGCAAGACAAATAAACAGAGAAAAAGAATAATTGAGACAGTAATAATAAAAGACAGTTACAAAGGCATTTGTTTTTTAAAATGTTCTTTACAGATAGAGAACAAGCATGGGCGGGGCTTCAGCGAGTCCTGGACTGTAAGGTAAGGGTGTAAATAATGGTGATGATGTTGAAATCTGAAATGGATAAAACATAAATACAGGCAAACGGGGGATGGGCAAGAATCCCACTGGTTAGCGTGATCAGTCAGCCTCTCTGATTTTTACTTCCAAATCTTACTGATGACTTAGATAATAAGAAGATACTTCGTGCCCTGAAATATGCATTCTTTAGTCATGTGTTGTCACATTCATTAGCAATTCAGCATTACCAACTGTGTTTGTCAGACATGGTCACCAAATTGTCCTATGTATATTTTCTAGGGAAATTGAATACAGAAACTATTGTAGAATATAGAATGAATTCCAAGAAGCCATCTCTCATGAGGAATATAAACAAAGTGATGAAGGTGATTACAATCTCTGCCTGTTATTGTAGCTGAAATTCTCATCATGCAGCAGAGAGCAGAGTATTTCTGGGTTGCGGCTGTAGATAAATGATCATTTTAATTAAAGACATTTTAGCTTAGACCCTTTTAACTTTTTAAATGTCTAATTCTGTTATCCAATGGGAGTCTTGCTTGTCTAACCATGAAATAAAAGGTCAAGAATAGTGAAAAATGTATAAAACATTTATTAATACAGAAATATCTAAAGCAAATGACATGGCACAGTTCTATTTTTAAGTTACAAAATGCACTTCAAAATAATTGCATTGAGAGAAATAAAATTCATACCAGTGAAGACTATAAGACATTTACAAGTCACACAGGCTTTAGTTACAGATTTCAGTCTCCCTTTTTATTGTTGTGACTGAAAAAAGGTCAGCTATTACAGTTTTCAATAAGTCCAACAAAACTGGGTAATTGCCACTCACTCATTTTGACATTAATTCATGTCATTTCAAATTGTTTGCATCGAAAGGTTTGCTTTAGATTTTCTGGTTTGTGTAAAACAGCTGTGCATAAACCAATTAAATAAAAACAACCTAAAGGGCTTTTCCAAGTGCGTTCATTTACTGCTCAGAGTGAAGGAGGCAAGATTTAAAAACAGAGACAAGATGAGATGCACAGCATTCCTGTTTTTAAGTGTGAAAAGAGTATGAAGGCCTCAGACATGCATTCTTCTTAGCAGAGCTGGCCTAACCAATCACACTCAAGAGCAGGAAGAGGTCAGCAGGTGCTGTTTAGAGTCTCACACAAGAGACATCTGAGATCGCACCCTCACTCGTGAAGTAAAAAAAACACATTGATGTACAGTACACACTGTAGTTAAACACATCTATGATGATATATGTCATGTAGACTGCATATAAAGTAAAGTATGACTATACTTTATAAGGTAGCACTTGTACCACTCACAATGACACGTTATCATTGGCACTGTGCCCGAGGTGTTGCGGACAGGAAATGTAACACATCCATACCTGCTGCTAGATTTTTTAAATCGCATGGAGTGTATCCAGCTGAAATGCATGGGGAAAGAGAAAAGGAGAGAAAAGCTGACAGCACAGAGAGAAGAAAATACAAGACAATGCAACCTGGGAAGCCTGTCCTTCCCAGCACCCATTGCCTGAAAGCAAGCTGGAGTTGCTACAGCACTATTGTTTTCTGAACTTCAGACAGTGCCAGAGGATTAAACTGGAGCACTGCGAGTCTCATCAGCATTCACCAGGAAATGAACCAGCTCTGGCATGCGTGAGAGAAGTGCATACTAACCCGGACCCTTCCTTCACCAAGACCTAAGATTTGATCTTTACTCTTTCTTTCCCTGATACCATATGGTCACAATCCCTGCAGTACTCTCATTGCCATAAAGCTGCTAGTCAATAATGTAATTAGAAATGTGAAATAGTTGTATTATAGCATAAGGCTACTTAAGTGTGGCCCATGTTTCAGTATAACTTGCTCTAATTGGGACCCCATCATTACATCTGTCACCTGAGATCTTACAGCGAGTGGCATCACCCGTTTCGACAATGGGAATGCCTTGTGCGAAACAGATCACACCATGGCAAGAGGTGCTAACAAAGGTATGTAGCAGTTTGTGTCATATTGGCATGCTACGCCTGAATGCTTGCATATAATATTGGATAGAAAACTAGTGGGTATAAAATCCTAGACATGGCAGCTCAGTAATGAGAGCTTTGAGGTGGCAGTGAGAGCTTTAGACAACAGATGGTGACTAAATATAAATGTTATTATAGGGAAACAGTACAGGACAGAGAAAGCCATAGACAATTGATCTGAAATTGGTGCTACTGCTTTACATCCATCGATCCCTTATCAGAAAGCCCTTTGTTCCTAGTAAGGGTTGTTCCCTTATATTGACCTTCTGCTGCCTTTTTTGCAGACAGAGGACTCAGGCAGGGCTACAACCTGGACAGGATGCACAGTGACATCCTGGCAGAGTGGACACACACACAGGGACAATTTCAAGACACCAATTAGCCAAGCTGGTCTTTGGAAGTTGAGAAGAAAGAGTAGATGCTGGTAAAAAGACATGTGAACGCAGAAGATACCCTGGTCCGGAACCGAATCCAAGACGCAGGAGCATGAGACAGCAGTGCTAAGTGCCACACCTCTTTACCACTAGTCAATAATGATATACTGTTGTTTAGCGGGGGGAGGGTGTTTTGTTACTTTTAGAAAAATAGACCAATTATACTGAGTCTATTTGGGGATTTTATATTGATCTGGGAGAAGGATGGAGGATGAAGAAACACAGAATTTAAATTGCTCTTGTAACAGCTTATAAGTATGAATTCCATTGTACCAGTACCGGTTACATATGGCAATAAAATTCAAGTTCAAGTTCATGTTCAGCTTATAAATATGGTTATGATTTTTTTGTGAGCTATGACACATATGCTAAATGGTCAAGAGCTTTTCAAACCTGCACGGTAGTTACTGTGCAAGATGCTGGGAAAGACGGGGCATTTAATCCAGTATCTGCACATCACAAGCTACGCCTGTGTTTATAACGAAACCAAAGAACATAGCAGGCTTAGAGAGATGAAAACTGAGTGTCCACTTGGACTACATTAGGGATTTCATACCACTAGCATCCACTGCGTAATGGGCCCTTTTCCTGTCCTGTTTTTTTGAGAAGTTGTAAAAATCAGATGGGCATGCAGGGGTCAATATGTTGTATTCAGGGAAATACTGTAAGTTAAGTGACTTACTCTCAGAGGTCTGCATGACCAGTGTCTTGCTGTACTGCCCCACTCCGCTGACATTGAAGGCCTTCACACGGCACTTGTAAGTGCTGTTGAAGTGCAGCCCGTCCACTGTGCACATGGTTTCCTTCCCTACATACACCTCCTGCAGGAGGAAACGGGACAGGAGAACTGAGTTTCCACCCCTCTGTGAAGCGCCTGTCAGAGGGAAGCACTGCATTGATCGGTCAGTGGAGGCTGCTTCTCCAGTTTCAAGGGATTCATGCAAAAGACTCCTTTTGGCCTTTCAGAAGAAGAATTTTATAGGAGCATAAAAGTTGTAAGGTGAATTTCAATTCTATAGAAATCTCTACTAAAATATAATTTCTAAACAGTGTAATTATAACGCATTCTTAATCAGAAAAGATATAAGTGTATCATCACCAACATCTTAATCTCCAATAATAGACAAACTGGTCCTTCCATGCATGCTTTGACTTCTGTTTCTACTGCTGAGAAATGACCAGATGGATTTACATGCTTGAGGCACTAAGGAAAGCTGAACAGTCTGTCCCACGTCTTAAGAAATGCAGTCCGAGAAATGTTTTCCTGTCATTTCTAATGAGGGCCTTTAGTAAGGTCTGTCAGGTCCTGACTGATAAAAAGTGTTATAATCAGAATGCATTCATGATTATCTGTATAAATATAAAACACTGGACTTTAAACGGCAATTTTATTTTAATCAAATGTATTTAGTTATCTTGCGTTAACATGATCATTCTTAGGAACACAGCAAGAACACGAAAGGACCTGTTTTTACACTTGGCCAAGATGGGAAGGATGCCCATCGCAGCCTAACCCATTTACACAAGAACAAGAACCATCAAGGTAAAGTCCTTGTTCAAATACAGTATCTGCGAATGGGATATTAAGTTCACAACACCCTGGTAATGGATCCAGGGTATTGGAAGACCTCATGCCTTTCAGATTCTTTCACAGGGATTTTGAAACCAGCCACTGGCTTAGCTCTACATACCGTAAACAAATAAGCAGAATACAATGAAACTGCTTGAGAAGTTTGAGAGTAAGCCAAACTAATAAATACATTTCCACAGAAGTGACCTTTACTTTTATTTTTGAATTAAAACAGAACCTCAGATATAGAAAAAAACAACCCCAAACGGAAAAAGAAAATCTGTAACTTGGATGTTTAGCATTGCAAAAACATCATCGACGCTCAATGCCAATTCAAATTGCGCTAAGCTGTGTGGCATTTTGGCAGAGCAGCATGTCAATTAGAACTTAATTAGGTTTTTTCTGAATCTGTCTTTGATTGTAAATAAATGAGCTGTTCTGCAGGCTGGGTGTTTATTAGTGATGGGAGGCCGCTGCTGAATGCAGGGGGGTGAAGTATCAGGGAGATGGGAGAGGAGTTAGTTGAAGAGCAGGTAACAGAAACAAGACCTGCTTCCTCTGTACTGAACAGCACTGATGGTGTTCAGCTTGTGCCCTTCTAATGTGTTGAGCTAACAGAAGAGATATTCAGAAAACCTGTGGTTTTTACAAAGACATTTGCAAAGGTTTTCATCCCCTGTAGGGGTGTATTCAAAATAGGATTGCAAGGAACAAAACATAAACAAAAATGCAAGTGTTATTAAAATAATTTAAAAATAAGAACAGTATTGTTGCATGTAGTAGACCTCACTTTTAGAGCCTCATAAGATTTTAAAGAAAAGCAGGTTCTTACTGCAAAGTGAACAGTGTTTTTTAAAACAACAGGGTTGATTTCTAAGGTCCCATTCAGTGCAGTTCATAACGGTTGCTCTGATTCTAGCAGGTAGAAAAGCCCACTTTTCTCAAGCCCATGGTTACATGCAGTATAACCGTACATAGAAAATGTGTAGAAAACGTTTTCATTCCCCTTCCCACCATCAATTTGTAAATGTTAGCTTCTTTCCCAGGTTTGACAGTGACATGCCAAACTGACCATTATCACTGGGCCCACATCCTTAAAACTGTTAAACTGCTAGTAGAAAGACCCTTCTCATGTTATGGAAGTATAATTTAACAGCAAAAAGCCTTTCAATTAAAAAAAAATGAATTAAAGGGCTCAAATTGTTCCATTGCAGGAATGTAATTTGAGAGGCATGCATTAGCTGCCAGCAGACAGGGGTGGCTGTGCAGCTCTGAAACTCCGACGGCTTCTTTGTACTTTGATCAATGGCTTTTAAAAGGCTGGTTGAGATCATCTGCAGTTTATATGCAGTCACTTTCACTTCTCATGAGCTGCTCAAATCACTTGAGCACAGAGAATTAAGGTCCTCTTGGTCACATGACCTTTGCCATTCTTATGACTCACTGAGGTCACGTCAACTCGACTCTGTGTCACAGCAATCAAAAAAGAACTTTGGGAAATTCAACAATAGCACTGCAACCTTCAAGACACATTCCAGATGTTAAGCAGTAAGAGCTTCATACTTTCCTAATGGGGCACAGGTCTTTCTGATTAAACTATCTAAATAAATGCTCTTAGCAGCAGCTTTTAAACTAGTGCAACATGATGGTGGTGATGGGGCAGGAGCCCTTATTACCTACGTATCAAGCGCTTTGAGTGGAGTATCCAAATATAAGTGTAAGTAGTGGTATTGGTATTAGTAAAGGACACAATCAAGCAAGCACAGATGTGAACATTCAAGAACCTACCCTGAATTGACCTCCGTTCCCATCATCAAGTTCCAGGATGTAGCCGTCCACCTGCACTGTGGAGAGGGGTGGCTGTTTCCATGACAACGTGGCACTGTTATTTTGCGTGCAGCATTCCTCCAGCTGCAGGATAGGGGAAGCTGGGACTGCAGAGGGAACTGAGCCACAATTACTACAATGTCTCCGATCAATCATACTCACACACAGAATGAGTGCCACTTCATCACAATAAGTTTAGAAACACCCGCCGACACCTGTGAAAATTAAATGGCAAGGCAATTAATAACACTCTCACAGTGAGTGCAAACTATTGACATTCTTTTAACGAAGCTTTACTTAATGAAAGCCAGAACTGTGAGTGAGGATTATGGAAACTCTCGCCCAAAGTCAAAAAGAGAAATCTAGATTCCAATCTAGTAGAATAGGAATCTAGTCTAATCTAGACATTTATATTCCAATCCTAATGTCTTTGTCAAGACATATGACAAAAAAATACACAACTTCCTCAGCTCTACCTTTCATCTGAACGAAGTCCAGCTGTTGGATGGTCTGCAGAAGTGGCCCACTGTCCAGAGTCAGGTCGAAGTCACTGGTCATCCTTGGAGTCAGTGTGCCCTTCCCCCACTGGCTTTCTGTCATGTGTACCCTTCTGATCAGAGCATCTGAGATCTGAGGTATGGGGGAGAATATACACCATTCACTTCATCACACTGAGCTCACATGATGTATACTTCTTTTAGTGACCTATGAAATATAACATGCCAATCAGATATTTTGTCACAAAGCAGCACACGGTGTCGTGTTTGGTAAAGAGACTTTCACTCTGGAAAAACAATGGAGTATATTAACTAAAAACATAAAATCTAAAAAAATCCCTTAGAATACACACTGGTCCCAAAACTGAGTTTCCACAC